TAAGTGTTACGGATTAGAATATAGTAAAATATTTAAAGATGGTATTTTGCAAATATCACCCTTATATTTTTCTTTAATTTTAAAAAAACCACCAAAAATATATTTTTATTGAGTGGAACCACCAATTTCGGCTTCTAGTCAAAATTCAAATGAAATTCTCATTTTACTCTTCATCCTTATACCCAATTGTCATCTTCCCCTCCTGCCACACACCACCAACTCAATCTTCCTTTCTCATTCACCTGTTTTCTTTTTTTGCAACCGGCATGAAAACAAGTTAAATCCAGCCCTAAATGACCTTGATGCTGCCATTGGTCGACATCTACCTACTAAGGAAAGTCAAGAGAGTAACAAACGGGGTGTAACACCGACCTAAACTGAGTATAACATGCTGGAGAAGTTGCAGAATATTTTGAGAAGGGACAGTTATAAAGGTGATGGGTCAAATGGGAATTTCATTTCAATTTTTAGTGTAAAGTGAAGTTTGTTGGCTTTAGTAAAATAAAAATTAATAATTTAGGTTATTCTCTTTGTGATTTGCAATTTTTTTGGCGGTTCTTCATCATTTTAGCTCAAATAAATTGAATACTCATTTAAAATAAAGTTGCTTCCATGTTTATGTTTGTCATTGCTACTTGCAGTATTCAACATCAACGGATTCAATGCCACCTCAATTGCTACTATGTTGGGGTTGTTAGCAATTGATCATGAACTCTATTGTCATATAATTGCTCAAAATAAATGCACACACTTAACTCATGAAAATGATAAATAAGTTCTGCTGCTTACGTTCGTCTAGATAATCAAATGAAGAGCATATTTCAATATTCTTAGTTTTATCTGCATCTGTGTTAAATTACCGATAGCTTTTTTAAGGCATTATTCAAATTTTGGTCAGGTAAGGCTCACTCCCTATACTTTGTGTAAATAAATTCACATTATGCTTGAATTTGATTCCGTAACATTCTCTATATCCAATGCATCTCAAGTCTTTGTTACCTTTTGATATCATCTGCTTGTATTTTGTATGTAGGACACTGACATAATGTGGCTCCGAAACCCATTTGCGCATTTCCACAAAGATTCCGAATTCCAAATTGCATGTGACCATTTCATCTCCAACTCGTCACCCCTAAACATTCCCAACGGGGGTTTCAACTTTGTAAGATCAAGCACCCGGACAGTCAGATTCTACAAATTCTGGTACACTTCGAAAGACATGTACCCTGGCAGCCACGACCAAGATGTACTAAACAGAATAAAGCTCCACCCGTTCTTAACCGAACTCGGCCTCCACATTACCTTCCTGCCCACGACTCTTTTCAGTGGGTTTTGTGAACTCAGCGACGAACTCGACCTCGTCGTCACTGTTCACGCCAACTGTTGTGTCGGTCTTGAAAATAAGATTCACGACCTTGGACTCGTGCTCGATGTCTGGAAAGAGTATACATCAATGTCGCACGCCGAAAGGGAGGCGCCTGGCTTGGTATCTTGGGGACTACCCCAGCTTTGTGGCAATGTGGGAAGAATTGCAGGAGACATCTCAATAGGGGTATAAGAAATGCCAATCAACTGTCTTAGCTGGTGAATATATATATATATATATATATATATATATATATATATATATATATATATATATATATATATATATGTTGTATTTTATCTAATAATATACTCTTCAAAAGCTTGTACGAAGTATTATCTAATACTCCCTCCGTCCCGATGATTAATGAGTTACTCCTCTATTCTTACACTATAGTTTATGTATTTTTTTACTACTTCCTCTATTCCAAATTAACTTGTATAATTTGGTAGGACATGATTTTTATAAAGGGTTCAAACTATATTGCTATTATTTTTTTTGCAAGAGAGAAACTAAATTACTTTTTAACTACATACTATTATTCTCTCCCAAAATAAATTTCTCACTAATTTTTCATTCCATTTAAAGAATGATTTAGGTGGTCCACATTAATTTTCTCATATACGTACATAAGTTTCATCAAACTAATTTTAATTTTTTCTTAAACTCCGTGAAAGAGCAATCAAACAAAAATAGAGTAAAATGACTCATCCAAATTGGGAGATTATACAACTAACCTATCACATGACTTTAAATATACTGTAGTAGTTAGTAGAGTAAGCCTAGTTAGAACTTAGAAGCTCTGCTCTAGGCATATAGGGCTTATTATAAGAATATGCAATTTGATTCCTTTTTCTTTGTACGGTATACAGGTCAACTTTTTAGCACTACCCTAAAGTTGATTTAAGGCCTGTTTGGAAATAACGTTAAATATTATCGTTAAAGTTTTAGACAAAAATTGAACGATGCAGGTTACTTTGAAAACATTAAACACTGCTGTAGATAATCTTTTCAAAACACTAACGCTAATCTGCGACGCTATTTTCAAACAGACCCATATACAGTCATGGTTGAAGATTGCCTCCACAAGATACTTAGGTGAAAATAAAAATATAAATACTTTTTTCAAAAAAACATTCTTTACTCCGTAAAACAAATTCCAGTATAGTTTTTAATTCCAAATCATTATCTTCATTGTCATCTATATTTAGAAAAACTATTTCATAATATCGTGTAAATCTTTTGGAGATAAATCTTCCAAATATAGACCACAGAAGACATTTTATTCATTATGTAGTGAACAAAAGACTTGTATGATATATATATATATATATATATATATATATATATATATATATATATATATATATATATATATATATATATATATATATATATATATATATATATATATATATATATATATATATATATATATATATATATATATATATATATATATATATATATATATATATATATATATATATATATATAGAGACACACACACTCACACACACACTCCGTCCAGAAATAATCTTCTCATTTCTCCTTTTTTCTCGTCTAGAAAAAATATTCTCATTTCTAATTTTAACCCTAATTCTTCCAAAACTACCCTTCTCATTAAATAACCTTTCTTTTTTTTTTCCTTTTCTTCCTATTCTTCTCTTCTTTCTTTTCCTTTCCTCCTCCACTTCTCCATCTTTTTTTCTCCGCCTCATCTCTCGATCTCATCGTCACTTTAATTTCTTTTATTCATTTTTCGTCTACCTCATCTCTTCCTCTTCCTTTCTCAGACTTTCTCTTCTCCTCTCTCTCTCCCTCTTGATTCTTCCTTCTCTTTCTTCGATTCTTCTCTTCCTTCGATTCTCCTCTCTCTCCCCCTCCATCTTTCTTCCCTCCTCCTTTCCCCTCCGTCTTTCTTCCAAATCTGGGCTATGGCGGCGATTGTAGCGGCTAACGTGATGGTGAGTGTAGATCTATACTACTACTCATTATTTCTTATAGATCTACACCACCACCCCTTTCTCTTTGTATTTATTTTAGATCTGTTCCATGGTAGCTGTGATGGTGGTACATGGGACAGTGTTGAGACTGACCATGATGGTGGGGATGCCAACGATGGTGGGGCTGGCGGCGATAAAAAGATTGATGGTGGTGGCAAGAGCTGGGCTAGCGGTGGTGTTGGGGGCTTGGGAAGATGTCGGAGCACTGGCGGTGAAGGGGTAGTGGTAGGGCTCAAGTTGGCGGTGGGAGATGGCGAATGTCAGAACCAGGGATGGCCAGCTTCCTCATTCATTCACTAGCCTTTTTAAGGGCATTTTAGTCATTTCAACTCAAAAGTCAACCATTCAAAAAATGAGAAAAAGTCCAAATGGGAAGGTTTTTCACGGATGAAGTATATATTTGAAAAATAGAGAACCATAGAGAAAATAAATTGAAATAATAGTTACTCCCTCCGTCCTAAATTATAATGCTTGTTTACTATTCACATGGTCAAACTTCATTCACTTTCTTTCTCGATTTCGTTAGCAATTTGATAAAATAAAATATTATTGTCACTACTAGTTTTGTAGATCTTTTGATGTAGTTTTTTAAGATGTAATTTTTATTTTTTAATTCTATACCATTTGTTATATAAAATGGTTTGAAAATAATTTCAGTCAAACATCGTAAACCGAAACATGCATTATAAAATGGGACGGCGGTAGTATGACACTACTACTTTTGTAGACCTTTTGATGTAAATTTTTAAATATGTACTCCCTCCGTTCCATTTTACAATGTCTGTTTCAGTTTACGATGTTTGACTGAAATTATTTTCAAAACATTTTATATGACAAATGTTATAGAATTAAAAAATAAAAATTGCATAAAAACTACATCAAAAGATCTATAAAACTAGGAGTGACAATAATACTCTATTTTATCAAATTGCTAACGAAAATAGAAAAAGAAAGTGAATGAAGTTTGACTCTGTGAATAGTGAACAAACATTATAATTTGGGACAGATAGAGTAATTTTTTTTAATATACATCATTTTTCATAAAAAATGATTTGAAAAAACGACTTTAGTCAAACATCATAAACCAAAATAGGCAATTATAATTGGGACAGGAAGAATAAAAATTACACCACTCAAAACTATATAAAAAATTCTACTAGAACAACAAGTGATATGAATATTTTATTTTTTCAAATGCACAAAAAAAACTTGCATACAAATATAAGATATCAAGAAGCCGTAATAGTATCCAAAAAAGGATTGGAGTAATATACTCCAATGTCCAAGTCAAATCAAGAAGCTTCATACACATGTACACATTTGCATAAGAAATGCATCCAACAAAAACATCAAACCCATTAAATTCCACACAAAAAAGTAAGATCTATTAAGGGTGGGTGGGTGAGTATGCAAACCTTAGCCCTAATTAAAAAGTAGACAGATTGTTTTTCAAGTGACCAATTAAAATAAAGGTGCAGACAAAGTAAACAAAGTAGCATAAACAAAGCAAGAGCACAAAAAACAAGTTGCATACATACTTATGGTAGCAACTAACACCCAAAGCACTGGAGCACACAATGAAAGCAAACAAGACTAGATTCAACTAAATGGGGGGAGAGAAGTTTCAAATCAAGACATTTTTTTTCTTTTTTCCCATATAATTAAATAAATAATCCTTAATGTATATACAATAATTCAAAATTTACAAAATTTCCTCCCCTAACCCAACAAGTACCTGCCTTCTCCAACTACGAAGCACAAATGCTCTCTCAGAATAATGGGACATCTCTCAGTTAACAGCCTCAAAAATTTTGATTTCATGTTGGAGAAGAAACAAAGGAGAGACTTACTAATCTCGGAAAAAAATTGGGGGGAATATACACTTTGTACAAGGGTATGAAGGTCAAATCATCGGTTATCTCTGAATTTGACGAATACTGTGCAGGGACTACTGGGCGGTACTGCCTCCATCCAATTCAGATTTCGTGGTTGCTGCAAATAAAAACATATAATGAATACCATGGAGGATATAACCCTAGATAGGAACACATGGGGGTAAAGGATTAGAGTAGCTGGGTAGACCTTTAGGATTTAGTATGAAGACTAGCTCTGTAGCTTGTGTGCTTTTTATGCTTTGTGTTTGAATTGTTAGTGTTGGTACGAGTGTTTCATTTGTTTGTGTTCTTCCTTTATTTGTGTTACTTTTACTTACCACTCCTTCCATCCCAAATCTAGTTACCTGTATACTATTCACACGGTCAAACTTTATTCACTTTCTTTCCCTGTTTTTGTTAGTCATTTGATAAAATAATAGTCATGTCACCTTTTGTTTTGTATAACTCTTGATGTACTCCCTCCGTCCACATTTAAAGTTCCCACTTTGACCGGGCACGGAGTTTAATAAAAGTTAAAATTTACATTAACTTTCCCAAAATACCCCTCAACCTTACCCATGCCTCTATCCACTGAGGCCTGTCCCAAGTTCGTGCAGGCTGCAGCCCAACCCCATAGTTTCAGGGAGAAATTCCGGCAATTGAAATCCGGCGAATTTCCGGCCAATGTGAAATTCCCGCGATGAAAGATGAAAAAAGATTTGAATCGGATTTCTTCATCGACTCCAAAGAAGATGAAAATGAAAAAGATCTGAAGATGATTCTTCGTCGATTCACAGATCTGAATCTGTTTTCTAAGATCTGACGATGAAGAAGAAGAAGAATGGAAATGAGAAATTGAAAGGGGGGAAAAGAGGAAGAAGAAAAAGTAGAAGAAGAATAGATATGAAAAATCAAAAGGGGGAAGAAGAGGAAGAAGAAGAAAAAAAATCGGAAGGAGATGAAGATGATGAAGAAAGGAAAATTCAGAAGGGGGGGAAGAAGAAGAAGAAGAAAGGAAAAATCTAAAGAAGAAAGAAAAGTAAGAGAAAACCAGAAAAGGGAAGAAGAAAAGAGAGAGAGAGAGAGAGAGAGAGAGAGAGAGAGAGAGAAGGAAAGAAGAACAAGAAAAGGAGAGAAAACTCAAAAAAGAGTGAAGGTGCGAACGGGAAAAAGGAAAAAAAGAAAGGAAAAAAGAGAGGAGAGGAAAGGAAAGGATAAAGAAGGGTATTTAAGTCTTTTTAATAGAAGAAAGTTGCCAAAATAGGAAATGGGAACATTATTTGTGGACGGACCAAAAAGGAAAGTGAGATCTTTAAAGTTGGACGGAGGGAGTAGTTTTTAAATATGTACATTTTATTTTTTTAAATTCCATCCAAATGCTCAAAAAAATGGACTTGAAAATTACTTCAGTCAGACATAAGAAACCAAAACATGCAATTTAAACTAGGATGGAAGGAGTATTATTTGCATGTTCTGCGTTTGAATAGGGGGTCACTTTAAAACAGCCTCTGTATTTTCAAGTAGGGATAAAAGCCTAATGTACTCACACTATCCAACTTCTCGAGAAATTTTACTTGGTCAGTTATTGGTTATATGATGATTCTGCAAGTTATTGAGAAACAAGTGTCCTAGTTTTTTTCTAGAGAGAGAGAGAGAGAGAGACAGATAGTACCTTCTTAGCTCTAGCATACAGCCATGGCAAAAAAGCAAATATGCAGAGCATGCTATATTAGGAATCAACCATTTAGCTTGGCTAAAAAGTGGCTCAGATTATACTCTTCAGTGTACTGTGATTGATCCCAGAGATCTTCCAATCCTCCAAGAATAGCTTTTAACCCCTTTCCGCCACGGGACACTTTTGGTTCTCCTTCAAATTTGTCACTTCTATCTGACACATTTGGAGCCTGAAAAAAAGAGAGATAGTAACGAGTCCTGACAAGAAAAAACGTGTGTAACAACATCCACATTTCCCTTCTTTGCAAAGAAATGAATTCCAACTTCCAACTAATGTTGTTCTAAATGTTGCGATGACTAAAGCCCGACTGTACCATTTCTCAACTCATCCCAAGCCTATTTCAAGGTAATATTGGAAATAGACATTGGCATGCAAATGCATAAATCCGGATGGACACAATGACAATTAAGCCCCCATTTACACGCTCATGTAAAGCTCAACTCATAATCTCAAACACATGAATTAAGCTCAGGAGCAGCTTAGACAAAGGGGAGACAAGATTTGCCTGCTCCAACTATGCCAGGAAAGCCCTTCAGGGTCTTACCAATACAACTGAAAATGCTCAACAGAAAACATGAAAGCAAAGGCATGTGCACCTTTTTGCCATCTGCCGGTGTGAATAGATCAAGCAGCTGGTCTGTATTCATTGTTTTCAAGCTTGAATTATCTGCGTTAATCACCGCGTTAGCAACCGACACTTTGAACCTCTGGAGACTCATCACTTTCTCTTCCAAGGTTCCTCTCATTATTAGGCGATGGACATGGACCACTTTTTTCTGGCCCAACCTGTGCGCTCTATCCATTGCCTGTAAAAGTTGGGAGACAACCACATGCTCAATCAAGGATTCTAATACAAAATGAATTATAGTATGTTTACAAAGCCAAATCCCATTTTGAGTTTTGCATTGCAATGGCAGCCCATTATCGATTTATAGGGAAGCTCATACACACTCCATGACTCCATCCCACTAAGCCTTTGTTTGATAAGAGGATTCCGGAGTAAAGGGAATGAAACTAGAGTGGTATTTGGTTGGCAAATTTTGGGAGAAGGGTGAAATTGGAGCAGCTATCAAAACCTCTAAACTCTTCATATCTTACTCCCCAGTTAAGGGATTATGGGGAAAGGGGGCAAATATGGAGCTTTAAAATGTTCACCAGTTTTTTGTTATACATAAAAAGTAAAATATTTTTAAATAAAACAAAACTTCTATAGAATCGCATATTTATAAACATAGCATACATTTTCCTTGACTACACTTCAATCATGTCTCCTCCTCTCCCCTGCTTTAAGCCAAACATGAACTAAAAACACGTGCTATATACCTGATGATCCCGCATTGGATTCCAGTCATGCTCCATAAACACGAGAGTATCAGCTGATGTCAGGTTCAGACCAAGACCACCAACTGCATTGAGTTCCACAGTTTAAAACAGCAACTATTCAATTACATGACATACAAGTGATAAATAATAAACTTACCATGTGTTGTAAGAAGTAAGACATCAATAGTCGGGTCTGAATTGAAGGTTTTCACAATTTCAAAGCGCTTGTCTGGCTCAACGGATCCATCCAACCTCAAATATGTGACACTGATTAGAAAGTAAATGTCTCATTACAAAATAGAATTATGAACTGAAAGTGACTCTAAAGTCTAAAACACGAAGGCAATAATGAAGGAAAATGATAAAAGTGAGTCATTTCCCATACAATTTAGATCTTAGTATCTTACATCTTTTTTTGAAAGGTAACTTATACTTTTTTTCAATACAAACATGCATAAATCTTTGTTCTTGATTGTTATGATCTTCAACAAAGTTTAAGGACTGGTATACTCCATTCCCAAAATATAGTAAAACTTTCATTTTATGGCTATCTTAAAATAAAAATTATACTTCTTCAATTTCCTATTAAGGAAAGGAATATGTTACTCACAACATTCTTTCTTCAAAGCATATTTCAACCACACATTTTTCTTTAACACTTTTTAAACTCCATGAAGTCAAAGTGCTACTTTTATTTTGGGATGGAGAAGTATATCTTAGTTTGTCTATTTATAAATTTATTACATATGAATTTTAGTATATGGACTGTTGTAAACTCGTATATATAATAGGTTTTGCTACGTTTCCAAAAACGACTTTCAAAATGTACAAAAAAGAATGTATATATGCTCCATAGTCAACAACATGGAGTTACAACATGGATGCAAAAAGTTAACACTACTAAAATGATGGAGAAACTACACATTCAAGGTTGTAAAAAAGAATATGCTTACTTCTTCATCTGAGCATGAAATAAGTCCTTCTCGATGATGTCAAGAAAAGCCTGCAGTGCAGAAAACACAGTCAAATACCATACAGATGGAACACAACACAAGTGCTTATGTCATAATGATATCATGTTTTAGATAAATGCAGGACCTACTTTATGCTGAGCAAATATTAGTACTCTATGCTGCCCAACAATGATAGGCCCTTCAGAGGCATCAATCCCAATTCCACACTCTTCAAGAATCTCCTGGAGGGCAACCAGTTTAGGAGAGTGGTGGAGTTTATGGAGTTCAGAGACTGTGTTAGAGCCATTAGGAAGACACTCCGATAGAGCATGTGAGATAGGCTCAGAAATTTTTTCACCAACCACTAACAGCGGATGGCTACAAAGTTTAAGCAAATACTGGAGTGCCTGAAACAATAACAAGATACATTCAGTAAAGCTTCTATAGTACATACAATATACACGAGTACTCTATTTTAAAACAATAACCTTGATTTTATGATATTTATAACAAATTAGTCGCATTCTGGACCAACAAATTATAAATAGCAATAACCTCTTAAGTCAATAGGTCCAATATGAAGAAAACTAAATACCTTGATATAATACATAGGTGCTGAAGATTTAATATAGGTGAATATAGGTGTGTGCTGAAGATAATTTTCAAGCTACCTGGAAAACATGAGAAGATGCTTTAGGTACATCACTCCCTTGTCCCGTGTCGGATTCATTGACCTTCACCATGCTGGAAATTTCCTGCTTAACATGAGAACCGGAAAACTTTTCATACAGTTTTAGTTGAACAGGACTCAAGTCACAGTATCTATCTTGGATGATTTTCTCGGGTAAATCAGACAACACTTCTTCTTTCGTCCGGCGAAGAAGGAAAGGCATCACCTGTAAGAAAAACATTTTAGAAACCCCCTATAATCACTAAAACAATATTACAACAACCCAATTGGATCCCACGAGAGAAGCGTCGGGGGAGGGTGTGTGTACAGAGACCTTTCTCCTACTTGAAAGTAGGGAGGCTGTTTCTAAGACAGAAAAATAACCCTACTTGCTTGTGCAATGCTTCCATTGCAAGCACTCCTCCTTCAGCATCCTTGGCTGAACATTTGGGATCCCTTGCAGCTAGCAAAGGTTTTCCATAGGAACTGTGGAACTGTCACATTAAGACATCTGGGGTCAATATAGTCAAACACAATTAAGATTGCGCAAATAAACTGGATAAACTTGCTTCCATCAGTTTGAATGGAAAAAAATTCAATCAAGTACAGATAACAAGTAGACTTGGCATGGCAGCCATGAATTAATAACCCCCATTTTAGAAAGATCCTGATACTTAAATGAAACAAAAGACAGATAATCGGCAACACATGAAAATAGAGCCTTATGCAATGAACAGACATGGGAAATGAGCACTAAAAAGAACAAAAGCCAACATCTCCCTTAAAAGTCAATTCTTATTATTTACTCCATCTGTCCCACTATTGTTATCCTGTCTGTTTTGTTTTGTTCCAAAATTTGTGTCACATCAGTGTTCTAATGAATGAGCCCCTATCATTAGTTCTCCCCATTCATAATTGTTTTTATTACCAACCCATTTGAACAAGCACATATAGCAAATGCGCAAGGGATTAATTTTCACTTGGGAATCAATCAGCACCAGCAAAACTTTATGTTCAGAAATTGGAAGTTACTCTTATACTAAAGTTACCCACCACACACGAAATACAAGGGAAAGTCGTGACCATTTTTCTTAGAGGGAGAAAACAAATGGAAGCAAGCATAACACTAGGTAAGACTTACTTGTCTCTCTGTTCCCAGAAATCCTGGCATGAGAAAATCAAAAAGTGACCACAAATCCAATACATTGTTCTGCAATCCATCAGAGTGCTTAGCATTCAAACACTGGATTCGTTTTATACATTAACTGAAATTCAGATTCATAACAAACCTGGATTGGAGTTCCACTCAATATGAGACGGTGCTGAGCTTTCAGCTGTTTTACAGCAAGAGTGACTTTTGACTTTGAATTCTTAATGATGTGCCCCTCATCTAGAATACAATAGTTCCAGAAGTGCTGGCCAAGAGAGTCAACATCTTTGCGGACAACATCATATGATGTAATAATAACATTATATCTATTAAACTGAGAATGAAGAGATGAGCGTTCTTGAGCAGAACCAACATACTGAAGGGTAGTAACTAGAGAAGCATCAATGAACTTCTCTATCTCATACTCCCAGTGACCAACAAGGGTTGATGGACATATTATAAGAGAAGGTGGGAGATTGGCAGCAGATTTTTCAGCAACATGCTCTGCAATATCAGATGCCACAATTGCCGATGCCTGAAGGGTTTTGCCAAGGCCCATGTCATCACATAAGATGCCATGAAGATTGAATCTCTTCAAAAATGCTAGCCAGTTAATACCTTCCTGTTGATACCTAAAAGAGGAACGAATATAATCATTTCAACAGAACAGATAAAAAACTAAAGGATAAGCCAACAAAGTACCTATAGGGAAACCGAATTCGAACATGTATTCATACACAACAATTTCATGTATATGTGTATTTTCTCTCAAGTTTTCCCATTCTATAGAAAGGGAATAGACATTAGAGTTCCCTTCTAAAAAAGTCACTTTTAAGCAAAACAAAGTACTATGCACATTTTTTATTGACAAATTAGATCCTCCCCCCAACCAAAAAAAGAAACCAAGGTTTTGAAGGGCAAAAACTAGCCTCGAGGCGATGGAGCAAAATGCCTGGAGGCATAAGCCTCGAGGCGGAACGAGGCGTAAGCCTCAGTTCAATATGAAAAATATAATACTAAAATATGTACACCGAGGTAAAACGAAATGCATAATCCATTTTCATGTTAAATAAATGATAAAATCATAATTCCCGAATTTTACAAAAAATGATACCCTATCTTAATTTTTAAAACACAGATAAAAAATAGAATTATAAAGATTAAACACAGTAACATAAACACAAATATCTCAAATCCATCTTCAAACAATATAAATATTAAATATGAACAAAATTCAGCAAAAAAAGCAACATCATTCTTTGAAGTTTGAACCGAATTTAAAAGAGGGAGAGGCATGTTGGAAAAGAAGGAACCGGAAAAATTAAAAGCTGAAAGAAGAAGATGAAAGAAATAAAAGATAAGCTATTAAGTATGAAGTAATAGCATTAGCAGTTACCACAAGAGTGAAGTTGTGTCACTGAAGTCTGAAGATGGAGAGAAGTACGGTTGAAGATGGAGAGACGAAAGTTGACGCTAAGTTTTGGAAAGAAGTGATAATTATCTACTAAGTTTATTAAGTTTTTCTTAAGAAACTTTATAATGCATTGGACCAAAAGAGTTTTTGTAAAAGAGGCCCAATAGCTTTTTAAAAATAACCCTTATAATTGTTGAAATTCTTATTAAAAGTGAGGCTTATGCCTCGGTTACGCCTTACCGCCTCAGACCGCCTCAACATTGTGAGGCGTACGCCTCAGGTATCCCTATTGAGGCTTAAGCCTCAGAGGCAAAATGCAACCGCCTCACCGCCTCGAGGCGGACCGCCTCGATCGCCTTTTAAAACCGTGAAAGAAACCTCTAATTGCTTGAGAAAATTCAATAATCAATAAAAGTTACAAATAAAAAGGAAAATAAAATCTCAAAATACACACTAGAGTTACCTTCTCAGAGTCACTTTTAAGTCGGTAAAGAGCTTGTAATCATCAATGTGTGAGCTGTCAACCAGTTGCTCCAGGAATTTTACATCATCTTGATTGCGGGATAAACGATCATTGAGCCCCTCAGGGGTACAAATACCACGGGCTAATGGAAGCAAAGGTACCAGTGTCGCAAAACTATGTGTTACACTTTGCCTAACTGATTGATCAGAATCACTCATGCATCTCAATAAAGGAACTACTAAAAGCGGAGCATAAGGAACCAAATCCATGCCAAGCCCCTGAACTAGTAAGCTGACAAGCATGCCAGCGCCTTGTCTAGAATGAACAGATGTCATATCTCCCAACATAGGAATCACGTTTTCGACGACTTCAATCATCACAGTTACTGCCATAGATTTGGCCATTGTTGTGATACACCTAGACGCAGCCAATCTCACAGCCACATGAGGATGGCAAACACACCTAAAGATGCATGGAAGAAGCACGAGAAGTTTAGACCTCAATGCCACATCCAACAAAGGAGCAATGGAACGGACTACCTGCCAGTTAAAAAGAAAAGACAAGATAAGCAACCATATGAGCTGTATATGTGGTTACAAGAATCATGTTGTGCCAGAGCACTGACAGTAGCAGCAACACACCATTAAACATTCAAAATGTATCCATCCTACAAAGAGAAATTTCCTGAAATGGTCCTCTCTTATGTTAGAATTTTTTTCTAGATATCCACTCATACGAACTTGACAGTTCTTCTGGACGTCCACCAATATGAAATTGACTGCTCAGAGAGAAAATCCCCTAAAACACCCTATCTTGTTTTGACAGTTGTTCTGAATATCCAGCATTTTCTTTCTTTATCCTTCGTCAAAATAGTGTTGTACGAAGTAAAATATTTTGTGGGTGGATGTCCAGAAGAACCAGCAAATTAAAATAGAAATTTTTATGGATTTTTCTCTCAAAACAACAGATACTTGGAGTCAATTTATGTGAGTGCATGTCAAGAAAAACTGCTGAATAAGAGAAGATTATTTGCGGTATTTTCTTTCAGAATATGGGATATCAGATATCAAGTTTGTATGAATGAATGTCAGGAAGAACTGCCAAATGAGAGAAGACTATTTGCAGTATTTTCTTTATAAATAGTGAATATCCAAAGTCAAATTTGTAAGAGTGGATGTCCGGAAGAGTACTTTAACATTAAAGGACTATTTGGGGAAATTTCTAATCCAACATACATTCTGGATGTAACAGGAATTAAAACAATAATATCCAATTTAAGCTGCACATGCAGCAACTTGTTCCAATATATTTACTACAAGGATAAAGTGCCCCCCCCCCAAAAAGAAGCATATGGATTATTGTTTACATGGCAAGGTGTATATGATCAATGTTATAAGATGTGATTGATCAATGTTGATCATAAATCACGTTTTCAAGACAAATGGGAGGATAGATATTGGAAGTACTGTTGGTATATGTGATCGGGGGCTTTCAAGCCAAACGTGAGCATAGATATCAGTGCATGTCATTGTTGATGTTTTTAGTATTTCAAACAGTACGCAGGGGCAGAAAATTTGCAAAGGCACAAGGAGCTTTTAAAATATAAATAAATTGGGAGAGTAAGGGGTGAGGGTAGCAAGGATACAGATTATAAAATGTGATATAGATACATACTGTAAGTGGTTAAGGTTTGATAAAAAGGGAAGCAAAAATATTACTTGTGTGATTAATTGATGTAAAGGGCAAACCTCATTGTAATAACATGTTATAAGATTCAAAAATGAGTACTGCGTATTTACTTATTCGAAGATGTATATGCGTGAAGTTCATATACCTGAATATTATTAATCAAAATCTGAGGATCATTTACAGAATCGATAGATTCAGATATAAGTTTCTCATTATCTGGGGTCAACCCTTCAATATTTCCAGGCTTTAAGACTTCTACCAGGCAATCCCATAGCTTAGGAAGCCTGTCAAACAAAGATGAACCAAATTTCTCACACAAACATTTCAGGGCAAGCTCAGCTCCGCGTCTGCTAATGAATCCCTCAAGCATTGATCGATCATCACCTGGGGAAAGCATATGAACTTTTGATTTCTGCCTGGTACTACTACTGCATCTGAAGGACAGAAGTCCTTGTTCTTCAATTTTTTCAATAGAATTCAAAACTGCAGCTTGAGGAGTCTCACAAGGATCCATGCATGTCAAACTACAGAGATTCCTGATTAAAATACAAAACTACATTAAATGGAACAGTTTCAACACAACATTGGTTTTGATTTGAAATTTTACCTGTTCTCTCCTCATAGATGCCATTAAAGGCAAAATAACTGGGTTGAGTTTTGCTGGAAGGTTAGACATCCAAACAACAGCAGCAGCAAGCAAAGCCGAGACAGTGACGTGCAAATTGTTCTGCAATATAGTAAGTCCCCAGACCAAAAGCCAGGTGAAAGGACAGACAGGAAAAACAAAACTAGGTATCAAAATTTAACACTACGGGTTTACCCAGAAACTATGACTAGCAAAGAATGCACATTCTAGCAATAAACGAATGACTACCTTTACTCACCTAAAAACAAGCATAGGAGCAGTTCTTATTGAAGAACATTCAAAGATTTAAGGATGAACCCAGACTATACCTGAACACACTTCAAATATCCACCAGTTGTCAAAACTCTTTGCTTCAACGACTCCAATTCATCAAACATGTTCTGTCCTGTAGACTCTTCCCCGGTGATTATATTGTTCAAAAAGGAAAGTTTAGATGCAAAACTCACAGCATCATCTACACTCAAACTTTCCAGTTCAAGATTAGTGGATGACAATACATCTGTAAACATGCCAGATGCCTCTGTACCATGGTACAGCTGACGAGCCTCATTGCGCATTTTCTCGTATGTCCTAGAAAGTTCGGCATATGGAAGAGCTGAATCTTTAGATGGGAATGCCTGGTTTGTGCAAGATAACAAATCTAACAACCTTTCCCCAAAATTAATGGAAATGCAGGCAATAACCCCCTCAGACTTCAATTTGTCCATTAATTTCAACTCCTTGAACCATGAAATCAGTACCACTGAAGCTACCTACAGTAACCAAAGAAAAAGAATGATTTACATCAAGTTGTCAACTAACAGAAAATACACAAATCAATAAAGAAGAAATCAGATCATATTTAACAGAACTCTAGCATGGCATACAAGAAACTATGTGATCAGAACCTGTCTTTGAACTCCAGAAAAAGAGGCAAGTCCCTTCCACAATGGGTCCACAACATATTGAAGAGAAGCGTCATCCAATTTAGAAGCTAAAACTCCTAATGCTGTGGCAGTGACAACTCGCGTTTGGGTAACTGACAAGTCTGCATCGCCACCAACAACTATCTTTCCAATGTGAGTGGAGGTATAACCATTTTTATCCTGAAGACTAGTAGAATCTACTGAACTAAAGCAAATGTTATTATAGGGGTCACATTCTGGCTTCACAGCTCTCATCTTAGCAGCTGCCTTGAAGTGACTTTTGCGAGGAAGGGCCACAGGCCAAAACATTTTTGTAGTATCCAATGGTGAACCAAAAGGAGTACTTGATAACTCTATCCAAGAGGAAAAGTATGCCTTCACAGCAACTGTTAAGTCATCCACTGTGCACTGAAATTGAAAGAAATACGGAGAAATCTATTGATACTATGATTTGAATGCAATACAGTCATAACTAATAAAAGGAGATTGGGTTGACAAAAAATGTGAAGAGACTTTCCATGCAAGTGCACGAAACAAATGCACAAATGTTGATACTTGAATTCTCACTATATGAACAAGAAAAAATCTTTCACAATTATTTAGATAGATTCTTAGGAATAAGAATCTCAGTCCCCAAAACAGATCAACCACTCCATCCTGCTATACCTAATTCAGTACTTCACTCTTTCATGTACATAGATTCTTAGGAATTAGAATCTCAGTCCCCAAAACAGATCAACCACTCCATCCTGCCATAACTAATTCATGTACTCAAAACACCGCCATCCCCCTCCTAAGATTCCAAATTCGGGAGCCTTATTAAATTGTTACTATATAAAACATTGAATATAATTGTGCCTGAGATGCTAAAGCAGTTTTCATTGAGAGAACCAAACAAAGCAAAAGGGCATGACCATAAGTAGTAGACATAAAAAGAGGCAAAGAGCCTGAGATTAAAATGTAGAATTTGTTGTTTTTGTTAATAAAAATGGAGCACAGCGAAGCCAAAGCAAAAAGGTTGTTGGATTATCCAGCATTATTATCAGATGGCAACCTGGAGAAGAAGCCCCCAGACTCTCCTTGAGCACTGCACAACCTCTTCATTTGATTCAAGCAATAAATTCTGAAAAACAATTCGAAGGGTATCACCAAGGATAACTGAGGGCCAGAAGGAACTAGACACTTCAGATAAGCTCCTCTTGAACCCAGCTTCCAGCAAACGCTCCTGCAAAGTATTGATTTCATCCCATTTAGGCAAGCATATAGAGTAACTGATGCAGCGTGTCAGATATTAGACAAAAAGATGGTTAAAAATCCATGAAACATTAGTGTGAAAAAATATGACACTGAGAGAACATTGATATGGCTATTTGCAGAATATAAAAGAAGCCTTAGTAGAGAGAGGGTCTACCAAAGTACGAATGGCTGCATAGCGGACAGACGTGATACTATGTCTCATGAATGGCCATAATCTTGGTGCCAGAATTGACATCATATGAGGGTTCTCTAAAGAGCTAGTCCCTTCACTAATATAATCTTTGTAACCACTTTCATTGAGATTGATTTCTTGGTTCCCAAGTGATGGCAGGTTCTCGTACGTCTTTGAAATCATCCGTTCTTGAGAGTAAATTTCCGCCAATAAGTTCATAACACTACATTTTGATTAGTTAAAAAGTAAGTTCACTCGTAAGGGTTAACAGTAATAAATATCCCTCTTAGAGAGGGATATACAAGAATATGAAAATGAAGTACAGCATAGCACATAGACAGTCTTGTTTCACTAATAAGCTATGCTTAGCAAAATAACATCCCTCTGTGTGTGTGCGTGAGAGAGAGAGATCACAAAACTTGAAGAGACAAAATGACTGTTTGGCAAGGGGATGATGGTGTGTACGCATACCTTACCCCTACTCGAAACTAGAGAGGTTGCTTCAAAAACACCCTTGACTTGAGCAACACAGAAGGCACACGAAGCACAAACACACTAAGCAAGGATCAACCTAAGAGTAAAGGAAAGCACAAAGAGACAAAAACCCCAAAATAAAGAAAGCACACATGACAAGAAGTGAGCGTCGAGGAGTTGAGGCAGCACTGCATTTCCAAGAGAAGAGATGGCGAGGCAAAATGTGATGGGCAAGCTAAGGCATGCACCTCCCTTGACTAAATTCTGATTGCAGGGTGGTTACCTCTGGCTGAGAAAATAAATTTGTGTAACCTTCTTTGAAACTTATAACTTTCAACTTCTAACAAAAATGTCTTTCACGGCAAATTTTGGAGATGATAGAAGATGTTCGACCTCATCCAATCTTCAAGAGCAATATTTCTCATCAGTGACGGGTTAGCCTTCTACGCCCTAAGCTTCATTTTCCAGCTGAAACACAGTTCTACTCTGATTTTTTTCAATGTTAATTTTGTTGGTCTTCTGCAGTTCTACTATGATTTTTTTGTTGGTCTTCAACAGGTCTACTCTGGTTTTTTCAATGTTAACTTTGGTCCACCAATTTTTTTAGTTTCTACCTTTTAAATAAAAAGTTTTTTATTAATAAGAGAAAGAGTGAAAGTAATTTTTATATAATACAGAGCATATGTTAACATGATTGATTCTAGTTAAATGTTGCTTGAGCTGGGGGTCTCTTGGAAACAGCCACTCTACTTTTAGTGGGGATAAGGTCTGCGTACACACACACCCTGTTGTTGAGGGATTCCGCTGGGTTCTTGTTGTTGCAATGATTATGATTTATGAACCCTCCGTCCCATATTTTTCTTCTCATTTTCTTATTTGGCAAATAAACTTTACTAAAAAGGCTAATTTACCCTCCCTTTCTCTTCCTCTTTTTCTTCCCCAAACCCACCTTCATTCTTTCTCCGTCAAATCCGACCTCCCACCCTCCTTCTTACCATTCCCTCCGTCTATCTAAATCCCTTACCCTCCCCCCCGTCTGCTTTTTTTGTCTTCTCCTCTTAACTTTCATATAATTCTTCTTCTTAGTCAGATTTACCACCGTCCACTGCCTTCTTCTTTTCTTCCTTTTCTACTTCTTATCCCCCCCCGTATCATCCTCCTCTTACCCACTCCCTGTTTCTCTTTTTTGTTTCAGAACCTCTCCCCCATCCCAGATCTATGTTTTTTGCAATATCTAGGCTCATGGTAGAATAGAAAAGAGGAGAGGAGCAGTAGTAGATCCTAAATTTAAAGAATCTGGAGCAACTCCGGCGACCCTTCTCTGCGTTTTGAATTTGTATTAAGTCGGTCGAAGAACTTGGAGCAGCTTCACTTGGATTTAGCTTCAAACCTCTTCCTATTAGCCTTTCTGGCTTCTTTCTCTCCTCCTCTTGTCGCCAGCAGTGGCGTAATTTGAGGCTTGGCTGGTGGGTATTGAGAGTGAAACTTTAGGTTGGGGAGAGGGCATTTTTGGAAAGTCAACTACATTTATCACTTTAATATTTGTGCCAAGTCAATATGGGAAGAAACTTATGGGACGGAGGGAGTAGTTAAAAATACAATTTTTTTAACAGTTTTGTAGAAATGTCATCCTCTACTAGTAGAAAAGATCCAAGTTGAAAATATGTGACAATGGAAGGTGCAAGTAACGCAAACAATACAATTTGTATATTTTGTAAAGCAAAACATATAGTTGGAGCCTGGAGGTTTTATGAATGTAAGGGCGTGTGAGGAAGTGGTGGACATTGTGAAAGGAGATGCAAAATTATATGAACACGAGAAAGAGAGTTGGGAACCTTCATCGCCCATTGCATGCAACAGACCGCTACATAAACCCAGAATATTTCAGCTTTATCAAGACAATAAAACTAATTAAGGGGTGCTTGAAGGGTTTTATAAGGTGCATGAAAAATTGGTTCGAGATACAAGGGTGCAGGATAAGATCACAAATGAGCTCATATCTCATAAGAATGTAGAGGATACATTGAGGTACAATGTCGCAAAGAGGCAGAGAAATTCAACACCGGTAAGTATAATCCCTCAACTTACTTTAAATGGAAATTATTTTATTATAAATATTATCTACTTTCTTAAATTTATATTCACAATGGAATGGTGGAAGCATACCACTCTTGTAGTTGAAATAAATTGGAGCGTTTTTGAGCATGTAAGAATTTAAAAAACTGGTGAACAAATAGTTCTATGAAACAGGTAGTGAGATGTTTAATTGGTAATTTGGGCGGCTAGCAAGTTCATAGCAAGAAGAGGAATGGATTGGATCAAGCTAGGATGAATGATCTGGTGTTTTTGAAATACAACAGAGCACTATAGATGCATCATAAAATGCGAGATACAATTGATCTTATACCCTTGAGCAATATTGACAATTATAGTGTGTGGTTGATGGGTGAAGAGTGTTTGGAGGATACCATTGAAGAGAACTCAATTGATGAACTAACTTGGCATGATATTTTTAATCTACAGAAGCAAATGAACTCATTTATTATGCTCAAAGGACTCCAAGATGTGGTGCAAGTGCATCTTCACAGCCAACAAACTTGACACCGCTCACCAACACGTCAACACCCATTATCTTGTGGATGAGAGGATGATGAGAATAATGATTATGGATATGGCAAAACGGTGGAAAACCTTGAACTAGTTTTGAGTTAGGATTCGTCATGACTTTGAAATTGGGGTGTAGTTGCCTTATTCCTAACTCTTAACCTACGAATTTGTTCTATGTAGTAACTAATTTATCTTATTTGACATTAATGAATAGATTTGGATTATGATCCTTGGTCACCCGCCTCTCACCTTGAAATACACCCTCTTGCCAGCCTCTTGTTTTTCATAACTGTGAGGTCAGCATTCTTTTGGGTCGGAAAAAGTGGAGCAAAGATAGAAAGACTCAGAGACTAACAAAAGGTGGAGCTTGCACTTACAAATTCCTTTGATGATGTGTGCTTGTTTCTAGTGATACTATTAATTGAGAGATTAAATTTTATTCAAACAAGTGAGACTTCTTTTACAAATGCATCTTCAACAAATTTACTTGTAATGTAGGATACTCAATTTTAAACACGGAATAAGAATAAACTCACTTTGTTAGTGAAGAAAGAAATTTCTAGGATAAGGCAAAAAATAATGATTATGATGTATTATGCGACCCGGACGAAGACCATGTTCTCTTAACCAAATTTGAATGATTCTGATCTGATTGGAATAAGTTATTATCTGACTTGAATGTATTTATATTAAAAGTTGTTTCTCTAATACGGTCTAATATGATTCCATTAAGAAAAAGTATTACTAAGTAAGTAATAAGAATAAGTTAAAGAGAACATAGCCTAAAATGGTGCACCCCATCATGTTCAATCTTACCATAAACAAAATTTGAAGTATAGTGGAAGGAAAAAAATCCCACTAGCAAAGTGCTTCTATTAAAAATGTACTCTATTAAATCTAAAAAAGCATAAATCAAAACGATGGGTTATTAATTAAGGTATAAGCAATTAAGGTATTAAAGTAAAAATGGGTAATCAACAGGAATAACCTTGATTTCCTTAAAGAATAAATTAAAGAAGAATGTTTTCAAAAAAATAAAGAATGATAATCCATTAATATAAACAATGAATAACTCACGCATACCTGCTGGTGGATGGGCTCAAATCATCGAGGTCAAGTAAAATATCCCAGAGTAGCATAACAATAGTATGCAAGATTTGGCCTTTTAAGGAAACAATGGCGGTTGCAGTTGGTATTAAAGAATCTGCTGACACTGCTCGAACATCATCATCTGCATCCTCAAGCCCACGTTTACATGCTGGGAGAACATAGCCAAGCAAATCATTAAGCATTTCCTGGTACAAGGAAGAATTATACAATGTATTAAAAATAAATTGGAAGGAAGAAATATTGAATTGAAAAAGAAGAAATTCATTGAAGAAAAATATTGTAGTAATCAGCAACTAAAAACCAGCGAGGAAACAATGTAAAGGAAAAAAATGAAAGCCAAGTAAAAATAGGGTAAAAAACTAATTGTGCATATCCTTTTTGAAATCAACATTAGTCGCATAATCTCACCACCACTTTAATCATCAACTTAAGGCCAGAGGTCATGAAATTGATAGTGTCAACTTGATTGTCCAAGATGAATTAAATCATTGAAATAAGGGAAATTGGACAAAACACTACCAAGTATGGGCGACTAGAGCGAGGTACAAACTATCAATTTTATAAACAGAGCACTATAGGTACCCCAATTGAAATGGTGTCACGATGGTGCAACTCTAGAATGCCTCTCTCTCTCCCACTGTCTCTCTCTCACATATATATATCATGCCCCAATAGTATATATTACTTCGTCCCTAAATAATCTTCCCATTTCGGATCACGATGCTTGATCGAACTTCTTTTCTATTCAACTTATTTAAATGTTGGTGATTTGTTATAGAATTAGAAATAAAATATATTAGAAATCTACATCAAAAGTTCTACAAAACAAGTGGTGACTTGACTATATTATTTAATGAAATGAACAATGAAAACCGGAGTCGTTTCAATATTCATTTTCTTCACTAGAAAATTTCCCCAATGGTAGAACATTAATTTGTGATGAAGATGTGACTCATGAATTTTTTTCCATATAGATCTCAAATTGGTTTGGGTATTTTTTTAAAAAATTCATTGAATCCAAATTCAATTTTAAAAATAATTTCATGAATATGTGTAATATTAAATTTAATAAAACATTTTATGGCATAACTATACTTGTTTGATACCAAAACTAGATTCGATGAATCTTAAAATTCAAAAACAAGTTATAGATGTGTAAACATTATTCTCATGGATGCGTGACAAGATAGAAAATTCACTTTAGTAAAATTTTTCTTAACTTTTTTCCCATTACCAAAATTCTACCTTCGTAATTATGTTACACAGCTGGTCCCCAACCCAGATAAAAGAGTAGGGTTGTGTTAGGAGGTCTAGGGAACCAACAAAAACTTTGATGCATGTAGCTAACCCCACTTAGTGTGATAAGGCTTTGTTGTTGGTGCTAAAGCAAAATTCTTGATGAGGATGAATATATATATATGTGTGTGTGTGTGTGTGTGTGTGTGTTCACTATTTTTTACTTTGGGGTATGATGGAATAAAGCAAAATGGCTCTTTAAATTATGTGGCTTCTTTACAAGTGAAGTGGCAGTAAGTCAATGCAATTTTCAATGCTCATCATGGGTCATCTCTTATACATAAGTGTGAATCGTCATGCTGCATACAATTAGCCCCAACCCCGCAATGCACAAGAGTGTTTGAGGCATTGGGGTAATGTTGTTGTATAAGAGGGATACATATTTTTGTGGGGTAAGATTGGACCAAAACACTATCAACAATGAGAGATTTGAAAAAATCACTCCGATATGTTTATACGGAGAGTGTTAATACCAATTTTCATATTCTATATTGTTTGTGGCCAACAGGGGTAATGTTTTGGTAATATTTTTGTCCAATCGCCCATCCGTAGTGATGTTTCTGTCCATATTGCCTTTAAAATAAACAATGGCAACATGGAAAGCCTTATGTTGGTATTGGATTGTACCAGATACACTTCTTATTGCAAAGAAAAAATGAGATAAAATTCCACATCTGTAACCAAATAATGTTTTGTACAAGCACGGAGTGTATCATGAGAAGGCAATGAGGGGAGATACCAGCTATAGTCATGTCTAATTGCAAAACTGAAATTGTAAAACCAACATGCATATAATGGAGAACATGACAGTAGAGACATTGTACAATTACATATGCAGCTCACCCTAAGAATATCACCAATGCGAGTACATCTTAAACTCGTTGTTTAAAGGTCATTTCAGTATCTGTACTTATCAATATTAAAAATGATATATGTAGTAAACACACAGCAGTCATTTCAATATATGTAGAAAATTGGAGTGTGTACAAGATAGTAAAAAATTATGAATTTATGTAGGAAAAATTTACTAAGATAGACCTTTGTTTCACAGAAGTCGCATTATAATATTCAAATCAACAAATGAGGCAAGTAATAAGCTACAAGTTTATATCAGCAGGGTACTATGAAACAGTGTAAAAAATACCTTGCGCACAGCAACAAGATACTTGATGCCCAAGAGGCTACCATGACGAATCTCCCACTCAGGTCTATTCTGGAAATGAAGCAGATCTTATTAAATAAAAGTGAAAAGTAAACCCAAATCTGAGCAGAGATCTAACTCTCTCGTCTCTACTTATCAATTATTTACCAAATTCTAACAAATGTATAGCTTGTTTCCCTAAAACATAACACATTTCATATTTACCTGCATTTGTAGCAAGATATTTAGTGTCGCATACACAAAAGTAGGATGCATATACTTAAGCACGGCACCTAATGCTTGAGCACATGTTTCTCGAACAGGTGCAACAACTTGATCAGAAACATAGTCTCCAAAACTGCAAGGACAAATTGACAACTTGATCAGAAACTTAATAAGAACGCTGGAACAGAATCAGTGAAAGAAACAAACAGACAGGGACTTGCACTTTCTTGGGAGCCTACAAAGCCTCTTTTTTATCTTCACTAAAAGAAGGCATCAGTTTCTGTATAAAATTAAGAGCACTGGGCGGAGTGTCAATGTCTACGATGAATTTCTGAGTGAATGAAAACCCATTTGGCATTCCCCACTAGTGTTCGCTATCTACTACTTGTTTCACCTAGACTTTGAAATTGCAAAGCAAAAATATGTATGGTGTACTAAAACCCCACTTAAAAATTAAAAATGATTGCTCTAGACCCAATTACTTGGGACAGTATATACTAATGTTTCACTTATTTCAATAGTGAAGCCCCAGCCAGTTATTTGTGAATAGGTGTGATTGAATGAGCCCCAAAGAGGAAGGTAAGAGTTCAAACTCAGCACCGAAGGAAATATCATACCGGTCCAGTGACAATACACACAAGAATCGAATTGAACAGTCTTGAAGAAATTCAGAATTTTTAAACCAAGAATGTCTTGCCAATTTCACCATGTTCATCAGCTCACAGTTTCCAGTAAGGCTTCTTGACATATCAATCTTTTCCAATGATATACTGTGCTCAAAAGATCCCTTTGCCTCCATCGTATCATCGGAGCTTTTGCAATTAGGGTAAGCTTGGGCCTCCATCTTAACATGACCAGTACTGCATTCACCATTCTCCTGCCTTACAGGAATATTCATTACAGCATTCTCGGCTTTTGCTGGAATATTATTATTACTCAAACTACTGAGAGAGGACATTGCATCCATTTCTACAGGTGATGCATCTTGAATCTTAGGCTTCTTGAAAGCTGGTCCTGACTCGTGAAGGGGAACTTGTAAATTCAAATCAATTCCACTTTCCTGCTTTTCAAGAACCTTATCTTTAATAATAGAATCTAAACGAACATCACAGGTGGTATCAGGCACAACAACTCCTGCATTTGCACCTTGATGAGTTAATATCTCTCTCAATGCCATGATACTTCCATGACGAACCTCCCACACTAAGAAAAGAAATAAGAAAAGTTCCAGTTCTTGTCTCACAAGAAATCATAAATATCTAAAATAGGCAATAAACTGCATAGTTTCTTACAAGGATCAAACATATCAAGCATGAGCTGTTCAACAAAACTTTGAAACGGCCAACACCAATCCCCATCACTCTCCGAGCCCTCTTCATCAGACACACTATCCAGCATCTGCATTTAACATGTTTTCAGATTGAACCTTGAGGTCGGTCCAGCAAATGTAAAGGAAATTAATTTGAAGCAAACGTCAACATCCAAATGATGGCCTAAAAACACATATTTGATATAGACCAGGTAAGCCTCGAACTAAATTCAGTTTGGGTGGGTATTTTTTTATTTACTTCTTCTCTTGGGCAACATTACACACAACTTCTCCCATATGGTTCTCAGAGCCATTGAGACTGGACATTACAGAAAAAACAGTATGCTTATAGTTTAATTTATTTACAACACATCAATTTGTTTCACATGAAGTACTAAAAAAAATCTTGAAGTGAATGAGAGATGCCATAGCTGAAACTTGACATGCATAGTTGATTACTCTAATCTGTATACCAAATGATCGTGCAAAAGATCTAAGGATCACAAGTACATAATTAGATACAAAGTTACAAACATATTTAAACAAGCATATTCATTGATTAGGCACAATATGTAGCAATAATGCGTGTACTTTGCATTCTTTTTTGCTTTTAGTTTTTTTTGAGATCTATAAGTTAGGCCACATGCAAGCACGCAATTTCTGTATCTTTTTGTTCAATAACTGATAAACTGAACACCCAATTAGGCAAATAACATTAAATTCAGTGATTAGGCATAATATGTAGCAATAATTTGCATTCTTTTTTGCTTTTTTTTTAGATCTATAAGTTAGGTCACATGCAAGCACACAATTTTTTTATCTTTTTGTTCAATAACTGATAAACTGAACACCCAATTAGGCAAATAACATTAAATTCACCTTAGCAGAGACCACTGCATCAGAATGGATGCCCCTTGGCGAAGTCATATCTTGTGGAGGTGGAGCATCTAACTCTCCATCCTTGGTCCACCCTATTGTCTGGTCTTTCAAACTAATCTTTGCTTTTCTCTTTAATAGATTTAATTCCCTTGCGCTTGGCCGTCGAGTTTTGCCACTTGGCACGATATTTGAAACATAATGCCGAAGATTAACCTGGGGCCTTGGTGAATAATATTGAGAAGAAAGGCTAGTAACAGGTGAATTAACTCTTTGAAGCACAAGGTCCTCATCTCTTATCATTTCACTAACATCCATAAACTGCTCACACACATCTAGACCTGGAGACATTCGATAACAACAAAAATGCAATAAAAAATGTTCTGCAATTAACAAGTACATTCAATATCACTTAAAATGCCACTATTTTAAAAGACATTATAGCTTTAAGTATTATGGAGAACTTAATTTGTGTAGTTGTATATCCCATCCTACTGGATCCCATAAATGTTGGTCTCTATAATAACATCTGATATGCATAAGAAATTTTAATTGCAACCCAGCACAATATTTTTAGTCATCATAAAATAGAAAAGAGGTTTTTTAGCTGCCAATAATCCAGAGTTTAAGTCGTTTCCAAATGTAATTCCAAGATACAATGTTAGTAATAATAATACAAGGTTTGCTTCAGTCTTCCACGAATCCACACTCTGAAAATCTAACACTGTTAGCCTTTCGGTAATATCTTAAAAATCTGATCTGACCGGACCACTTTGGCCCAGAATCAGAATCTCAAAAATAAGTAAGCAGAAGATTAGCCACAATTCCAAACTTGGACTGTGGACTTTGTCGGAATATCCTCTGCCATTTGTTAGTTTTAAAATGGAGCATCTAGATGCCAAATGCATCATTTAAAAAACAATTGGCAAAACTATTTTGGTCCAATCCAATTCAAGATTTGAATAATTTATGTTAAATCTTCAGTGTACACATTTTGAAACTTTGAAACATTGAAACTTGTGATTATCTCTAGAAGACCGCCCAAACTTAGAGATATTGGCAACAAATTTCCCAAAAGAAAAACATATGAACTTACAAAATACATATAAGGCGAACATTTTAAGGTATGGAAACAAAGAAAATCAAGCTAAAATCTCTATCATATTCATGTTAAATTCAGGCTAAGCAAATTAGACATTTGCTTCAAAAGGGACTGCAACATTTTAAGTTAAATTGACAACAACTGTGTAACACAGACTAATGTGAACCTTCCACAAAATACAAGGTGGCAAAGCAAGCATATTTGTAAAGCATAAACTATACAGCTTTTTTGCGGATTTACCCAATCTTCGTCGCAGGTTTTGTTTTTGTCGAGCCAATCTCTCCTTTGTGTTTTTACTGTTGTCAGCAGGAACATCATATTCCTAAAATGAAGACAATTAGTGCATTAATCACACATACATACATGTGTGCAAACACACAGTTCAAGTCTAAGAAATAATATATATGAAGATCACTTATATCATCTTCCATGGTTGGGATATGCCGCCCTAAAAAAATATGAACTCCTTTATAAAATGGGGTAACAACTTGAGCATTATTTGTATGCCCCCTTTTTCACTTTTTCTTTTTACTCCAGCCGTCCCACAAAATGCTCTAATATCTTATAAACAAATTCTACCCACTCACTTTTCACTTGATAACATATTTTTAACATTTTTCATTACTATTCATAATCTCCTTGAAATCAAATTCATAAAACAAACTTGGGATGTAGGGATCATATGTTAAGATCTAAGTCCATTCTCCTGCTTGTTCGACGGTGATGTCACTCATTGTATCGGAATGGACTGAATGAAATGGACGTTCCTATACAGAAAGAATGTGCCGCCAAAACTAATATGTAAGTTCAAAAAGGTGCAGTCACCAACTGTTGTATGGGGCATAGCATTAGCCAATGAAGAAAGGAACTGTCAAAATTTAGTTTTATTCTTTTTCCTTCTCAATAAAGCCTCCAGTATTACCATCAAATTTTGCAGTTTCTTTCATGATTATTTTTTAAACTATTGTAGCTTGTGTAAAAAATGCTCAGCATAATCCAATTGCCCCCATCGTAAAATATTACAATATGTAACTACAAAGAGCAAAAATATTTCCCACACATGTTCCCTTTCTTGACTACTTCAGTGGATCCTCTGGTTTTGTTAACAAAGGTGGAATTTGAAGAACAGTTCTGAGAGTTTTTGTTACCTGCCCCCCAGATGCCAATAGAGCACCATACTCCAATACTTTGTTCAAATCAAAACTGCAATAGGTAAAATGTAAATAAATAGCGAGTAAAAGTATAGAAAATTTGAATGACAATCAATACACAAACCACCTTGAATATGCGCAAATATATTGCTGTCTCATTATATCCTAGTAATTAGTCATGTGGTGAACCCTACTCTGCTGCTATCTTACTTTCTATACCAGATGTTATCATATTCAAATTCAGTTTTAGAAGTTGAGAATTACTTTGAATGTTGTTTTAAACATATTTAAATACTGCGTTTTAAGTATAAGTTTAATTACTAATTTATGGAAGATTTAACTTTGACTCTAGTCAAACCTTGTAATCCAAAATAGCAATTGTAACTTAAGAAGTGAGTATTAGTTACTCGAACACAACACACGGAGAGATATATTGCAAAGGCACACAATGTGTTTCTTGTGAGGAAATTTTTTTAAAAAAAAGAAAGAAATATATTAACCTTCCAAAAGAAGTGCCTCCAGGAAATTTAGGATTACATTTAGACCATGCTACTAAATCTTCAACTGGACCAGAAATCCCAGCTTCTACCAGTTTCTTCTCAATAGAATCGCAAACATCAGCCAGAGATGTATGTTTAACATTCTCTGCTATTGCCCCAATGGCATGAGCTGCAGCAACCCTGGTGTCCCACTTTTTGCTTCGTAGATATTGTGAAACCTACAATTTAAAACTATTTGGACAGTCTGGTGCAAATTTATAACTCCAAATTCACATCCTTAACTCTTTACATTAAACCTCGACAGCCAACACTAGAATAACCTAAGACTTCACATTATTACAGTTGGCAGAAACTGGTTTTTTTGCCCAATCAGATGAAATGCAAACCAGTTGTTCCAAAAATTGACATTATAAACCCCATGATAAGAAATAATGAGCAAAAAGGGACCCTACAGCCAGTTGTTTAAATTCACGCGCACAAACTGCAATTCAGATTATTTTTTCCTGTGAATCAATTTTTCCCTCATGTGGTAGCTATTAATTCAGTTTATATCAATTTTGAATTTATATTATATAATTTTTAAAGTTATTATTTTACGATATTAATTCAGTTTATATCATGCTTAGTTTATTTCTATTTCAATTTATATTTGCATAATTTGGATTAATTCATGGAACTCATGGCTTTGTACAATCGGGCACACTAACCTAACTTTGCCATAAAAACTTATGCAAATTTAAACAAAAAATTAAAATATAAAACAAAAAGAGAAGTCACAGAGAATATTGAGTAAAAACAGTGCAAATCTCAATTATGGAGTAGTATAAAATAAAAGGGTGAGAATAAATGGTTATGCTGACTACAAGCTGAGTGACAAATCTGACAATATAAGATAAAGAAGATGGGAAGCAAAGTAAACATCCATATACTGATACCTTACTTAACAAAGAGTTCAAGTCTTGAGGATGTGATTTGGCTATTTCTCCTATCTGTCTGGCTGCTGTTAATCTTGTTGCTTGGGTGGACCCAGCTATACTTTTGTTAAGAACAAACACCATATAATTCCCAAATTTAAACTGATAAAGGAACATATTGTCCACCCAACAAGAGTAAATCACCTGTAACAAAATGGAACCTTATACAACAAAATTAGAGTGCCATGAATTGATTGAAACAAATGCAGATAGAATCCATATAAAGGTTTGTTTTTTTTTTAAATTCTTTTCATGATATGAGGGGAAGCAAAGGATACTGTCCAATAACGTTAGCAGACGATTGAGTCGCGACGATGGCTGCTGCTGGGCCATGCTGCTCTAATATACTCTATCAAAATCTGCCTCTCCTGTACTCGAAATTAAACAATTCAGACCCGCCATCACCTATGAAGCAGGGGTACACAGAACCTGGTGAAGGATAGCTTTTCGGACAATGGGACGCTATAGGGACACACCTCGGACATGTATATGAAACTCAACGCGGCGGCGTACGTCGAGGAGACGCCCGGAGCTCCGGTGGCGCTAACAGAGAGAGAGGTGTGGCGTTATGCGCGGGAAAAAGGTGAATAATTTACCGGAAAAAATGGAGAGGACGAGAAGCAGCTCCACACTCTCAGATCTGTGATCTGTTCGGGAATTTGGGGACGGAGCTTGTTTTCAGATGTTTCATGGACTAGGGTTCCGACTACTTCTCTCCTCTCCTCTCTGTGTGTGTATTTATTCTACTCTACTACATGGAGAAATGCTATTCATTTGGGAGAGGGAGAAATATTAAATGTTGTGGCAACTTTTTAACAAAAAAAAAAGTGAATTAAGTTAATGATAATAATAATAATTCTTCCACACACGAAAAATTTAAAAAAAAATGTAAATTTTGGTGATGTAGAAGAATTTAAAAAAAACCAGACTTGTTATTCTAATAAAACCAAAAAAATAAACTGAAAAATATCGAATAAAAAATATCACAAAAAAATAAAATTATTGAACTAAATAGTTAGTTTGGTATTTGAAAGTGATACTAGGTAGGTTTTTATACTAAAAATCTTGAACTAAATATATATATATATAATATATATATATATATATATACTAATATAGGGAGTATTATACATATATTAATTTTTTTACATTTCTTCAATACTAACTTTATTTTAACAATTTGGTTTATTATATCTGACTTATCTTAATTTGAAATGTAATTTTTTGTAGATAATTTTAAACAATATTACGAAGCATTTGAAATAGGGAGTATGTTGTTGTTATTATTCATTACTTTAGTTTGTGAATATATAAACAAAATTTAGTACACATTATTTCATCTATTAATTTTTTTTAATTTTTTTGTGTTTCTTCATTACCTCTAATGAGTTTAAATGGATTTTGTTATATTTTTTAAAAATTAAATTAGATATGAGTGTATTTATCCCAAAATCATTATCCTTTCATCTCAACAATGCCAAACCGATATTTTGGAATCGTGGTCGATACATGTAAAATTTCATGCCAAACCGAAATATTCAGCAGCATAAGCTAAAATCGTGTTATGCTCACTTTTACGAAAACTTACTACCCTACAAAACAGTTTATGTCTGCTACTCTCTTTGTCTCAATTTAATTGTCTATCTCAATTTATGTCTGATTGAATTTATTTGTAATATAATAATTTTTGTATGTGAGAATTAAGGTGAAATTAAAAATAAAATTTACATACTAAAAAGTATATCAAAGCTTTACGAAACAAGGAGTGATATGAAGTGTTATAGGCTTGAAAAAATTCCTTTCATGTGATTCTACTTCAGTTGGACTTTAGAGCATCAACAATGGTGAAACAAAAATAGAATGTCACACGGTGACGTGAAACTTTACAACCAATGAAAAACAGTCTAATCACCGCGTGACAAGTGAGTGAGTAGCAAAGTCTATAGTGGCAAGTCATTACTTTTACCACTTTTAATTTTTTTTGATATATTTTAATTATTAAAAATTATTTTACTTATCAGAAAAAAATAAAAATATAAATATAAATTGAAAAAAAAATTAATTTCAGAAAAAAGAAATTAAAAAGAAAATAAAAAAAATAAACTTAAGCCTTTGACACGCCCATGACATGGTTTGAGGAGTGGAATGCTTTGCCATGCCATGCCCATCATGGCAATTATTGAGGTAGCAGCTTATGTGGCAACCATGGCAAACATTTCCCAAGCCATTGTTAATGCTCTTAATAAATTCGTATGAGAGCAAAACAAATTAAAGGAGGATTAATATGAAATTTAAATGCAAGAAAACAATACCATACACGAAATATAGATTTATTTATAACAATACTCATTCCCCAAACACTAATTGTCAATACAACACACCAGAAACAGACAAGCCAACCACTAACACCACTATGATAGTTTGATACGACAAGCAAAACAAAAGAGACGAGCCATGAGACGACAACGTCCACAAACCAGATATAAGATCCAAGCGAGCAATATATGCGCAACATATATATAGATGTAATTGACAAGTCAACTTTGCCTGGCGTTGACTAGACGACTTCCAATTAGATCGCCTCAATTTCCAGAGCAAGAAGAAGAACTCTCACCTGATGATGAGCTGCTGTCGCCTTTAAGGCGCTTCATCTCCTCGTAAGCCCATTCAAGACCGGGACAATAGTGCACTGATGGATTAAACCTCGTGTCGCTTATGTCATCTGGCAGAAAGGCACCATTTTTAATCAGGAAGTTGATTGCTTTCTTCTTTCGTTCTTTGGCTGCGTGATGTAGGGGAGTCCCTGCATATGGAAGAGGGTTACAAACCAAAGATCAGTTATATGGGAAAACATGCTGTAAGGGAGTGCCCGAGTTAGTTGCAAAACAAACATCAGCTATACGGGAATTATTAGCCTCGATACAAAAAAAGGAAAGAATTTTGTCAATGAAACTTAGATATAACTTTTTGAAACTCGTTTTTTACGAGTAGTATTTATTTATTTCTATTATAAAAATGATAATGGATGGCTATTATCAATGTCCACATTAATATCTGTAAAATAAACTGAAATTACTAACAGAACTATCCAGAATTCCAGTCAACATTGGGTACAAGGTATTTCTGAATTAATCCGGGAATGTGTTTTGACAAAAGAAGTGTTTTCATTCACATTCTCAAAGTATAATCCAAACGTTTAAAACTACAACTTTCTGTAGCATTTCTTTATCTTTCAATAGCACTTTCCATGTTCCAAACATATCATAAATGACATATAACTACACTTACATCCACCACAAGCTCCTTTGGTTCGTGCATCAATATCAGCACCGTGCTCAAGCAATTCGTCCATAACTTTGACATGGCCACCTTTAGCAGCAAGATGAAGGGGTGTCACACCCGCTGCTTTAGGACCCCATGCAGCCACATTCGCATCAATACCTTCTTTAAGCAGCCGCCTCACCTGAAGAAACGGTCATCCCAAACAAATTATAAACCAAGGCTGAATTCAAAAATATTAAAGAGTATGAAAGTAAGAGAGATGTGCTGAAATAAAATCACTCCCTAGTCCCCCATTCCAAAAAAATGTCATGTTTCAAACCTTATTTTTGTTCCGAGAATGAGTCATGTTCAATAAATGAAGCTAATTTCCACTGAATTGAGTGGAAAAAAGGTGTTCCTAAAATTAAATTTGTAAAATTTAGTTTGTTAAACAATAAATGTAAAATTACAAGTGGGATTGATAATTTACAAGAGAGGTATGTAACCAAGGAAGTGATAAATTAAGCACTACTATGGACCAACAAAAAAGGCCTAGAGAAAGCAACAAAACATAGAAACTGATTTAATCCACTTCTCGCTCAACATAACAACTTAAAGGCAAAAATGATCTGTAGGTGTTGCAAGCAAAAGCATCAATTCGCTGCATAGCTACAGAGTAGAAACTTACTTGTAGTGTAAATAGGGCAAATAGAAAGAGAAGACATTGAACACAACCTATGAAACAAAAAATCTATAAAAAGGCTCACATTTACCCCATCCCTGTAATTTTTATTTATTACTCTTGCACATAAAATTGAAAAAAGTTACCCTACACCATGGCATGGTGTGACTTCATATAATTTAAGAAAAGTATTGATAATGAAAAGTAAAATGCTGTCGCATATATCTTTCTTTGAAAGGAAATTAGAAGAGGGTGGCATTTATTTTTGGGATGGCAAAAAAGGAAAGGGTGATATTCTTTATAGGACGGAGGACGTGGGAGATAGGTCATTAGTAATTAGTATTGCTATTGCAAGTAGCCAAAGACACGACCATTATCACAGGTATCAATGCATCTACGCATATGCAATCCAATGCTTACATATTTTGGAGTAAATAATGAGTAATATTGGCTAAAATTCATCAACATAAGCATCAAAAATAATAATCTTTAAAAAATTAAAACATCCTTATGTGAAAAAGAGAAAAAATTACCTCTTTCAAGTCACCTTTCCGTGCAACAATGTGAAGTGGAGTCCACCCTCGATCATCTCTATCGTCTGCGGTCATGATTGACCTTTTAAACCGCCTGTTTAAACCCGACTGATCTACAACCATGATCTTCTGAAGAGGAACTCAACACTATAACAATCAAGACTCTTCAAACAGAAAAACAAGCTTTTCAGCAGCAGGTTTAAAAAAAATGGATATCCTTCCTCGGGTTTTTGAAATTAAATGGAGAGATCTATTAAACCACAGGACCAAAATACAAGACCCTTTGGTTTCAGCTGAAACCGATCAGAAGCCTAGGGATTCATTCGACCCGGCACCAAGATAGATTCGCAATATTCAGATGAAATTGGATATAATCTTCTAGCTATTCAATACACAGTTAGAATAAATCTTCCCGTGAGACTCAAAAGCTGACAAAAAGAGAGCAAATATGTTTATTTCCCCTCAATTACATGATCGGATGATGGAAATCAACAACAAATACAAAAAAAACAAAAGAAGCAAAGACGACGAGATAAGGAACAATGGCTTAGCGAGAGCAGGAATGATTGGCGAGGTTATACGGAGCAAACGGATTCAGACCCGGACCAAAAACACGGAGATTCACAGAAGCAAGAACGTTCACCGGAGACGATGAAGTGAAGCGGAGGAGAAAAGAGATAATCATTATAATGAATTCTCTACACCAAAACTGTTAGAATCGGGATATACTGCAGCTTCGAAACCGGATGTTATATGATCTCCGGTATGATGAATCGAAGGTGGTTTGGCGGTTGCATAGATTCAAAGGGAGTATGTTAGTTCTGGTATTCCGGCCAGGGGAAGAAGATGAAAACGAGAAAGAAATTGGAAACCCTAGATTGCGAATTGAAGAGGGATTCCGTGGAAGCGATTTGCCACGGCAGGGTATATTTGCAGCTGGAACCAGACCAGACCGCCGAGTCAGATGGTGAGCCGGCCACACATTTGTTAAGAGTGAATTAATCTAATGAGATATATTATTTTATTAAGGTCCCATCTATTTAATATGATCTAGTCTCATCTTATTTTACTTATACTTAAATTTGTTTTTATATAATTTAGTCTAATCAGAATCGCATTCTAATTAATCCTCCTAGGACTAATGGAAAAAATAAATGATATTCATTCTTGAAATCATTTCTTATAAGTTTAAAATATAGAGCCGTATGCTAGAAAATTGAAAGGGTTAGAAAGTATTAAAAAAATTTAAAATAAATATTATATTATGGAAGTTTCATATTTTTACTAAAATAATTTAATAATTTATACTCTATTTATTTTAAATTTCTCTTTTTATTTTTCATATACTAAACTCTTTTTGTTTGAAACAATATGTATATTACTCGACAATATTTTTGTCACACGTATTTATTATTATTTTTTCTTAGACTGATTTTGTTTGAAACAACATTATTTTTGTAAAATCACCACTATCTTTGTTATATGTGCCACTCCCCNCTACTTCAACCCACTGCCGCATAGAGTTAACGTGAGACATGTTTTGCTTGCTCATCATCTGTAAACGTTGTCATGTATAAGGGCATTGAGTCAAACAAGGAATCACTTTTTCTAGATTTCCCGAACATCTCAAACCTTGTCATGGACCGCCACATCCTCCATTGCTAAATATACACGCACACGAATAACATCATTTAAGCACGCCAAAAGAATTTTGAACTTCTGGCGGTAGTCATAAGTTTCATACAATCTACCACATGCATTTATTTGAGGTGTTATGCCTGTTTTGTTCATTGTTCAATAAGCGGTAGACCTGTTTTTATTGTGAAATATCCTTTGGGGTCCCTTCTCCACATCCATCTATCTTCTATTGATGTCGTCCACATGGAGATTTTACAAATCTCATCAATATATATCACCTTGGTAAAGATAGCCTACAGGAAATTTATACTACATGCATAACTACACGGTTTGAAAAGTTTCACCGCCTTCAGGTTACCCAACTCTTGTGGCAATAAAGTAGTTAATATGCATGAATCCACATTTTAAAGTAATCAAGGGCTATGAACAATAGTTGTGTCTTGTTCTTTTTCAATTATTCGTTTACATCCCTTCAGTAATAACTCTTTACCCTCCACAAGTGACCTCTAGATAAGAGTTGGGTTATGGCCCACACCCATAAAATCCATGTCGGCAAAGTAACAAGATTCATATGCTTGATGGACTAAAGGCTTGAGTCGAGTAAGTAGATTATATTCTAGCCCGTCTTGGATACTGATGTCCGGTTAAATAATTTAAGTTGCCGAAACCCAAGTGGCATAGTTCTCCTTCCTCCTGTTGGGACTGCGCGTGCCCTCATCCCAACCCCGCATTAGTATGATATTGTCCGCTCATGGCCAAGCCTCACAGATTTGTTTTTGGGCACCTCCCAAAAGGCCTCATACTAATGAGGTTGGGTGAACCTATATATTTTGGTGTATTTTTTCTTCTTCCTCCGGTGTGGGACTTGGAGGAATTCCCAACAAACCTTCCCTCAACCAAGGACCACACAATTTCCGACCTCCCCTCCAGCGGTAATCCATTTTTCCTTTTTATCTGCTAACCATCTTGCACCGCCACACACTCTTTGCGGGACCTGCCGCTCGACCTCCTATCGAGAAGACTTTCGACGCAAGGCTCGAACCGCAGATCTTTCCTTCGCTGGGCTACACCATTTGATCCGCCAAATCATCTTGTACTGCCGTGACTATAACTTCACGGGACGCGCCGCCCGACCTCCTCTCGTCGGGAAGACTTTCGACACAAGGCACCACCTGCAGATCCTCTTTCTTGGTCTTGGTCCTAGTTACAACATCACACTGAGATTTTTCCACACTGCACTGTCCGCTACTCCTGCCCGCAAGAACCTGGGCTCCGATACCACATGTTGGGACTGCGCGTGCCCTCATCCCAACCCCGCATTAGTATGATATTGTCCGTTCTGGGCCAAGCCTTCACGGATTTGTTTTTGGGCACCTCCCAAAATGCCTCATACTAATGGGGTTGAGTGAACCTATATATTTTGGTCCATTTTTTCTTCTCCATCCGGTGTGGGACTTGGAGGAATCCCCAACACCCCCTTAGCTCTACACAAATGTTGCCACATCATTCAACTGATACCGCATCACCCCTCTACAATGTATGGTCTCTCTAGACTTATTTGGAACTATTGAAGCCGCTTTAATTAGTTTTGGATACTCTTGATGTGGAGGTTTTTAGGCACAGAATGATCTTATTACAAGAACTTTAAAAGTACGTTAAGCACATTTAATTCAAATTTTGGAAAATTGAGACCCAGGACAACTGAAGGTATCGAATCCCCACATACTAGAATGATCTTTTTAGACCTATTTGAAATTATTGATAGGACATGATCCTCTCTAGTAATGATTAATAGAGATCTCAATGTTTTCGCACATACTTGCGGGAAGCTTGAATTTCATACTTAATTATCATAATTTTTTGTCCATACCCTCTAAGAGCATCCATCGGAGTGTATTCTTTTATCATACATACATTTTTTTCTCAACTCGAGTAGTGTGTTTCTCACCTTTTACATGCATGTATTTTGTTTTGAAACCCCGCACGAGGATATTTTATTTGCTTCCACACCCACTATCAAATGTTGGACCCCATCGATATGCACACCAATTATTTAATTTAAAAGGATTTTCTAATTTATACACAAATTAAAAAAATATACATATATCAATGGTCATAAAGTTTTGTACTCTATAAATAGACACCCACATTGTTATATTTTAACACACTTTTTCAGTTTTATTTTACAAAAATCTATTGTTTAGCAAAAAATGATGTGAATGAGAGAAAAAGTGTAGTGATACATAAAGTTTTTTTCAAACACCATTAGGAGTGTTATAAAAAAATTAATTATACGTTTTTAAATTTTCAATAGTTTGTTTTTTTTAATTTCCCCACAATTGATGTAGGCCCATTTGGCATCAGCGTCAGAGATTAGCATTAGCGTTTTGAAAAAGCTATCCAACGGTAGCTTTTGGCACCGTTTGGCATCAGCGTTAGAGATTAGCGTTAGCGTTTTCAAAAAGCTATCCGACGGTAGCCTTTAGCGTTAGCGTTTTTAGATTTAATCTACACTATTAAAATTTTATCCAAAACGCTAACGCTAATCGAAAACTCTGTTACCAAACGAAGCCTTTAGCGTTAGCGTTTTCAAAATTAATCTGTACTGTTAAAATTTTATCCAAAACACTAACGCTAATCGAAAATGCTGAGCCCCTAATGATTATCGTAAAATACTCAAATGACCCATTCAAAGTTCCAACCAACGACCCCAAAATATTCTATATCTTGTCAACCAAGTAAAGAAGAAAAAAGTATTAAAAAAGTTTTAATCACTAATTTTAATGAGTAAATTGGCTTTTTTCTCCTTCACTTTCCATTTAATATAAGCCCACAAGAACGAGAAAAAGGGAGGAAAAGGTAAAAACCTCTAAGCCCAAAACAATTACACCCAATTCTTTTTTTTTTAAAGAAAATTATTATTAAATCTAATATGATGTTCCGAGGAGGCAGTGGGCATGGCGGAGGAAGCAGAGACAGTGAAAACTTTGGCCAAGGCAGCAGCGGCGGCGGATCATTCAGCCACCACCAAATGATGCCTCCGCCGCTGCCACACCATCATCGCTCGACCGCGTCGATCCCGTCCGCGGCTAGTGTCGGCATAGGCTTCGGCGGAGACGACGAGCTTCCGAGACGGGATGAGCGGATTCCGCAGTGGAGCAACCAGGAGACGAGGGAATTCATCGCGATTAGGGCAGAGATGGCGGGAGATTTCGCCGCCGCCAAGCGCAGCAATTCCAAGGCTCTCTGGGAAGTCACAGCGGCGAAGATGAAGGAGCGAGGGTATCGCCGGACCGCCGAGCAGTGCAAATGCAAGTGGAAAAACCTAGTCAATCGATACAGGGTAAGACTATTTGCGTTTCATCTTTGTCATTTTCCAGAATATCTGCAAATTGTTTGTTACTCCGTATGTGTTGAGCTTGTGATGGCTAATCACTGATGAGATAGAATTGGAAGTGCAATTTTTTTGAACATTAATTAATGCTTCTTGTTCCCTTTATAGCGTATAATTGATCCATTGATGCTGTTACAAAGAAACATACTTCATTTCTGAAACACTGTAGGTCAATTAATCAGAAAGTTACTCTAGGATGATGTGGGTTTGTTGAAATAATGCAGGCCTTTATATTTTCAAAAAGACATCAGGAGCCTTTACATTTTGTTGTAAAGACTATTCCGTCCACTATTACGTTAATGACCGTTAAAAATGTATTTTCCATTTTGCCCTTGATGGTTTGATGTTAATAAAGCTCAGGGTCTTCACTTTCACTTTGTTTCCTTTTTTTCATAAAGTTTTTTCAATTTCTCATGTAACTGTTTTTTTCAAAAATTCATAATGAAAAATAACTGGAACTAAAATGACTACTGGAAGGTCAAAATGGACGAAAAATACATTTTTTGACGATCATTAACGGAATAGTGGACAGAATATCCCCTTCCAGTCTTTACAACAAAATGTAAGAGCCCTTGTTGTCTTTTTAAAAATAAGGCAACCTGCAAGTTATTTTAACAAAATCTACATCACCCGAAAGTAATTTTCTGTCATTGAATGAACTCCTAGTTCGCCGGACTGCAGGGTGGATAATTGGAATGTGCAATTTCATTCATGGGTTACAATCAATGCTCTTAAGCAAGACCATACATAGAACCAGCGACCTTCTACCACTGGTCAAACCAGTATGGCATCATAAATAGAGATAAAAATCAAAATAAATTATAGTGTGGGCACTCTGGGCTGTAGTGAAAATTATAGTGTGGGCACTACGGGCTGTAGTGGAGTGTGAAATGTGAGACTTTAAGTCTTTGCCTCTCTATAGCGTGGGAGGGAACCTTGTAGGATTATCTTCATATCCGTCAATTCTCATGATGTTTTTGCTGTAGTTGCATTGAGGTAGTATCACTGGCCATATGAAAAGGCTGGTAAGCATAGAGTTCAAAAACAAATCATAGTGCACATAGTTATTTAGTCAAAATGATTGGATGATTAGTTAAGAATGTACTGGATTCACCTTGTCCATTGGCCTTGTGGCGGATTCATTGGATTTATTAATGTCCAAGGAAGTTCGGAACCTGGATCATTAGAAAAATTAATGTCGGCAATGTGGAAAGCAAATAAGCAAGCATGGAAGTAAGAACATCATCAAGCAATAATAATTATTTTTCAAGGCTCGTAATAACCCTTCCAACCAAACATACCCGAAATTCCATTTTTAGTTATGATTTGCACTAATAGTGTGATTCAGCCTCTCAAGGCATGCAAATCATTTCTTTCAGTGATTAAAAGAGTCATCATTGATTGACAACGTTTTAGTTTCGAGAACATAATGGAGTAAATAAAGAAAGGCACATTGAACTTTCTTTGTTTCTTACTCTATGGAATTTTGGGCAATAAATGCAACAATGCATCTAAGGTCTAATGGAAACAACATCTCTTACTGTTTTTGCATGGGCAAAACTGCGTTAATCTTGACCCCCACACCCCAACGGAGTTGGGATTTCACTGGGTTGTTGTTGTTGGTGATTAAATATTCTTCCATCCCAAAACCAATGTTTTTAAGACAGGATATTCGTGTTTTATCCCGTAGTTGTATGTGTTTTTGAAGCTTAATTTTCACTCTTTTCTGCGTTTGGTGGTGAAGTATGAGTATCTGCTCATTTTGACAAGTTTTTTCTATTAGTTTTTATTGCAGTTTTTGTTCGTAGACCAATATGTTTTTGCTGGTGCAGGGGATGGAAACATCTTATCCAGATGGTGGCAGGCAATGCCCTTTCTTTGAGGAGCTCTATGCAGTCTTTAAAGCAAATGACAATACCATCCAACAATTTGAACCTGAATCTGAGGTTGTTCGTCCACAGGTCAGCTGCGGAATCTGGAATCACTTTCATGTCGAATCAGCATGGTGCGAACTGCAGAAAAAGCTTTCAGCATCGTGCTGGTTCGGTATGGAAGCCTTTTTTTGTTTTTCCTTTAGACACACATAATATATTGTCGAGGATACTGTCGTACATCCTAAAGACCTAAACCCATGCTAAAAAAAACTAAGATTACCTCTGTCCCATTGTGTTTGTCCAGTTTAATTTTTTACCATCCCATTGTGTTTGTCCAGTTTAATTTTTTACCATCAAAGTGGACGAGCTTTGAGCATCAATAAGAAAGAATATCATTACATACCCTACTTTTGATAACATATGAAAACATAGCTTTTGTATATTAGTTAGAAAAAAATTATATTTTGAAAACATTCTATACAAGAAATTGAATAAAAAAAATTTGTATCAATATCTAATATATCACTTTTATTTAATTTGAGGTCAAAGTTTACTGATTTTGACCGAAAAAAGTCAAAAATAAACAAATACTCAGGGACGGAGGGAGTATAATCTACTCCGTAATATTTATTTACTCTGCAACTGCAGGTTGGAAAGAGGGGTCGGAGTGCAGACCGATCCTCAGAGGAATTCTCAGTAGAAGACGCGGAGAACGGGTACGAGAGCGAAGGAGGCGGAGAAGCCATGGGGCCAAAACTGAAAGCCCCAAAAGAAAAGAGGCCGAGATTGACCGCCACAGAGAAATCTTTGAAACAAACGGCAAACCTCTGGGGCAACCAAAGCACTCTTGAGGGCATTCAAGAGATATTCAACAATTTCATTCAGCACCAGATGAGGAGTGAGATGCAATGGAGGGAGTCCGTGGAGAAGTGTGCTGTGGAAAGGGAGGCGTTTCAGCGGGAATGGCGGGAAACGATGAGGAAGCTCGAGGAGGATCGGGTCGTGTTCGAGCAGGCGTGGAGGGAGAGAGAGGAGCGGCGCAAGATGAAAGAGGAGAGCCGAGCTGAGAAGAGGGATGCTCTCTTGACCATTCTTCTCAACAAGCTCATAAATGAATGAAGGTTTTTATCTCTTCCCTTCCTCTTGCTCCCATTCTCCTTTTTTGTATTCCGTCCGGATTTAGCTGTCCACTTTCTTTAAAAAATCTCATTTTAAGTATTATAGCATATAAACACATTCCCGAGCATTCAATTATAAGTTTGAGCTCTTGGTTGCGATGGTTCCTTGACGAGTCCATATGTAAAGCTCGGTCAAAGAGACCATCGTCTGCATCTGAAACAACGTATTATAGTAAACATTTCCGGTGCTTCGCCCACACTTTTGAGCTTTTGTTTGGGGGGTTCCTTGACATTAATGAATAGGTCTAAACGCTCGTTCTTGTTAATAATGTTCATATACCTTGTTTGGAAACAACATTTTCGATTAACGTTAGCGTTTTGGATAAAAAAATTTAATAGTGTATATTGATTATGAAAACGCTAACGCTAAAGACAATCGCCCGATAACCTTTTTCAAAACGCGAGCACTAAGCTCTAACGCTGATGCCCAACGGGGCCCATACTCCATTTTAAAGATATTTTACACACTTCATCATACATTTTTTTAAATATGGAAAGTAGGCACTTAATTTCGTACAAATGAAAACATGAAGGGGGACAACGAAATATTCGGCTTGAAGAAGTACATTTGGGTTTTTGAAGGGGATAATAAGGTAATTAACATCTTGAATATAGCCTCAATGATGTTACGGAGTATTCATTACTCCGTCCAAAATATTTGCCACACTTATTTTTTCAGCAGTTAGGCGGCAATAATTTTGGTGTGACAGCACAGAAAAATGAGACGGCGAGCATGCAAGAGATACACGTGTCACCATGCATGGGAATGCTCCGAGCGACGGAGTATGTACCACCACTACTTCTTTAGCTTGCTACCCATTCTCGGAACTTTTTATTTTTATGTAAAAACAACACAAATCTTTAGAGTGAATTGGAAAAACTAAAATTGTTAAAAAGTGTTACGAGGAATTCTTTTAGTACAAGTGTTACTAATTAATCTTTACTAATTTCCCCCAAAACAATATTTACTAATTAATCTTTCACACATTTTCTTTTTATTCGATTTAATTGCTAACAAGCCCTCTCTCATTTCTAACTTATATTTTGTTTATTTTGATTTACGATGTTTGATCAGTTTATTTAAATTATTTGAAGAGTATATATTTAAAGAGTTGTGCTGTGTGGTCTTAAGATCGGAGTTAAGACTATATGTGTGTGAAATGTGGATACTCTAACATATTTTTTCATTGACACATGATTAGATTTCTTTCTTTTTGCATAGCTGAATTGCCTGAATAAATATATTTACTTTATGCACTAAGGTCGAGTGGTGCTTACATGATTCCAATGTTTGTATGTGTATATTTTTTAATCTGCAAAAGACCAAATTCATTTATGCTAGAAATACAGAAAAATCGATCAAATGAATACGGGCCTTAGGTTTACGGAATAATTTGTCATTAAGGTCAACATATACGGACCACCAAAAAAATTGAAAAATGTTCGAATACACAAAAAAAAAATTATCCCAAGTGTGCACCATGCACACTTTCTCTCCACCACACAATTTTTGTTAAAATAATGAAATTAAATAATGAATAAAGAATACTCCCTATGTGGTATGAAGAGTTATGGTGTACAAATGGAGCACCTTTTTAATGTACCCCAGCATTACTAAAAAAACTCAGCTCTACCACCAAGACACTAGATTCTAGAGATGTATGTAAATTAGATACTTTCAATTCGATTCATAATTCGTATTCACATACTGTGATTGGGATTCGATTTAGCCGAATTCGAATTCAAATTCAAATCCAAATCAGATTTTACTATTCGAATATAATCAAACGCAAAGACGAATCTTATTATATCCGATCCGTTAACAATTCAAATTATTCAAATAATACCTATATATACTTAGTATATATTTATATTTAATTATATTATTTGTATACGAAGTATGTTGTACGGGTATATTATAGATTACTTATACATGCATGAGTAATAAACTATTTAGATCTTCTATTTGAATCGGAAATTTGTGAGTTTATGTTAGTTCTTAAAAATAAATAACGACTTGTCTTCTTGAATTATGTTTTTTTGTAAAAGAAAATTCTGTTCTATTTTCGAATACAAATTCGAATATTTGCGAATACGAGCTCGAATCAAATACACACCTTTCTAAATTCAAATTATTAACGAATTCGAACTCGAATACATACCATCCCAAATGAATACGAATCGAATACATGAATATTTGATTCGACTCGTATCCACCCCTACAAGGCACCGTGCCCCCTCTCTTCCATCCAATAATAATCTTACAATTCATTTAGCTTACGTCTAATTTAATAAAAAATACTACGTATTTTTTTAAACATGTGTTAATGAAGGTTGTTTTAAACTTTCTTTTTAATTAAATATTGGTATATAAATAATAAAAGTTAAAATTGTATATTTAAAAGGTATATAAAATATTCTACAAAATAAAATGTGACTAGAACACATCTAGTAAATAATAAAAATACACAAATTAATAAAAGTTTTTATAATTTTTGAATAATGAAGGAGTATATTAGTGGGAAAATGTTAGAGTCACAAACCAATAGTTCACAAACTTCATAAACTTGCCCTTTGTGAATTTTGAAATTTGCATTAAATAGGACTAAAAATAAGTCATTTCCCAATGTAGGACTTAATTTTTTATCGCTTATAGGACTTAATATTGTCTAATGAGACGAATAATGTCCAGTAATGATGAACCTTTAGTTTAAAAATGACTAATGGATAATGACCAAAAGTCCTTCATTAAGAAATAAAAACATATGGTCTACTATTGAGAAAGTCATTATGTTTTAGTCGTATTTAGATAAATTTTCTCTTGTGAATTTTAAATTAAAATATCTTTTATTATTTGAGTGCACTTTATTTTTAGAAAAATGTTAAAAAAATAAGTCTGTGAATTTTGTAAACTAATTCCTCCGTCCCTAAATAAACTTCCTCTTTTGTTTTTTTGTCCCCAAATAAACTTTTTTTCCCTTAAAAAACCCTTTTTACCCCTTACTTTTTCATACCTTACCTATCACATCATACCTTTTTACTAATAATCTACATATCACATCTTAATTTTACATATTATATCAAGGGTATTTTTGGAAAATCAAAACAAAAATATTCCTAACTTAAATCCTCAAAAAGTTAAAAACAGAAATTTATTTAGGAATGGAGGAAGTATTTTTTTGTGATACTCCCTATTAGTCTGTGAAAATAAAAAAAAAAGCTCGAATGGGTAGCTCAGTTGGTCAAGAGCGTGAAATCTTGGACCGATGACCAGAGATCGAATCCTGCAAGCGGCAGTGTGGGAGCTATCCAAAAATCCCATAAAGGGTGAGGAGGCTCCTTGTGCGCGGTGGGCACGGGTCTAGCGTTCCCAAGGGGTGGGGGCTTCTGGGGTGGGAGATTCCACCAACGGTGAAAATAAAAAAAAGTCATTGAAAATTGAAATTGATCAAAGATTTTTGCAGTCGGAGGAGACATCATTACACTCGAGGATCATATCTTCCTTTTGCCGGCCACCGCCACCGCCACATTTGCGGCGCCGGAATAGTCGGCGAAGGTAATTCATATTCTAATCCTTAGTCAACCGCCGCCACTGCTGCGGCCCCTTTCCAGCCGCCGAATACCAACGCCGCCGTCAGTTCCTATTTTTGCTCGCCAGCAACTTTTGGAGATGGAGAGTATAAATTCAGCTGATGATATCTCCACAGTGTATCTTCACGGGGACTTGGATCTGAAGATTCTAGAAGCTCGGAGGTTGCCGAACATGGATTTGGCCACCGAGAGTCTCCGGCGGTGCTTCACCGGATTCGACCTCTGCAGGAAGCCGCTCATCGCCCTACGCCGGCGGAACGGTCGCCGCCTCAGAAGAAGGAGAAGAATAATCACCAGCGATCCGTACGTCTCCGTCTGCCTCGCGGGGGCCACGGTGGCGCGTACGCGCGTGATTTTCAACTCCGAGAATCCCGTTTGGAACAACCACTTCAAAATTGCCCTGGCTCACCCTGCATCCGAAGTCGAGTTCCAGGTGAAAGACAACGACGTCTTCGGCGCCGGCCATATCGGCGTCGCTTCCGTGCCGGCGGAGATGATAAATTCCGGCGAGATAATCGAAGACTGGTTCCCAATCGTAGGCTCCCGAGGAAAACCCCCGAAAACCGATTGCGCCCTAAGGCTAAAGATGAAATTCGACCCGTTCAACCAAAACCCTAATTACCGGACCGGAATCCCCGAAAATTACGGTCTAATCGAGAGCTATTTCCCGGCGAGGCAAGGCGGGGCGGTAACGCTGTACCAGGACGCCCATTCTCCGGCCGGGATTTTGCCAGAGATCGAACTGGAGGAGGGGAAGGCGGCGTTCCGTCACGAGAACTGCTGGGAAGACATTTGTGAGGCTATACTGGAGGCACATCACCTTGTGTACATAGTGGGGTGGTCAATTTATCACAAGGTGAAGCTGGTGAGGGAGCCGGAGAAGCCATTGCCGGCGGCGGGGAGAGATCTGAACCTCGGCGAGCTGCTCAAGTACAAATCGCAGGAAGGAGTGAGGGTGCTGTTGCTTGTTTGGAATGATAAAACTTCTCATGACAAATTCTTCATTAACACTGTATGTAATTCCACTTATTGGCTTATAGCAATATATAAGTGTTTCTCATACATTCACCGTGATTACTCATTTACGAATAATTGAATACTCTTTGTCGATTTAACTGAATACTTCGTATTCATTTTCAAATAACTGATACTCATTTTTTTTGAAATTTTGTTATGTTTGAAAATGAGTATTCAGTTATTCAAAAATGAATATTCTCTTACTGAATATTCAGTTACTCGAAAATGAGTATTCATGTAGATGTACTGGAAACACCGTACATCCGGATGTACGGTATAAATACGCTTGGTTTATTGCATACTTTCTCAATTCAAAAAAATTTATTTCAATATTTACGAAATTTATTAAAAATGTTTAAAATACATTTAAACCAAAATAAATGTATATTTAGAATTTGTGTAGATGTATGAAAAATCTCCCGCGCCACATTTTCTTTGCTAAAAAAGAAACGAAGTGAATAATATTTTTACATGTTTATTACTAAAAGGAAGTAAAGCAACAACAACAAAACTACCCGAGTGCCCCCCTATTGCGGGGTAAGGAGGGTCGAATTTAGACAACATATTAAAACATAGAGTGGTTGTCTGCGGATGACTGATAATGAGTGTCGAAAGTTACATTGATTAATTGTTACTCCACTACAAAAAAAACACAAAAAGTTTAAGAGTAATCTTGCTTTACTCCGTCTTATTCCAAAGCCAAAGCATAGTGAATATCTGGAAGTTGGAAGAAATGGAATAAAACATTTACCAATTATCAAAAAAGAAATAAAGTGATACTCTGTATGTGTTTTTGGGTACGTCCAAAACGGGTAACTCTTTTGGAGAGATAGTAGGGCTTTGTATAAAAAGGTTTTGCATTTTTTTCTTGTTGGCTTGTTCTAGAAAAGGTTACCTTTTACTTGTAAGGAAAAAGGACAATATTCTCTATAAGCATAAATCTCTACCAGACTACCAATTAAATTTACTGTTTTTAATCTTTGTTGTAGAGTTTTTTGGGACGAAGGGTGTAACCTACATTTTGATTTTTAAGTGACTTTGGCATTGACTTATTTTCTATAAGAAGTTTACATCTTTTCATCCATTTGTTAACACTATCATTATAACAAACACACTTTGAGTTTTAGATGAAATGTGGTCAATATTGGCTTAAGATGATGGAAAGTATTTATGAGAGTGATATACTTCTCTTGATAACAAAGACATTGTAATCTTTGGTGGAAAGTGATAATAAGATTTTTCTTATTTTCCATATAAGCTGAACAAATGAGAGGGCAAATTAGGAAAGTGGATTAGGTGTTAGGATCTTACATACACACAATTAAACACAAATGTAGATAAAGAAATACGAGGATGAAGAAAAATTTTGGTAACGCCTCATAGGTAAACTCCACGGCGGTACAAGGCTATATATAGATGATTTCAGAGTATGTACATTTACAGAAAAGATACACTATAAAATAGATATACGGAGAATAATAAAGGTATAGCCTAAAGTTTGGGTCGGGTCAGCACCCCGTACCCCACCTTCCGGTGCGCCCCCCCTCCACGCTTGAACGAGAATAAATTTAAGAGTCCATTAGATTTTATTACATCAGGCCTCACAACCTAACATTGAGTTCCACTTTGACAACTTTTTTAGGGGAAGTATGTTACACATCCTTAAATTCCTCCATTTTATATGAAACTGAACAAAGGAGCAGGTGAGAGAATAATTTCACTCGTAAAATAACGTGAGAACCGGCGAAGTAAAATTCTTCATTTAATCTTCTCGTTTTGGCATGACTGAGTTCAATATGCAGGCAGGATTGATGCAAACTCACGACAAAGAAACTCGTAAATTTTTCAAGCATTCGGCCGTCACTTGCCTGCTTTCGCCTCGATACGCAAGCAGTAAGCTTAGCCTTATCAAGAAACAGGCATGCCTATATACACTTGTTCCACTTTCTCTACTGCATTTTAGCAGAGAGTAATTTGTTTATGCACAGATTCTAGTTTTATTAACTCCACATTAGAATGATATTGTGTATTTTGGGCCAATTTCGCACATTTTCAAGGTTCCTTAGCTTAGATTTTCAATGTAATTCTACTTTTGTCATAAACAGGTGGTGGGAAGTCTATACACACACCATCAGAAATGTGTGATTGTGGACACTCAAGATAAGGGGAATAAACGGAAGATAACGTCTTTTATTGGAGGTCTCGACCTCTGTGATGGGCGCTATGATACCCCCGAGCATAGACTCTTTCGTGATCTTGACACTGTTTTCGTGGATGACTTTCACAACCCCACATTTCCTGTAAGTGTTCGTTGCACCGGAACCTCTGTCTTTTTTAGACTAGAGATTTCATTGATTTTTTTTTTGGTATTAGTGGTGTAGTAAACTGAAGAGAGATGTAAAAAATGTGAATAAATGAAAATAAGATATAGAACGGTCCATAAAAGAAAACAGGAACAAAGATATAGGACAAATATGGCTATATTTTGAGGATTCTTTTGTGGTAAGTATGCAATTTAACGTAAACTAAGCATTGCGGGTTTTGGCCTCTCCTTGTAGAGACATTAATTCTGATTCATCTCACTTTTGTAATAGGCAGGAACCAAGGGACCAAGGCAACCATGGCATGATTTACATTGCAAAATTGAAGGGCCTGCTGCCTACGATGTCCTCACAAACTTCGAACAACGATGGAGAAAAGCCAGGAAATGGTCAGCACCAGGTAGGCATTTTAAAAGGAGGGTTCTTTGGCACGATGATGCTTTACTGACGATAGAGAGGATCTCATGGATAGCTAGCCCTTCGCCCACCGTCCCAAACAATGACCCTTCGTTGTGGGTCACCGAGGGCGATGATCGTGGAAGATGGCATGTTCAGGTCCATTACAGCTCCATTTTTACGAGTAATATATAATATTTTGCATAGTAACAAAATATTTGAACTTGTGAGAATCCATATTACTCCCCTTTTAACTGTAGAATTGTGGGATTTCGACCGAAAACCAATTGACAACAGGAGTAATTCATATACTTATATATTAACCCTTTTTTAGACTCGGTGTTCGGTGTAGGATTATATCCTCAACATGCCCTTCAAGTACAACTTAAATGGGTCTTTCTTACAATGAGAAGAGTACCTCATATTCTTATATATTAGTCTGTTTTAACCTGGATGTTCTATGTGAGATTATAATCTTCAGCAATATCAAATATACTATTTTGGTTTGTGACAGATATTCAGATCTATAGATTCTGGATCATTGAAAGGATTCCCCAAAGATGTTCACTCAGTTGAGTCACAGGTGCTGGTTTTTGCTTATATATTCTTCATGTTGTTACTTAGAAGTGTAACTATGCTACTTTTAGTTTTCATGTTTGTTTTTCAATTTTTGCAGCATTTGGTTTGTGAGAAAAATGTGGTGATTGATAGGAGCATCCAAACGGCGTACGTTCAGGCAATTAGACGCGCCCAACATTTCATTTATATCGAAAACCAATATTTTATCGGGTCGTCATTTGCTTGGCCTTCCTATAAAAATTCAGGTTTCACACCCTTTTTTCACATGTTTTTCCAGTACTATACAGTTAGAGATTCAAAACCCATTTGGTATACTTTCCGCTCGTTTTATGGTTCTTGTTTCAGGTGCAGATAACTTGATTCCAATCGAACTGGCGCTCAAGTTGGCGAGTAAAATCCGAAATGAGGAGAGATTTGCCATTTACATAGTCATTCCGATGTGGCCCGAAGGCACCCCAACTTCTGCTTCTGTCCAAGAAGTTTTATATTGGCAGGTAATGCAAAACAGTTATCTAAGTTTATGGCTGTGAAAATATGTGTAGATGCATTTATTTATTGCTTCACAGGGGCAAAAAGAATAGTGATAAAAATAAATTCAACATATTACTATTCTTTACAGGGGCAAACCATGCAAATGATGTATGAAATTGTTGCGCGGGAGCTAAAATCGGCTCAACTTGAACACTCGCACCCTTGCGACTATCTAAATTTCTATTGTCTTGGCAATAGAGAAGAGCAACGACACGCAGAAGAAACCAAATTGTCCTCAGAACCACGTTCTAATGATAATAAGGTAATTAATAATGATTATGAATCTTACTAAGAGGGTGTTTGGTTGTGCTTATATTTAAAAAGTGATTATTTTTTACAACAAAATTTTAACGATGATACACTTTTTTTGGCCTTGATGTCAAACACCGAAACTGAATTCAGGTCTCTGCTTCTCAAAAACATAGAAGATTCATGATCTATGTACACACAAAGGGAATGATCGTGGACGACGAGTACATCATCTTGGGATCCGCTAATATTAACGAGCGGTCAATGGATGGGTCAAGAGACACTGAGATTGCAATGGGTGCATACCAACCACACCACATTTGGGCAAACACTAAGAAATATCCCCTCGGCCAGGTAGACACTGCTTCAAGCAAAACGTCATTTACACCATGTTTGGTTCAACGAATTTGGAAGAAAAAGAAAAGAAAATTGTTTTCTACATTTTCCTTTGGTTTTCACTCTTCTTAACACATTTTGTCTTTTCATTCTCGTTTCCTTCCACTTTTCTTGTGTTCTCTAACCAAAACAAGAAAAACTGTTTCCCGACCATTTCAATTTCTTTTTTCTATTTCAAATTCCTTGAACCAAACATAGTGTTAGAGTCCCGCTATTGTTCTCCGTGCGAGTTTGGCCAAAGAAATGTATAAAGAGAGCTCCGAACTTGACAAAAGTTTAAACACGTGCAGGTGCATGGATATAGAATGTCACTATGGGCAGAGCATTTGGGAAAGACAGGAGAAGACAGCAGCTTCAAGGATCCCCAGAGCTTAGACTGTGTGAGGGATGTGAACCATATTGCCGAGAATAACTGGGAGAGGTACGCCGCGGAGGACATTGTCCCTTTGCAAGGTCATCTCCTCAAATACCCAGTTCAAATTGATGCAGATGGGAAGGTAAGCCCCTTGCCTGGCCATGAATGTTTCCCCGACGTCGGGGGTAAAGTCTTAGGAACTAAATCTCCCCTCCCGGACGCTTTAACGACTTGAATTATTCCCTCGAACCCGCTAGATTTTTCAACTTTGAGTACAGTAAATCCGTTATAAAACACAAAAGATTAGCTTGTTCATGATAAACAACTCATGCCCGATCTCGTACGTTATCTGGCTTACAAAAATTATAGCTCAATTTACCTCGGTAATTCATAATTTCTTGAGGAGGGAATGGGGTTCCTCATTTTCTTAATATTGATAATAGAAGAGTAAACAAACACAAAGCAGAGCATTGAAAAGTAGTGTTTCATACAGAAAGAAATGAGAAGAGAAATCTTCTTCAAATCCTTCATTTCACTCAACAATGATCTTGCCAACCATGCCGGCGCCCTGGTGAGGGGAGCAGTAGTAAGAGTAGGTCCCCTTCTCGGTCAGGGTCACCGTGAACGTCTCCCCCGGGGCGTTCAGCAGGTTCTCCTCGCTCATCGATATCTTCGACACGTCCACCCCGCTCGGCACCTCGTCCTCGTCGAACACCACGTTGTGCGGGAACCCCGCGTTGTTCCTGAACACGATCGTCTCCCCGGGGGCCACTTTCAGCTCCCCGGGGATGAACGCCAGCGCCCCGTCGTCGCTCCCCAGCTTCACCTCCGCCGCCCATGTGGCGTTCCCGGAGAGCAGCGTGGCGGCCGTGGCCGCGGCCACGGCTGCCGTGCCTACAGCTTCCCTCAAGGAGGCCTTGACTGCGAGCCTCCGTCCCCTAGGGACCGCCTTCGCGGGGGTTGGGAGGAGTCTTGAAGGGGTTATTGTTGCTCCGGCGGCCCGGAGGCGGGGGAGGGAGGGGACGGAGACGGCGGTGGTGGCGGCGAAGGTGGCCATAGATATCTGTGTGAAGGTTGCTGGTGTGGGAGGAGATGAGAGAAAAGGGGGAAGAAATGTGTGGGTGTGTTTGGGATGAGGAGAGTGGGGGGATTTGTGATCAGTTTTATTATCACTGGAGAATGAATCTTATTGGTGGAGGGGATGATATATACTCTGACGTGGAACTTGGGCAGGCATACACTTGAGACCAGTCACCATGGTTTGAAAATTCTTGATGGGGAAAGTAATTTTTGGGATGAAAAGCAATGTCATTGATGTGGAATTTTTTAAGGAAAAATGCCAGGGATACACCAAAACATCCACACTTTCTCCGTCACTACAAAAAAAAGCAAGAAAAATTCAAAAAAAAAATAAAAAAAAAATAAAATGAATGGTAAAAAGCATATCCCCTTTTTAATAGAATTAATTTGCACCCCATTTTTATTTATATACCAGGTAAAATCATTTTTTTAAAAGGAGATTTTGTATGTTATTCGAAAAGTGAAAATGAATTTGAGACACAAGGTGTAGAATAGCCTTCTCCTATTTTAAAAAGATAATACTAACAAATGAAAAATAGGAAATTGATATTTTTTTAAAGAAAAAAGGTGTGGCAGAAAGCAGGATCGATGGATACATCGTTCCCGTTGGGATGGGTAACATGTGTGACTTCATGTGTGACTCGAGAGGGGTAACATCGTTGCAAAGCATTGTTGGATATGATCAATATAACAAACTCAATGAATCGCCTAAAAGACGCTTTCAGATTAAATTTATACTCCAAAGTGTTAAAATATTCTAAAATATTCCAATCGAATAAGACATTAGTATCTAAAATGAGTTGGATCTTCTATTCTCGCAAACATAACACAAGTCTTTATGGATACAAAGAAAACATTGATCTATGTCTTTTTTCTCAATCTATCCAAGCTCAAAGCGTTATCACTTTCACTCAAATTCGAACATGTAATCTTTCATTTATGAGATCTCGAGTGGTGTCTAGACCACAAAATCTTAAAAGGGGTTGTCCTTTTCACTGAATCTGAATAATTTTGTTTGATCTGATTGAAATAAATTCTGATCTGTTCTGATTTATATTTAAAGCTACATTTGATCTAATTTCAAAAAGAATTAAGAATAAATAATTAAAATAAGTTGAGGAAAAAAGCTTGAAATGGAAAGCTAGAAGTGTAAAAATGCCCATTCTTTTTTGGTTCATTTTCAGAAAATGAACATTCTCAAAATGAATATCCATAAATCTAATGTGTCAAACATTTCACCACTCACAAAAAAAAAGAGTAGGTGTTCTTATAAAATCTGTCGAATATGAATGCCCGAAGTGTAGCAACAAACCGAAAAATCCTTCAATTGAAACTTTTGACCTTGCACCTACATAATTTTGCTGATAAAATTAATGGTTTTTATTATTTAACTTCGAAACACTCTTCTTCTCTCTGTCTTTGTCCCCGACACCACACCATAGCTTCTGCCCAAATCAACGATCTATGGGAACGGAGAAACTGGGATAGATGCAAAGATCAGAGAATTTCAAGATTGTAATAACTATCTACAGAGTACTTAACAATGAAATTTCGTAAATGATCGAAATACTCGAATTATTCTCTAAGTCATATTGAAATGGATCTAAAGACCCTTTCGGACCATGATTATTTCTCATTGACAATATTTTCCAACCAAGCCAAACTTCAAGTGTAAAATAACATTGAAAAGGTAAATTCTATGGTGTACATAAGGTCTATCATGAAACTACAAATGTTTAAAAATATGGAAGAAAGACCAAACTAGGACCAAAATATTGAAAATAAATCAAAATATGACTTCCATGTTTTATTCCCGAAATAAGACTTACATTATCAAACATGGTCATATTATAATAATTTGCACATGTACACTGTCACATTACCACAGTGCATAGTCCTATTCCGGAAAAAAAAAACATGAAAGTCCTATTTTAGTATTTTTCTCTATGTTTTAGTCCTATTTAGGATGATTTCTATAAAAGTATATGCACTCAAATTCTACCAAAAAAGCACGAAGTAATAAAAAAATCCGCATTTTTTTGTAATTTGTTTACTCAGCCTTTCATTTTAAAAGAAAAATACTTTCTCCCTCTCCCTATATTTGTCTACTTTCATTTTTACACACCATCCAATGCACTTTTTAAATCCATTTTATCTTGTAATTTGTATATTAAAAAAGTATAAAAATTATATATTAATAATTTATATGTTAAGACAAATAAAACAAGATGACACATGATGGTGTAAATTACTTGACCGGTCAAACTATACTAGACCGGGTCTAGAATAGTTCGCTTGATTTGACAAAGTAAGAAAGGTAAAAACACGCAAATTGACCGGTAGGACTTTAGGTGGAACACCTGTAGCCCGATTTATATTATAACGGAGAATGCACAGGTGCTTTTACAAGGGAGTTTAGAGAGAGTGAATTCGGATCCCTCTTTCTGAGGTTTACATGAGTATTTATACTAGGCTAAGGGGACAGGACCACGTGCGCCCACGTGGGGGCATGCTGCCGATGTGGTGCGAGGTGACTGGTTTCGTCCTCAAGCTGCCTTGTCGCCTTGTGAAGGGGATCATTCCCTTTGTCAAGTAGTGCCTTGGATGGATNTTTTTGTGAAGTGTACCGGTCAAATTTTGGCTGATGACATCGTTTTGCTGACGATTTAAGTCTCCCTTTCAAAACTCTCAAGATTGACCGGTCAACTATTTGGCCTTCTTCTTTGACCGGTCGTGGGTGGAATACACCCATCAACACATGACTATATTTAAACTTACACATTGAGAGAATTTGATAGCTCAAAGTGCAACAGTCAAATGTGTACAAATATGTGGCAAGAGAACGTACCAGTTGTGTTTGCCGGGGATTCAAATCAGGTCTGAGACTCTCTCTCTCTCAACTCAACCGCCATGGAAGCTCTGGCATCTTCCTCCTCCGCCATAGCACCTCCTTCACTCTTAATCTTTTCCCCTTCCAAATCCAATCGTCATTCATCCAAACGCGTCCTCCGGTTATCCGCCTCCTCGGAAAGTACTCCATCTCCGCCGTCTCTTATTTCATTCGATGATATGAGTACAACAGAGCTTTCAATTCAGATCCCTTATGTGATTAATAATTCCTTTTGATCTCCCTTTCCAGGCAATCGGCGCGGACCAGATCTCCGATCCGATTCCGATGGGCCAAGCATCGACCCGATCCTTTCCAATCAGACACTCTCGGAGGTAATCATTGAATCCTACTGGTATTTCTTCGTTGTATTGAGAGTTTCTCTTTCGTATATCAGTCAAAATTTTGTCCAGGACGCGGCGATGGGGTTAGTTCTGAGTGCGGCAAACGTTTGCGGCTGGACTACAGGCTCCGGGATGGAAGGGCCGCCGGTTCCGGCCGGTGGGAATCCGGAATCGGGAAAGGAGCAGGTATCTACCTTCCCCTGGTCCCTCTTTACCAAATCACCACGACGTCGTATGCTTGTGGCCTTCACCTGCAAAGTCTGTGGACAGCGCACAACCCGTGCCATCAATCCTCATGCTTATACAGATGGTACTGTTTTTGTTCAGGTAAATATGGCAAAAATTTACTCTTTAACAATTACTCCCCATTTTTTTCCTCAATTTACTTTTCCATCAATGTTTTAAAAATTTGACCACACTATATGCGTAAAAAAAGATAGGGAGTATGTCATATATAAATTTAATATCAGTATATACGAGCTGAGAAATTTATGGTCAAAAGATGGTGAAAAGTTAAATAGGAAGAATTGTTTAGGGCGAAGGAAGTAAATGTTTGTGGTCTTCACTTTTCACAAACAAAATTATTACTCCATATTAGGGAAACTTTGAATTTGTAGTCCTTAGTATTTTGCCACCATACTTTTTTATACTCCCTTTCCGGATTTAGTTGTTCTTTTTTGTTTTCATTAATCCAGAATTAGTTATCTTCTTTCCCAATTCAATAAAAAATTATGTTGAATTGTCTAAAATACCCGACAGATAGGGTATAACATTGTTGAAATGAATGTGTGACAATCTCATTCAAATGACTTAATTGGCATTCTAAACTTATTCTTTGAAAATGAGTTTTTTTTTAGGAAAATGGACAACTAAATATGGACAAAGAGAGTATAAATTCTTTAGCTTTTCCCTTTGGAAGGGTAAGGGAGTTGGTGAATGGAAGTGTAAGCAATAGAAATTGCACGAGAGTGAGGGGATGCATTATGCTACCGTATTGCATCTCTCCCAAATAACAGTACCCCCCTCAGAATACATACACCTATGCATTTGATCCCAACAAGTTTGTAAATATTAAGGTTCACGAGTCATTTTTGGCATTTTATTATGGTGGGATTAATTGTAATTCAATTGTTACAAAAATGAAAAACCTAGACTATAAAATATGAAAAGCATATCTTTGATCACACACACCTTGTTTGGAAACATCGTTGACAGTTATCATTAGCATTTTAGATAGCTTGTTGTTAATGGTGTAGATTATGTTTGAAAATGCTAAAGCTAAACGTTGTCAATAAATAGCCTTCAGGACTATTTAAGTTTGAAAATGGTACAGCTAAATGCTGAAGTTGTTGCCAAATGGACACATACTCAGGACTATTTTATCTAATAATTGAGGGCCTGAAGGTGTAACTTTAGCTTTTTATCACTACCCTTGATCCGAAAACCGGCCTGGGACATAGCCTTAGTTATGCCTTTGATTGAGGCGGGCTAGGCGTCCGATTAGGTGCTCCTAGTTGTGTTAAGCGTCACACGAGTGCTGGATGTGTACCCTGATTGTAATTCATGTACCTATCTACAATGTCGTTACCAGTAATTGTTGGATTATAATTTTTATGGTTTATTATCTGATTTGCTCTTTCTTTTATTTGTTCTGTACTTGGCAGTGTTGTGGATGCAACATATATCACAAACTGGTTGATAATTTGAACCTCTTTCATGATATGAAATGCGATGTGAATTCGAGCTTTAATCCGGATTCTATCGGTGCCCTCGGCTTTGGGTATTTCGAGTTGGATGACGACAAAGGAGATGATACTTCACAACAATTTTAAGGTGAAATGAACACTTCAGAAATTTGCGAAGTGCTTTTTTGTACATTCTACACTATCCTACCAGCAACATATAATATTGCTTATTGTTCTTGTAAATAATCTCTAGTTTTGTATCCTAAATTAAATGGCTTGCTATGTACTCCTCTGATATTTCTTTTTCGTATTTCATGTCCTATGTACAGTCATATTTCTCTAGCATACAACTTTTCTATTTTCGCGATGTAAAAATAGTGGAAAATAGTTAAATTTTTGAATATACTCTGGGTATTTGTTATTTTAGAGTCTATTTCTTGGAAGATTTCTTTTGTAGATTAGAGTCTACACATTATCGTCATTCGCCAATATATTGTTTTATACCGAGTACATTGGAATGTACAACACTTTTGACTTTTTTTACGAAAATCAAAAGGGTTTTCATATACGAGTCAGTGGTCTTGAACCTTAGATCCTGTTACTGTGTTGTCGCACTTGGAACATGTTATAAAATTTTTACCCCGTTAGCAGCGTCTATTAAAATTTTTGTTTTGTCTAAAAAAAATTAAATTACATTAAATAATCGGTAACAAGCAGCAATGAGTTCTTATTTGCAAGTAGCCTCTCATTTTTCTTATTAAAATATGGGGAGAGAAAAAAGTCATCACCTCACCATTGGGGAACTTTTGGAAAACTATTTACACATTAATTTTGATGATGTGGAAAAGAGATAGTGTAGAGAGAGATTGGTGATATTCTTTTTCCTCAAAGTTATTTTCTATCTTTTTTTTTCTTTTTTCTTTCAAAGTTTTTGAGCCAAATATAGTGTAATTAACCCTTTTTTTTGGAAATTAAATTTTGTTGAGTTTACCTTCCAAAGAGCCCACACAACCAATGCAAGCAGCTTTTACTCTCTAAGTCTTATTTTTATTGAAAATTTGATGTAGTTCAATTTGTCTATTGAACTTTGGTTTCAATAACAATTGCACTTATGTCGAACTTGTTTGTAATTTCAATTAAAATTCTTGTTTGATCTAAATAATTTAATTATATAAAGTAATTGATAATATTATAATCACCTATGGTCAACCTGTAAATTAGTGATTCTTAGTAGTTATATAATCATTTTCAATTGTTTTTTATTTTGTACTATTTTACTAGAGAGAATATTTGTGTATTATTATATGGACCTTAGGCTTAGAATAGAAGTATTGCTTGTGTATATGATTATTTTTTGTGAGATTATGATAATGTTTGACATTAGCTTAAATGTTTTGAAATCGTTATCCAACAATAACTCTTAGCATTAAACGTTTTCAATGTTAATTATATAATTAAGAAATTATACAAACGACAAACACTAATCCCAAATCCAAACGAAGGGTGTACTAGGGATTATTATTGCTTCGTATTGTACTTCTATCTGACAAAAAAAGTTATGCTACAAACTGCCAAAATTAACAAAATTACGTCTCACAAACAATTTTTTATTGATAATTATTGTTTGTTCATTATTTCAAAATTAGTGGATTTCTTGCATTTTTTAAAACGAAAATTGGCAATGGGCGTTTCACAGTTGACAAGACAATGAATCTTAAAAAGGTAAGACCCGAGTTCGATTACTAGCAACTACGTTGGTAGCTAATTATGTTAAGCAAAAAATTGGAGCAAGGTGAATGAATAGTAACGTGTCACATGTTTCAAAAAAAATAGTAACGTGTCACATGTTTCAAATTCATGCAAAGAATCCCGACAGAATATCCATAGTACATTCAACCTCCAACAACTCATCTCCTTTTTCTTCCTTTTTCTTTGATCCCAAAATCCCAATCAGAATCCGAATCAATTCCGCCTTTATTCCGCGAATCTCGATCTCCTCCGCCCTCAATTTATCCATCGCTATGCAGCCATGGAAGACGTGATGAGTTGCAGCAACAGTAATGACTTCAGGCCGTACGAGTCAGCACCGAGTCAGTCTGATCGGAAGAGGAGAGGCAAGGCTGAGGTGTACAAGGATGTGGTCAGAAGACTCCAGGAGTCCCATTTTGAGGAGGCGAGTCAACCCGGTTTCGCGGACGAGTTGTGGACTCACTTCTCGAGGCTTCCTCTCAGGTATGCCTAATGGATTATACTTCTGCTTCCTCAAACTGATTCGGATTTTCGCTCCACATCCAAGCCTTAGCCCTTGTTTTTATCTTCTCGAAACCAATTTCGCTCAATAATCTCTTTCTCTGCTTGAGTAATTGTGTGTTATGGGATCATGGTTAGTGGTTTGGCTTCAATGCTTTAGGAGATTTATGTTCTTTGATTGCCCATTTCTTTGAAATGATGCAAGAGTATTCTTGTTGGCACCCGCTGGACTGAGTATGATGACCATAAAACTTTGTATATGATGTGTTCTTGTTGTTAGGTATGCGTTGGATGTGAATACTGAGAGGGCACAAGATGTAATCATGCACAAGAAACTGTTGCGTCTAGCACGCGATCAAAGCACCAGACCCGCAATTGAAATTCGCCGTGTGCGGGTAGGTAGTATGTGAACAACCTGTTGGTCATTTGCTTTGGAAAATTCTTAACGTGCTCATGAAGGAAGTCTACGGTCTATCACGTCGGCTTTAAATAAATGCACACACACACCCAAATCTCCCAAACCAAAATAGTTTTTTTTTTCAAATAATGATTTCTCTACTTTGAAAGGAGAGGTGTTTGGTAACATACATTTAAGCTGAATAAGTAAGCCAATTTCTACTTAATATGCTTCTACAATACTCCCTTCATTTCTTTCTAACTGCTTGCTTTGCTTTTTGAGCCTAATGTTTGGCCAACAATATCTCTTAAAATGTACTCAAGTGAGTACCCTCCTGATACAACGGGTTTATGTACTTTGGCTCAGTTTTTTTGTCCCCCCCAACACTTAGGTTTGAGCTTTAGAAGTAAAATTAATTGCTTACACTTATCCTTAGTTATTTCATTATTTGGGTTACTTTTGTGGAGATTGTTGAATGTTTTGTTAGTTTCAGAATAATTGGATGATCACTTGATGGATTTATATGCTTGACTGTCGAGAATTCCTCTGCTGTTCAGATGCATCCGGTCTCTGATGCAAAATGTGGGGACTCAGATTATTCCACCTTAACACGAGGATGCGCACAAGGTATTGATGACCATGGCAGGTAGAGGCATAAATATAATCCATGATCTTATTCTGGTTATCTCATGAACTGCATGTATCCTAAACCTTTTTCTTTTGTTTCTTAATATTCTTATTTTCACTTTGATCTTTAGCATTCATCCAACACTTGCGTTTGGGTTGACCCTGAACTTAGAACTCACACTTGAAGCCAATAAACCATGTTTTGAAGATGAAAATAGTTCTGTGAGTGGACCTTCAAACTTATTTCGGTAATACTCTAAGGTTTGCTCCTTTTTAGAATTCCTTCTGGTGCTTATTTTTTGAAAGGACATTTCAATTCAAATATTTTTCTGCATTTCGGTACTTCCTCCGTTACAAAAAGAATTTTGTTTGTAATGTTGATTTCATTATTGCAACCGTTATTCCTTTTTTTGGCCGGGGGGGGGGGGCCTATGTGCAACTCTGTATTACATTAAACAACAAAGGTCCTACCGTGCCTCTCTTTGTGGCAGGAATTTGCATGAGATAACAGTTTCAACGCTAGACAAGCCAAAACTCCTTAGTCAGGTAAACATTTTCACAATTTTTTTCAGTCAATGATTTCTCTGGGTATGCTCTTGTTTGTTAATGCTGATATATTTTTTCCTTGCAGTTGACTTTCTTACTTTCTAAGAGTGGGCTGAACATTCAAGAAGCTCATGCCTTTTCGACCACCGATGGCTACTCTCTAGATGTCTTTGTTGTAGATGGCTGGGTGCATGAGGTACTTCATTGTTAAATGTCAAACTGCGAGATATATTTTTAAAATTAAATTGTATTGCATTAAAAGAGGCGATGACTGGTCAAAGGTTTGCTAGTAGTTTTGATCTTCAACATGGAGGTTCAAAGTCCACAACCTGTTGAGTGATTTTGTTGCAAATTTTGTCTTATGTACTACTTGTAACATGTGTTTGCTCCGTTTTGTCTTGTTGTGGAAAAGCTGTTTGGAGTTAAAACCAAAGGTGCTTTGGTTAAAAGTGTTGTTGAACAAAAGCAAAAGAGTATTTGGCCTATTTAACCAATATATTTTTTTGGATAAAAAGGGTGATGCTGATTTTTGAAAAAAATTGAAAAATAGATAGAGATGCTAATCATGTTACTAAAAGCAGATATTTTCTAAAAAGAGCTTTTCAAATGATTATATTTGGAGCTTTTAAATGTTAGCTCATTTTTGCAAAAGCACTTTAGATCAGAACAACCATATAACTTTCATCTTTGAAATCCCCTACAAGCACTTTTAGACCTCGGAAAGCTAGGCCAAACAAAGCCGTCTTCCTATTATGTTAGAAATAGTTGACACCATTTTCTTTGTAAACTGCTAGGAAACAGATCAGCTAAAAAATTCTCTGGTAGCTGAAATTCGAGAGGTTGAGGTAAGAAACCGCCTGGCTTACAAAAGATTTTATTCTTATCTTTTAGTCACTCTCTTAGAATTTCAAAAACAATGCAGAACCTGTCTATGTCAAGACACAATCTTATATCTCCTCACGTGAATTTTGACAACCTTAATATTGGAAATCTTAAGTCCAACACTGAGGCCATCCCTGATGCAACCGACGTCTGGGAAATCGACCCCAAACTACTGCGTTTTGAACGAAAGATTTCAACGGGGGATGTGTAAGTCACTTACTTTCTACAATCTGCAGTATTATGTTCTCCAAAAGCCTTCCTAATGCACAATTTTAATGGCAGATATAAAGGTTCATTTCGTAGTCAGGATGTGGCTATCAAGGTTCTCAGTGCTGAGTTGATAAATGAAGATACACTGAAAGATTTTGGACAAGAAGTCTACATTTTGAGGTCAATTGCAACTTCAACTTGTTTCCGTTTCTTTAATAGAGCATCTCCAGGAGATATATTAAATTAATTGAGCATCTTTAGCAAAATAAATAGTACCTTAAAATTTAAAGAGTAATATTGTTACACTTCTAAACACACTGTTTATATTTTCTCTTTATTTTCTTCTTAAAATTTAAAGGAAGTGTTCAAATGGTTGCATTTAATGCAATTTGATATATATCGAGTTGATTTGGCTCTCCAAAGACTCAATATATATTTAATATTTAAAATAGAGAGCGCCTGCAGATCACTCTTAATGAATAACCCTTAAAATAATTCTCTCATAGAGTATCTTGGAGATGTTTTTTAATGGTAGAGGGAGAGATGGTGAAGGTGAACTCCATGTTGCAACCACGACTTTGGGTGATTTGATAGTTGTTTGTGATAGTGAGTTGATTAATGTTGCCTTTGATGAATCAAGTTAGGTTATCGATTGTAGTGCCTTTATTCATGTGGTGTCAAGGAAGGATTTCTTCATATCATATACTCGAGGTGATTATGGGGTATTGAAGATGGGTAATGATGGTCGGTCAAAGGTTGTTAGCATTGGAGTTGTTGTTTTGGAATCTAAAACTGGGATGAAGTTAGTGCTAAAAACATCATTTGTAGGTTATCGATAGTATGCCTCTTTCCGTGTGACGTCGAGGAAGGATTGCTTCATATCGTATACCCCAGGCGATTATGGGGTACTGAAGATGGGTAATGATGGTCATTCAAAGGTTCTTAGCATTGGAGTTGTTGTCTTGGAATCTAAAACTGGGATAAATTTAGTGTTAAAAAACATCATCTGATGTAGCCATGTAACTTCATCAGACGTACCCATGTAACTTCATCAGACGTACACATGTAGTGTTGGAAACTCCACTGTTGAAGTACAGTAGTTAGTTTAGTGTAAATTTCACTTTACGTTAGCGAGTTGGAGGAAGTATTTTATTCGAGAAATACACACCTTTTTACCCTTCACTTCATCTGATGTAGCCATATAACTTCATCTGTTGTACCCATGTAATGTTTATGGTTCAGAAAAGTTCGTCACAAAAATGTTGTGCAGTTTATTGGTGCATGTACAAGACCTCCGCTATTGTGCATTGTGACAGGTAATCCTTTGTGGCTCCAGCAAATGCTTGTATATGGTTTATTCATTTTAGCTGTATGTGTTGTCACTTGATGAGAATTTATCTTTAAACTAGTGTATTTATAGGATGTGTTACAAAATACGAGTATTACAGAGCACTGTTGAATTCTGCTATAACAATATATAGTTATAATACTAATTAAAAATGATATTCTTTGATGCATTTTTTAGATTTTCTTTTTATTTTAATAGAAAGGGACACGTAATCAGTTTTTATAATTTTAGAAATGATATTTTGGGTATTTGTTAAAGATGAATCTTATAATTGTGTCTTTATTAAAGGTGCAATCACCAAATGTAGTTTCCTTTCACACTAGCACCAGAAAATTCCCTTGACTTTTTATAGTAATAAAACTATCAGGTATGATTTTAGAGCTGTTATCGAGATTTTAGATATTAAACTAATAGCACATGAAGTTTAAGTTGTGGCTTGTCAACTTTATGCATCACAAAATTTGAATCTTGATTTGTTGGTCTTGTGACACTAATTCTGGCAGCCGCAAACACTAATCTTGACGGTTACATTTTCCTAAACTTAACTTTCTAAGATTATTTTTGTAATTTGGGTGATTGGATTGATAGTTTTGACATTCTTCGAAAAAATATAATTCCTGGAAGCAGTCTCTCTACTTCCAAATTGGGGTAAGGTCTGCATACACACTCTCCCCAGGATCTACTGCCTTGTGAGATTCTAATGGGTTTGTAAGTTTGTTATGGTTGTTGGGTTCCAAATGCTTTTGTAAAGTTTATTGGATCCTGGGCACGAGGTCTGGATACTACTGTGAAGAAGAATGTTAAAAAGTTGCAGAGTGACTTTTAAAGGATACAGTTTTGAGCCTTTAAACGCCTAAAGTGAAAGTTAATATTACTGCAGTACCAATTCGGCAACAACGCTGACAAATTTAGGACCATGGTGTACCCTTATAATCGATAAATTTAATATCTTGTCTAAAAAACACAGTGTGATTGATATACATATGCGTTCTAGTATCCTACAACCATTCCTTTTGAAATGATATTTTTTATTAGCTCTTTTCACATTCCTATACATGGTACGGAAATTGTATATTTTACGGTAATATTAGATAAAACCAATATCCTTCTGTTTTCACCTAGGAAGTAGGAACCTCTCGCTGTGTGTGTGTGTGTCATAATATATACTCTCCATCACATTGTACTTACTGCTCAAAAGCTTATTCTCTAAATTCACCTATTCAGAATACATGCCCGGTGGAAGTGTGCATGATTTCTTGCGTAAACAGAAGGGAGTTTTCAACCTTCAGGGTATGTTAAAAGTGGCAATTGATGTTTCAAAGGGGATGAGCTATGTGCATGGAAATAAGATAATTCACAGAGACCTTAAGACTGCCAATCTTTTATTGGATGAAAATATGGTAAGAATCTTCAGCTTATTGCTGTAGTGTTTCTTGCTTTATGATACACACACCCACACCCACACCCACACACACATATATAATTTAGCAAGAATGTATAGCTGATTTGCCATAGGATTGTGGTTAACAGGTTGTGAAGATAGCTGATTTTGGTATAGCTAGACTGCAAGTAGAATCTGGAGTTATGACAGCTGAAACCGGAACTTATCGATGGATGGCCCCAGAGGTGACCATCTTCACCTTTCTCTTGTCGTTTGAAGTTAAACACTACGTAGTAGTCCATTTGGAACTCAGAAAATTCTACAGAGTATACGGAAAGAAAAGTATGGAAGAAAATTTAAAGGAAACTTTGGCGGAAGGAGGGGGGAGTGAAAACATGGTTCAGCAGTTCAAACTCAATCAAACAACTGTAGATTTTTGTTCTAACTCATTTCATTTATATACATTGATATTTGTATGAAGATTAAAAAATCGAAACTGTGAGTTTTGATTAAATTGGATTTTTCTTTGTATGTTTCAAGGTAAAACCAAAGTTACCAAACATTAAAAAAATCATTTTCCTTGGCATTTTCTGAGTTCCAATGCGTAGCCTAAACATTCGTGGATCAACAAATTCCTTTCAAGTGTTCTAGTACACAATCTAGATTAATGTTATGGATATTTCTCATGCTAATTGTTCTTCTACTCTCATGTTTGAAGGTTATTGGCCATCAACCATATGACCATAAGGTTGATGTTTTCAGCTTTGGGATTTTAATGTGGGAACTACTTACTGGAAAGGTACTCCTTTGTTCAGTAAAGTTTCATTTAGGGTCCGTTTGGAAAGGGGGGAAATGATTTTTGAAAAATGACTTTTGGAAATTGAGTTATTTTCCAAAAGTCATTTTCCTTTCATTTTCTTTGACTGATGTTTGGGGAAATTTTGGAAACTTTGGGGAAAATCCACAAAAGGAAGAAGAGGGGTCACGATAGGAGATCTGGACGAAGATTGTGAAGGCGACGAATCCGATGATGGTGGAGATGGTGGTAGATCTGATGGCGGACGGAGATGGAGAAGACGGTGGAGGGTAGCAGTGTCGCGATGGTGGCCCAATGGAGGGTGGCTATGGGGGACTGATGGAAGGCGGCGATGTTGGAGATGATGGAGGAAGAAAAATCGAGCCAGGCAGCCAGCAGAAATTGTTGATTGATGATAAGATAAGGCTGGCAGAGAAGAGTAACTGATGTATGGAGAAGGCTTGCAGAGAAGATGTTGATTGACAATAAGAGAGCCAGGCAGCCAACGGAAATTGACTTCTGAAAAATAATCAGGAAGTCACTTTCCGAATGACTTCATTTTCCACTTGACCAATATGCCATTTTCCTTTGGCCTTGTTACCAAACACATGAACATGGGGAAAATGGCTTCCTGAAGTCATTTTCCCCCTTTCCTAATGGACCCTTATTTAAGAAAGAAGATGAACAGTGGCTATCTACATAGTGGGGTGTGGCTGTGGGGGTGGGTGGTGTTGGTTATGAATTGTGGGGTCTATTTCTCGAATTAGGAGTATGAGTATTACTCTTGCTATCTCAACTTAATAGTTTCAAAGCTTTATTTTTCTCCTTGTAAAAAGCTATGATCTTCTAGAGGTATGTTTGGGAAGAGGCTTTGGAGGGGAGAAAAAAATTCTTCATTTTAAGCAGCAACATACTCAATGCCCCAATTGGATTGGGTCTAGGTGAAAGTATGCTGTCCTTACCTCTATTTTAATGATAGAGATGCTGTTTCCAAGATACATTTGACATGTTTGTTTAGTAAAACTCGATGTCCTATGCATTAATTTAAGTCTCTCATTAGTCATTTAGCTTCTTATAACAAGTCTGGTTTTCATTGGTGTTCAGCTCCCATATGAACACTTAACTCCCTTACAAGCTGCAGTTGGTGTTGCCCAAAAGGTATTTCCATTCATTGCTGTTTTTCTATATCCGCTTTATAATTGGTCATCATTTGACAGATGTTCAAGGGTAGTTCTTAACTTGATTTTTTTGTAATAAAAGATTTAAAATGATAATAAATTAATGTAAACTTGATCTTTTAGTTGTTTACTTTGGTATTTATTACCACTATATCAACCATATATAGATCTTAACATATAAAAAACAGCCCATTGCCCCATTCCATCTATTCCCCTTCAAATCTCAAACCTTTCCAGAACCCCACTTGCAAGCATAGCTTTAGATTGGAATATACATATAAAGCACGAAACATACCCCAGGCTCAAAACAGTGTCTCGGGCTCATGTCTCTTGCACTAACTCATAGCCCAATTATACATAAGAACTACACTAATTGGAAGTCTTCAGTCTTGTAATGCCATTTATTTACTTCTAAAATTAAACCAATCTTTTTGTTACCCCAAAATGATGAGTCCTTGGGCCCTCAGGTTTCTTGTTCGGCGGGTTGGCACTAACTCATGGTCCAATTTTACATAAGAAAAACAATAATGGGAAGTCTTCAGTCTTGTAATGCCATTTATTTACTTCTAAATCTAAACCGATCTTTTTGTTACCCCAAAATGATGAGTCCTTGAGTACTAAGGTTTCCTGTTCGGCGGGTTGGCACTAACTCATGGGCCAATTATACATAAGAAAAACACTAATTGGATATCTTCAGTCTTTTATTGCCATTTGTTTACTTCTAAAACTAAACCAATCTTTTTGTTACCCCAAAATGATGAGTCCTCGGGTACTAAGGTTTCTTTGTTCGGTGTATCCACAATAGGGTTTGCGGCCCATAGTCCCAGTGAGTACTCATCCATTGGTAGCAGATTTGATCAAGAGATGTTGGGACGAAGATCCTTCCTTGAGGCCCGAGTTTTCTGAGATCACTAAAGACTTGCAAAACATTTTGAATATGGTATGGAACTTCGATCAGATCATTTTTTTTGTTGCCACTGACCTTGGTTTCTTAAAGGCCTGCTAGATGTAGGCATTTTGAGGGGTTTGTGGTTTATATCTTGATATATATTCAAGATTTTTTTCCAATAACAATTTTATACTTTTTGCTTCTCCATATGCGAGTTTGAAGAAGTGTCGATTTGATCCTCCAAGCAATGTCGATATGCAACTTCTATGCAACTCCTTTACGATGGAGGGTTTAGAACTTTTAGTCTTTGGATGGAGGGCTTTATCTATATCATGATAACTTGATAAGTAGAATGTTTTAGAAAATGGAGAACAAGTTACAAAAATGTTACCCGTGCGCGCTTGAGCTGGGTTCTCTTGAAAACAATTTCTTTACTTTCGAGAAGAAGTAAGGTCTGCCTACGCACACCCTCCTCAGACCCTACCTTTTGTGAGATTTTACTGGTTCTTTTTGTTGTTTAAAACGTATGAACTCACAAATTGTGTTTGGGCTAAGCTCACATCCTTGCACGGAGCCATGCTTCAACGTTCTAGACATTTAACATCTATATTAATTTTGGCCCGCAACTAGGTTGAAGAACAAGAGGAGGAGAGCGAAAAGAAGAAATCTCGGAGAAGCCCATCAGATACATGACGACAGATCATGCCAAGGAGATGAAAAGTTCTAAGAACATTGTAAGAGATTTTCATATTGGGAGTTTCTCTAATTTTTTCCAAAAGTTCTGTGAAGATTAAAGTTTCAAGATCTCTAAAGGTCTTGTCTTGGCTTGTAGTTCTCATTTCTTTGGGACAAATGTTGTGTATAGCATTAGTGTATGCCAATGCCATCTTCTGAAAAGAGTTGAAGGACGCCATTTGGAGCATATTTATAACTCTGTAATGATGTAAGTTTGTAATGTTATCTCAGGTGTAAAATTCCTTGAGCTGTGTTTATTCCGGCTATCCCTATTTAGTTCACATTTTGAGCCTTCATGTAGCTGACCCTACCCGGTAGGATTAGGGGTGAGCAATTTAACCGAACCAACCGATCAAGCGATACAATTTAACCGAACCGATCGCAATTTTAAATTTGGTTTCGGTTTTCGGTTTTAATGTCTAAAATTTTCGGTTAATTCGGTTATCGGTTTCGGTCGGTTATTACGAATAATTTTAATTTTCGGTTATTTTGGTTTTGGGCCGAAATCGGCTGAACTTTGGTTGTTCGAAATTGAGTGGTGTTTCTCAGTACTTTTAAGCTAATCAAAACTGTTTATAAGTTATTTTTAACTTATAAGTCAACGGATGACGTGTTTATGTGTGTTTATAAACTGGTCTATAAGCTAGTTATAAGTTAAAATAAATAAATAAATAAATCTTACTTGTTTATTTTTAAGTTACTTTTCGTTTCTCTGTTTCGACCAAATTATTTACAGAACTTTTCCTTTCCCATTATGAATATTCCCAAATGAGTTATATATCATTCATGTCATTTTATTTACACGGACTTTTTTTAAATTTATAAGTAGCTTAGAAGTTAAAAAGTGTTTATAAGTAATAAGTCAATAAACACCAACACAGATAAATACTTACAAATTGTATGCCTCATATTCAAGAGATAATTGAACAAGACTCCCTTAATCTCTATGATACATCAAAGGTGCATCGATTGTAGTCTAAAAAAGTGCACGGTACCCCTCTCTCGGACATTTCCCTTTTACAATATTTTTTTTTAAATAAGATTCACTCAAGATAGGAGTAAAATATAATTTTATCTTCAAAATAAAGTTTGCAATGTTGTACTGTATTGGAATGATATCCATCATCTCCGATGGAGTTAAAAATTCACTACTTTTTGGATGATGGAATAAAATAGGTATCTACATTTTTTGTGCTTTTTTTACTTAATGAAGTAATAATTAGTCAATCATTGCAACTCTAAAATGTGAGTTTCTTTAGAAACAGTCTTTCTATTTTTGTGTAGGAGTAAGGATTGTGTACACACATCCTCTCCAAACCCCTCTTGTGGGATCCGACTGAATTGTACTTTTTATACAACAAATTTTTAAAAGGAAATTTGCGGTGATAAATACGACGTGGGTAGTGAGGTTTTAATTCATTTTATTTGCTCGTAAAATTTTATTTTAAAAAACATGAAATGTAGACGTCATCGATTTGAAACCGGAAAATTATTCAATCATCGGCACGGGTAACTCAATATCTTCATTATTCCATTGCATTACCGTACAATTATTCCTTTCTTCTCTTTACCATAATTTACATCGTAATATTATCCACTTTTATTCAATCTATCTCCCCATCCAATGGGAAAACATACAATTACAAATAATAATAATAATAATAATAATAATAATAATAATAATAATAATAAAGTAAATGGTGATATATTACTTACATGATACAGAGTAATACTTTACCCACCCACCTATAATAAATAATTACCATTCATGCAATCTCACAAAGGTACGGCGATTGTTCAAATCTGGACCTAGGTAAAACCCGTCATCTCTAACCAACAAGTAACACCTGTAGTGATACCTCTCTGGATAATGGCTACAACAATCTGGATTATTCATGTAATTCTCCGTGAACACATCAAACACAGTATCCTTCCTCTTAGACGCCGCGTCCTCCATGTAGAAATGGCAGAAGAAGAGCGTGGTGTCGAAGATGTTGTTTTTGAAATTCAACTGAAACTCCTCAGCAGTGTCCAAAATGTGGTAGCCCAAGTCGTCGTCTTTGGACTGGCAACGAACTAGAATTGGCAACGATGACATCTCGTTCATCACGTGAACATCGACTTTCGAGTTCATGACGAGTTTCGAGTCTTCGTATTGAGACGACGGTGAAGAAAGGACAACCACAAGATTAATGGTGATGACCATCATCATCATCAAAGAATTGTAACCAAGGGTCTTCATATTGCTTTAATTTGTTTTTTGTTGTTTATAACTTCTATTGTTGTTTAATTTATTTATATGAATGTATTATATATATACAAGCTCTAACTAACAAGTTATTATCTTATATAATTTGCAATTCCTAACTAATTTATCCTAAAAAAGAAAATAAATAAAACAAAATATGATCTTGCATAGTTAGAGAATAACAACTACTCGTAGTTTATATGATAGTGTGGGCATTATATATATTACTATAATTTTCCATTTCTATCCGATTTATCCATTCCCACACAAAAAACGAATGATTTGTATGTGTTTTTGGTCATTTTCTTCCACATGTAAGTGTATAAACGGGTTTGTTATTATTAACTCTCTATCTTCCCAGTAAAAAAACTATTGATAGAGAATTAACGATAAAAAAATTAATTATTTCATGAGAAATATGTAATGTCACGCTGAATCAGCGATGGGTTGGGGTGAGGTCGGGGTAAAATTGATGAGGTGGGGAGGTTTAAGAGGGGTTAGCGGGTGAGGATTATTAATTTTACGAACGAAGAACCGTAGGCCTATTATTATACGGAGTAATTTATTTAAAAGATAGAGAATTAATGATATTCACATACTCTTCCTTGTCATAAAAATATTCCACATTATTGTTTATTTAAAAGGAAACATGCGGTGATAACTACGATGTGGGTGGTGAATGGTCATAATTAACTTTTTAAAATGATCAATTTCATTGTTTATTTTTATAATGTTATTCTGTCACTATCAACTCAACTAAATACGTGATATATTAAATACTCACTCAACAATTAATAGGTACACATTGGCTCACATGAATTTGGCACCCCGTGTCATAGCATGATCCGGGGTTGCACCCCTAGCCCCTGACCCTCCCTCCCGTTGGTTGATTGGCTACAATATTCACTGTAGCCGGGAGGCTAAGGAGGGGCAAGGGGTGCAGGGAGTTTTGGGGGTAAAAACAATCAATTTTTCAAACAGGTCGTCGTAGGCACCTTGGGTCATGCTATGACACATGGTGCCAATGTCATTTGAACCAATGTGAATAATGAATGTTAAAAAATTGGAGGATTTGGAGATTAGACAATAGAGACCTGCAAATCATATGGTATAACTAAATGTACTTGTCCTGGAAAGGTTCCGGTACCTGTTCCCCTACCTACCCTCATCGGTTTCGGTCACGATTCTAGTCCCGGATCCGCTTGTTTCTATTCTAGTACCGGCTTGGAACAAGATCCGTGCCCATGTCTACTCGGGGATGCATGTTTTATTAATGAATGTTTCCATTTGGGTTCTTATTTAATGTTACTATTTAAAGTTAAACACAAAAGGCTCTTCCAAGTAACTTCTCATTCTACCAATAACAGCTCAACCAAATGTCAAAACAATTTAAAACAATGGCAAACAGCTCAACCAAACGGACCCTTAACTTAAGCCGTGTCGAATGAAGTGAGGTACCCCAAGCATGACTCTACTATTACAAAAAAACATTAAAGTACCCCAAATTTGACCTCATTTTTTGGGAACAGTGCTCCGTGTTTGTGAAGAATGTTAAGGCAATGGTGTCGAAAAATGGGGTCAATTAAGCTTGGCGTACCCCAAACATTAGTCATACTTATTACAATCCAACCATAGAATCAATCAGTAAAAATGACCTTTTGCTACCAATCTCAATCTCATGCATCCGTTTATGCACTCATGTCATTGCAATAGCTAGTAATGAGTAATAGTCATCACATTACTAACCTTACTTGGAAGATGACGTGGATAGATATTTCCTTCGTTTGTAGGTCACGATCTCCTTCGATGGTTCGTGTGGAGCATACTCACTGCTTACATGCCCTAAAGAACATCTCTGGTTCACATTATATTGAATTCCCTCTGTAACCTCAATCCCAGAATCATTTTTGTTCAGGTCACTATCAAGATTGTTTATAATAGAGAATGGCAAATCGGTGCAAGGGAGATTTTCTCTTGTATCTGGGAAATGATCAAGAGAAGGCATCTCCTCCTTGGCAATGTTGTCAGCAGAAATCCCATTTCTAGCAGTGGGTCCAACTGTTTGTGAGGAAGACAACTGTGTCTTCACCCAGACGGCTAAAGAGAGTGCATGATCGCGGATCAAAGAGTCAAAAGGCGGGCAGTGGAGCACCTTAAGCAATGCCTGCTTATACTGAAACATACTCACGGAGAACAAACCGGGCCCACCTTCACGAAGATATTTGATGCTTTTGAAAACGTGCTCGCATAAGTTGCCCATTATTGAAGAATCACAATCACAGAGTGCATATTCTGAGGAAGACAGGTTTCGTATAACATGGACTACCGTTCGGTCTCCCTGGTCAACGATGTTTGCACAGTCACCGTTGATTGCCACGTCAGCATCAGGGATCAGCAGAGATCTTCGCCAGGCTGTCAATCCACTTGTCCATTCGTCCTTCCAATACCGCACGAAATCATCCTTGTCGGAGTACTCATCAAGCCAGAAATAAGAATGCACTTTTGTGCCCAGCTTATCTGCAAGCCAATCCGCACGATTATATACACTCGAGTCCCTCTCATTCAACAGCCTGAGCTTCATTTGGTTGTGGTAAAACTCCAATGCTGCACATGTCTCTTGGCTGGCAAGAGGAAGTGATCTGAGTGCACCAGTCCATAGCCCTGGCCGAACGACAATTTGTTAGAAGTGATCAAAAAGAGAATAGGTACAAGAATTTTAATGAAATGTTCAAATGAGAGTTCGAGACCCACAACTTTATTGAGATAGCAACAGTTTAGTTTGCCTTCCGTCCCAAAAAGAATGTCACGCTTCACTATTAAAAAATCACAGGAACTTTTGTTTATTTGTACGTTTTCGTTGATGATTTGATAAAATAAAGTTTTCTTGTCACGTCTAGTTTTGTAGAACTTTTGACGTAACTTTTAAATATGTAAATTGTATTTCTATACCAATCTTTAAATAAAGTTAATTGAAAAAACCTAAAATTTTGCTTTGTTCTGCGTAATGTGGGGCATTCTTTTCATCTTCACAGTTCAACTACACTATTCACTTTATTCATCTATACTAGCCCTTTTGAAAAATCAAGGGCAAATGTGGAAAGTCAATGTCTTTTCCACTCTTATTAATATGTGTGCCGCGTCAAACCGAGAGGAAAATTCTTGAACGGAGGGAGAATAGAGTAATGTATGCATTACCTAATCTTGGATACCACGTTGCCTTGAAGTAGTCCACAAAGTCGGCAGCATCAGCGAAATCTTGCATAAAATCTTCAAACAAATTTGCTGTTTCTAACCCTTTGCAAATGCTATGTATCATCTGACCAAGCCTTTTTGCTATAGCAGCCCGCAGATCCATTTCTGAGCATCTTTTCATTAGATTTTTATGCCATGCATAACGCACCCGCCAAGAGCATATTAGGACAGAGCACTGGAACACGTCCCTTAGTAAGAAAAACAGAAAAATATGTCACATTTCAAAAGAAATTTGAAAGATAAATCAAACGAAATCAATCCATGCAATTTTTTAAATTGATTATCTAGAGTCAAACTGGATGGAATACATTGGAACACACATAAAAAGAAGAAAAATGGATCTCATGTAAACTCGAATGATGTGCAGTGCAAAATATTGAACCATATATATTGCAAATTAGTGAATGATGTGAATAACAATAACCATTTATCTGTGGAACTACATCAAGAAAATGTATATGATTTGCAGTTTTGCACGGATCACTGTATAAAATTAATACTCCATCTGTCCCACTGTTTTTGGGACATGAAGGAGTGACAGTTCCACGGAAGTTAAAACAAAGAGTAAGATTGTGTGGTTGATATTGATATTAAAAAGTAAGACAAAATAAGAATGAATGTGAACCACGCAAATATGACCAAATATAGTATGTGCCAAAAAATAGTGGGATTAACAAAAAAAGGTAAAAGGGATAGAAATAGTGGAACAAGGGAGTAATATGAAGCTCTAAGAAGCCAACCTTATAGACAGGATGTCAGTCAAAGGATCATCCACAATGAACCCAGCTAACTTCCATGTAGGATCTTTGGTACGAACTCTATTATAAAGAGCCCTCATCCATCTAACCATGTCTCCACTTGCACACCTAGGTGCTACTATCCACGCAACTGGGATGGCCTTGTTGTCTGAATTGAACACAACAAGACTGTGAATTGGATACTGAAAAGAATTTGGATAGAAAAGAACATGTTAAGCTTTCAAAGTTTACAAACTTGTTCTAAGGTCCGAAACTATGAACATACTGAGAGATCAAAATTATAATAAGGAGCACATGTGGCACCAATTTAACGTGCCCGCATCACTAAATTTGGAAATAAAGTCATGTAGGTGTATGGGTCTCATTAAACTCGCAGAGGCCCAAGTGGACCCACATGATTCTATAACCAGTTACTAGTTACCACGCCTGGTTATGTGGGGCACATCAAATGTCTGTTTGGTAAGTGTTAGTTGGCTAAAATGGCTATATGTGGTGAATTTTTTAAAAGGAAGTGTTTAGTAAAATCAATTTCAGCCAACTAAGTCTGCTACTTAATTAGAATAAGCCGGTTAATACTAGCAAATGGGCCCTAACCCCCTGTTTGGATTAATTTTTAGGACGGAAAATTTGGAAGAAGAAAATAAAATTATTTTTCCTCTTACACTATGTTTGGTTTGTGGAATTCAAAAGGAACAGAAAAGAAAGAGTTTATCTCCTTTTCCTCACTAAAACGAAAGGAGAAATCATTTTCTTTCTTCTTAGTGCATGTTATTCTCTCATTTTCTTTTCTTTCCTCTCTAATCAACAAGAAAAGCTCTTTTCTCTCTCATTTTCTTTTCTTTTTCCTTTCAAAATTCCTTAAACTAATCATATTGTTAGTGTTAGGATATAATGGGGTGGAAGGAAAATAAATTTATTTTACCTCTTAATTGAAACTTATTACAATATTATGGAGTAGTTACTATTTAAACTTTCCTCCCAATTTGAGAGGAAAACTAATGAAGGAAAATAATTGAATATTTTCCATCTTACTTAATTTTCCTTCCTCTTCCAAACATAATACGTATACATACCTCTATTTTTCACTCAAATATTTCTTTCCTCTCCTATTTTATCCCTTCCAAACAAGGGGTAAGAGTGCCCTCACGGCCTCCTTGGATTTTTTATATAGAAATCAGACCTTGAGTTTATTTGTTCCAAATTTTGAATCAGAAACTAGAAGGCCACGGTTCCCAAACCGGATCATCTGTTGCAACTGCCATTCTGTTTGAATACCAAGGACAAAAGGATCGGAATCCGAGAAATCCTTGTAAAAGAAGATTTGGTTCTGGTGGCTTTCAACCCACAGTCCAATGCTTACTGCATCATCTTCATCCAGTTCATAAATAGACCGCCTAATGCTTCTCTCTTGTCTCCTAACATACCTGTGGGTTAGAAGGTCATCTCGGTTGCACGGACCCCCCTGTCTCTCCACTGATTCATTATGCCTCTGCATAATGGTCTCCACAGACACTCCAACATGAAGTAAAGATAGCACACGGAGACGAAGATCCTCCGAGATATAGGGAGCATACATAGCATTGGTCCCAGCAGCTTTCTCGTCCTGTGGGCCATGACACGGCAATCCTTTCTTGTCCACATGTTTATCCTGGTTGTATATGATCAGTGCCACGGACGGCTCAGCAATCAAGCGTTTAACTATAAAATGGCATGTGCACCCTCTCTTTGTATTTGGCCTACCAGCAGATTTTTTCTTGGGGACATATGTGGTTCTGCTAGGTCGGACAACACCCCCTTTCCTATGGTCGTCTGGTCCAAACGAACACCAGTACCTAAGATTACATAAGGACAAAAAAATGAGTTTTAACAAAATAAAGAACTATGTAGACACTAGACAGTAATAAAATACTAAGTAAAATAATTATTCCCTCTTTCTCAAAAATAAGTTTCAAATTTACATTCACAAGTCAAATTATATCTTATTTCCTTATGTATTCTTGTTGATCATTCGACGAAATAAAACAGTCAAGCCACTTTTTATTTTATAGAATTTTGATGTAGTTTTCAAAATAGATTTTTTATTTTGCGCCAATTTTCTAAGAAATTAAATTGAAAATAACTTTAGTCAAACATCGTGAACCATAAGTGGAACCTTATTTTAGAACAAAGGGAGTATGTAATAATACAATAATAAAACAACAACAACAACAACAACAACAACAATTATAATAAGTGATAAAATTATTAGTACACTTGATTTTAAATTTTGTTTTTAGCCTTTTGCGAACTTTAATTTGACATTTTAGATGTATTTAGTGAGAAATGGAAGTTTTTACTCTAAAATAGGTACAGGAAACAGCATCTTACAGTATATACTCAAGGACACCATCAACTTTTTGCTTGTATGTTGTTTTTGAGGTTCTTCTTCTTCTGGCTTCAACATGGAATTTGGTTGGACATTCTTTACTAGCAGATTCCCCACGTACAAAGTCATCTACTCTCGCATATGGGATTAGAGCAACTCTATCAATGTTATCACGCCAACCTTCTACCTTAGACCACACAAGGTTGGACGAAGAGAACTCTAAGTTGGGAGGATTCTGTACAGGGAGGGACAGAATCTCATCCCACCTGGCCATCTGTAATTGGAAAAAAAAAACAGAACAAGAAAATTAGAGAAATGAAGCCTCAAATGACCACGGAAAATTTATACCGCACTTTTGCGTACGTTGAATGACAAATGGGATAAAACCATGAATTCTAATACGTTGCACCAATATGGATACATACGATTCAAATTGACTGAGAAAGAGAAATGCATTCTGAAAATCTTATTCTGCATTGAAGTGATTGAAGCATTGGGAAATCACTCAAATCAGTTTGATTTTATTTATCTTAATTCTTAAATTGGTAATCTCACCCTACAAACTTTTACATTACGATCTGTTGTGTAAATACTCCTATATACAAGACACCGGCTTGACGGAAAAAAATAAGATGACAAACTCATTAAAGAACTTATTTGACATTTTACCCACTCTTTAACAAGACATATTTTGGAAAATGGACAACTAAATTCAGCCAGAGTATTCATTACTATGATAATGAACCCATTAATAATGAAGTATAGCAAAACTACTTTGTATAACATAAGGTTTACACAATTTAGGAGGGGAAGGCATTTGGAGGGGTATGAACTCTCCCTCATAACCCTTTATTTTGCTTCTTTCTAAATTGGGGTTAAATGGAGAGAAGGGAGAACAGCTCTTATGAATTTTATTTACTCAAAACCCATTACTTTCTTTTAATTTCATTCCAATCCAAACAAAGGATGGTTACTATCCTTTAGAATTCCTCCCCTCCTCGAAGCATTTGATCCGAACATCATTGAATCTCTTCCACTCGCCTCCTTTATCATTCTCTCCTTCCCTCTCCTTTAATAAAAACACTCCCTTCAAAACAGGGGGAATTTGGAAGGGAAAGGAAAAGAAAATGGCAAGGAAAGCAACTTTGGTTTATGGTTAGAAAGGTAAAGAAAATAAAATTGGGAGGAAAAGAAAATATGAGAACAATACGACACAATTGGATCCCACGAGAGTAGGATTTGGGGAGGTGTGTACTAAGACCTTGCCCCTACTTGAATGTAAAAAGGTTATTTCCAAGAAGCCCCTGAGCAGCACAAATAATATAAGATCACAAAATATACATAAAGCAGAGAAAGAACAAAACACAAAAAGGCAAAGAACAAACAAATATTAACAAAGTAAAAACATTGCAACAAAGAGCACCAAGCATACAAAGCACATAACAACAAGTGCAAAAACTACGACCTAGCCCTAAGCGCCAACCCAACTACCATAATCCTAGCTCTCCAAACCTCCATATCTAAGGTCATATCTTCAATCAGGACAAGAAGTCCTAGGTTGAATCTGATCGCCTCCTTCCAACTCATCCTAGGTTCGCCCTTTCCCCTACTCCCACCCACAAACACAATATAATCGGAGATAGTATCTTGTAACAGAGTTATTAGTGTTAAAAAAACACGACAGCAACCATAAAAGAGAAAAAGGTTAAACACCTGCCGTCGAATTGTGGAAAATGGAGCTCAACCATTAAAGAGCTAAATACGTGGTTGAATTTCGAAGCTAAACAGAAATAAAAACATGAGAAATGAAAAGGAAGGGAGAAATTGCAGACCTTTGTTAGCGTCGCCGGAGAATAAGAAACGGAAGAGCGGAGACAAAGAAGAAGCCCTTCTTCCCCCTCTGCCGTCTACAGTGGTTGAGGTTTTGCAGAAACAGAAAGATACAGAGAAATGATGGGCCAAAAGCATTTGGGGTTTGGGCCTAGCAATAAATGGCCTTTTGGAATCAGATTCTTACTATTCCCGTTGGAGACTTTTCTTGGCCCTCACGCAATTCATTGGCATAAATACTTTAACGATGAAAACAGATTATAATTACAAATATTAGTGCGGATGCTTATTGACTTATTATTCATAAGTAATTTTCAATTTATAAGTTGGTTATAAGTTAAATATTTTTCATAGAAATAAAATAACGTAGATAATAGATAAGTCATTTAGAAATCTTCATAAATGGTGATAGACAATTTTTAAAATAATTTGGTCAAAATGGATAAACGGAGAAACTGTTTAAATATAAATAGCTAAGACCTACTTAGAAGATGTGTGGGAATATGTTTGAAAAATGCTTTTGAGCTTGGACTTCATTCAAACATAATTTAAGTGTTTTCTAATCAGTTTAGATTATAGATTGTGGTTTTAGAAATGTAAATTGTACTCTATAAGTGATTTTCACCAAAGCTTAAACCAATTACTTTCTACTTATGATTTAGCATATCTATTTTTTCAAGACTTGCCGTAATCACAAACACCATCTTGTTTTTTTACTTATAAGCACACACATTTATTAAAAATATTTTTTAAATAAAGGGTACATGTTTTATTAAAAATAATATTGATTAAATTTAATTTTATACATGCAAATATACAATATCACAATTCGCTCTTTAAAAAAACAGTATTGTATTGGTACAAGATGAAGATCAAAGTCATTCCTCAAATTTATACATACCACACAATTTTGACTTCTATTTTAGGAAAAAAAAATATAAGACTCCTATTCTGATTATTTTCAAGGGAAAAATGTCTCTAATGATCCAACATTTTCGAGATAGTCAAACAACAATTACATTTTTCATTGTTACATGAAATAATCTAACATTTTCTCATGTGCGCAAACTTTGCCTTGCAGTTAGAATGCTAACGGTTACTTAATGAAACTTTTAGAAAATGTTTGCTTTTCGAAAGTAAATGAAAGGTGACATTATTGAAAAAGGTTTTTATAAATAATACCAGATTTAAGTATTTTTTGGAGTGGAACTAATTATTTTTTCCAATAGTAGATAATCTAGTAATAGTCATTTTTTCTAAAATAATATTTCAAAAGTTGTGAAATTGCACAAAAAATTATTCTACACAATGGAACTAATTTATTTACTTCATAGCTCACCTTTTTTTCTGTATGTTACAATTATTTTCTTGAGCGATACTTCGAATTGTTTTTTGATATTATAATAATGTTATTTTAAAAAATGGTGCTGTAAGGCTTGTGAATATTTCTCGATAACTTTGTAGAAATGTTTTTTTCAAAATTAAACAACATTACAACATTTGCAAAAATAACAAAATAAATTTTATCTGAAATGAAACTTTTATTTTTATAACTTACTATATTTATTGTTTTATTGCAATTTTTTTCATGAACAACAACCCGGAATACTTATCGATAATCTTATATTACATGTGTTATTTTTTTAAAAATGGCACTGCAAAACAACATTACAACATTTGTAAAATTAACACAATAATTTTTCTTTGAAATGAATCATAACTCACTATATTTTTTGTTGTAATGCAATTTCTTTTATGAACAAAAATCGAATTATTTTTTCTAAAATGACACTATAAAACTTGTGATTTTTTCGACAATTCAATAAAAACTTTTCCTTCAAAATAACAATTCAAAACTTGTGAAAATGACACAATATTTTTTTCTTCAAAATGACACTAATTATGTTCATAACTCACAACAATTTTTTTGTATTGCAATTTATTTCTCGAATGATGCTCTGAATCATTTTTCAATAACCCAATATTATTTTTCAGAACAGAACACAAAATTTGCAAATCGTTATATTTTTTTGAAAAAATTGAGACAAATCTCTAACATGAGTATATTGCTATATTTTTAAAAACGTACATTTAAAATTACAAATTTAAAAAAGTAAATTTGTCTAAAATATTCTCGAGTTTCATTTATTTCTGAAAAAGAGACATTTTCCAAAAATCTTGTTAAGTGGTCATTAGCTTCTTAATGGTGATCCAAAACTTGTACAAATGTAGAAATTTGAAATTATTTATAGTGACAGTAAAAATTTAAATTATTTTTAAAAAAACATGATAAAGTTAAATTATTTAATACTCGGTATAAGTTTTTCTAATTTAATCATACCTTAATTTTTTTTTTCCTACAAAAATTAATCCAACCAGGACTTTCTTTGGCCAATTCTCCGGTCCGAACCATTGAACAACCGAACCCGCCCAATATGAGATGCTCCCAGATCGGTCCTCCGTAAAAGGCGGAAATACGTTTCGGGGTGCCATCGGTAGGACTCGGATCCGACAGCTGCCTAAAGTCTCTAGATCCTTCTGGAATTCGCACCAGATAGAGCCGACGAATTGGCTGAAGCTTCGAGCGCGCATCTCTCATTTCGTTCGCGGATCTGTAACTCCCGAGTCTACCGGCGGATAATCGCCATGGCCGACGAACAGAAGCATGAAGGTCCAAGCACAAGTACTGGTTCTGAAGGAAGGTCCGAATCCATTGTGAATATCAATATCAAGACCTTAGATTCTCAGAATCACGCCTTTGAAGTGGACTCTAATGTAAGTTTCTTTTCCATTTAATTTCCTGCTTGTTCCGTGCTTTGAAGTTATTCATTGCCTGTGTAATCTCAAAATGGCGATCTCAGAGTTGTATAGAGGCTAGTCAAACCGGGGATACTTCTTGTGTGTGCGCCTTGGATGAAGAAATACTAGTCGTGCTTCATAATTTAACCATTGCCTGTGTCTCAAATCTAATCGTTGCTTGTGTTTCCATGGATTTAGATGCAAGTTTCTGCGTTCAAGGAAAAAGTAGCAACTCGACTTGGTGTCCCTGTTGCACAGCAACGTCTGATTTTCCGTGGGAAAGCTCTGATGGACGATCACCTTCTTTCTGAATACAGTATCCACTCAATTTGATATTGACAAATCTGGTTGTGATTGGATTTCTGGTGTGAAAAAGCACTGAAATAGCGATATCTATTTACTTTTTTTTGCAGAACACCAATGTTTATGATATTTTTGAGCATCTCCGGTGCTCTTTTCAGTTGTGCTAAATTATTTGCCTCATTGACATAACCAGATAGGTTGTGTGAAAAGCTCTTACATACATGCTTTACCCTATGTTTGGTTCAAGAGTTTTGAAAGGGAAAAGAAATGAAAATAAGATGGAAAACAATTTTTTTTGTTTGGTTAGAGAGGAAGTGAAAAGAAAAGTGGAATGAAAAGAAATCAAGAAGGCAAAATGTACTTAGAGGAGCAAAAACAAAATTCATTCCATTTTGGCGAGGAAAGTGAGAGAAATCCATCTTCTTTTTCTTTCCTTCCAGATTTCTTGAGCCAAACATAGTGTTATGGACTTCTTGTAGTCCATCCTGAAATATTGTCGTTTATGATGGTTGACACAAGTTGTTTGTCAATTCAATTTATTTGAAAAATAGTGAATATTAGTTTGTCCAATAAGAACTGTATATTGGGACAGAGAGAGTAATTTTTTTCCTAGTTTGGGTGGTATCAAATTGTGCCTGTGTAGGGATGTGTGAATGAAGTAATTCAGTGGCAAAATGAAAGTCTAGCTAGGGGTACGTGAGAAAGTGAATAAATAACTTGGTGGTCATCTTCTCTAAAGACCTTAAAATCACATGATAAGTATCAGCTATATTTAAAAAAAATTGTATAGTTAATTAATTAGTCACTGCAATCTATATTTGCATCGGAGAACACATTTTTATATCGATTGTCTATCTTGTCAAATTTAAAACATATTACTACGCATATCATCCACATTAATGACATGTCTCCTTTCATATTACACATTTACTATTTAGACACACGTTTATGCATTGACTTAATGTTGCCGTGATTTAGACAGACCACTTAGGGAACTACTCTTGGTTTTGTGCTGAGGTGTACACCCCTATGAATTTGTTATGCACTTATGCAAGTTTTCATGCTTCTTTGTCTCAAGTTTATTTTTGTCTATGTAACTTCAACTGGTTATCTTTGTAGTTTCTTGACAACTTTGCTCCTATAGATTTGGAGCATGGAGACACACTGCACTTAGTAATCAGACAGCCTTCTCAACCACAATTCTCAGCCACTGCAAGCAATGGGGAATCCGCTCCGAGTAATGGTGTTAGAGGTACTGATTGGTCCCAACCACTTGCTTTCCATGTGTAGAAATGTAGAATACTCAATGTGATTTTATCTTGTTATTTTTTCAACTCTGTAGGACAAGAACCTACTACTAGTGGACCTCGCGCTCGTGTTGGACACTTTTCACAGAGTGTAGTATTAGGCACTTTCAATGTTGGTGACCAAGGACAAGGCCTTGTTCCAGATCTAAATCGGGTTCGTAGCATCAATATGTATTTGTTTTCGTTTTTGTGTTTCAGGTCAGCTTACATTGACATGTTTTAACTGTTGACAACATATTCTTTCTTTCCTTCTAGGTTATTGGGGAAGCTTTGAGCTCTATTGGACTTGGGAACCAGATTGGTGTCCACCATCCTGGCATGCAGGTCAGTTATTTATTCCGCTATACCTTACATTGGTTTCAGCTACACACTTATACATAGTGTTTGTTTAATGTTAGCTTTTGTGATTAATATTAACATTTTTGATATTTTTATAACGGTGCAAATTAATTTTTATAACATTACAACTAAAATCTGTTGTTGCACAGCCTTTTGGAAACACTAAAACTAATTTGAAAAGGACACATGGTGTCCTTGCTTAATTGAATCCTGAATACTCCATCCGTCTCATAATTAAGTTCATTGTTTGACTTATTTAAGAGAAGGGTTGAAAAGTGAGAAGTATGTGGTTGGAATATATGTATAGAAGAAACAAAACTCTCTTAGCCACATATTCCTTTCCATAAAAGAAATATGAAAAGATGTTAAGTTTATCGTGGGACAACAAACATGGAAATTGTGAAGTTAATTGTGGGGCGTAGGGAGTATGTTTTGTATTGCATCTATTCATATAAAGGCTTGTGTAGGCATTTTATACTTTCATTTCTTTATGACCTATCATATGCTGTATTTATATAAAGGCTTGTGTGTCCTAGCCCTAATTCTAAAAAGCATGCCTTTTAGGTTGTATGTATGACACACATTTCTTTTATGAATATATATATGTGTGTGTGTGTGTGTGTATCTGTGTGTGTGTTTGTCTAAATGTGTGCGTGTTTGTAAACTAAATAAATGTGTATGAATGTGTTGAGATGCAGCGCATTCTTTCCAATTTGTAGCAAAAATGCATGTGACTAGGATAGGAGGATTCATTATATTGTAGATGCTTAGTGGATATATTTATAATAACTTCTAGAGTTGTATTAGTCTTTGAGATGCAATACACATTCGTGTAATTTTGTGCATTTAGAAAATTCCTATGGATTTGATGTAGGTAATTTGTTTTGTGAACAGGTTAATGCTCCCAATTCTTCCCCACAAGGAAATGAAGCACAAAATGTACCAAGAAATTCTGGTTCCCAAAATCAGCACTGGCAGCCAGGGCAACCATTTCCTAGTCAAAGTGGAGGCATTCAAATCCCTATTGGAGCAGCGATAGCTATTCCTTCACTGATGGTAGAAACAAATTAAAGTACCATTGAGCATCAACATTATTTTTCAAACAAGATGTTTTAAAACCCTAACATAGTTTTCTGTTTGTTTTTGTTTTTATTTAGCCAATTCCAGACTCTCTGCACACGCTGACAGAGTTTATGAATCACATGGAGTCTGTACTATCCCATAATGGTAAGGGGTTGCTCTTAGTTTATTTGACAAATCTTTCTAGTAGTCTTACTTATGATTGGCCCCCTCTGTTTCCAAATACAACAGCAAGTCAGCCAAACCAGTCAACTGTCAATTCATCTGGTACAGCATTGCCTACAAATTCTCGTGGTCAGTCAACTCCAGAGACACTGAGCATGGTTTTACGGCATACAGAGCGTCTAGTTGGAAGCCATGTTACATCTGCATTATCCGTATGTAACTTTTAATTTAATATTGCAATTATGAAATTTATACTGGTTTTCCATTTTTTACTGGTTATCATCAAATTAGAATTACTACTGTAACCTGCACCTCATCTTCTAGGCGCTAGGGATAGATTAATAAATAGTATCTTTATTCTCATTGCTTTTGCATGAGCCAAGAGGAATGCTCAAAATTGTGTTTTGCTAGGTGCAAAGGTTATATGGCAAGTTTATATGCGGATGTAGTTTGTTAGTTTAATTGGATTCTCCCATTACTAGTGTATTTTGACTGTTGAGCTGTTGAACTTTTTTAATGACTCTATTATATGGTTAATGCATCACTGTTCCTTGGTGCAATCACATCTATGACCTCTTCTCTATTATCTTGTTTAATTGAAGTGTTGAACTTTGTGCACCTTGGGTTTTATATCTCATTTTGATTCATTAGAGAAAATTTATTTTGCAAAAAATATTATGAATCAATGGTTTTAATACTTCTATGATAGCTTGACAGATTATTGCTTACAAATTGATTTTCTTTAGACTCTTGCATTACTTTAGATTGTCTTCTGAGTTGGTGTTTATACTCTGCTACTGCTGCAGCGCATTGCAGGACGTTTGGAGCAAGATGGGAATTCAACTGACCTTACAGTAAGAGGACAAATACAGGCAGAATCTGTGCAATTAGGTCTTGCAATGCAGCACTTGGGTGCTCAGTTCCTAGAGCTTGGAAGGACAATGTTGACATTGCGTATGGGACAGTCTCCAGTATGTGATTTTCCGTCTTTGATTTTTTCCATTTCTGGTTTTGTATTCGTGTGTACAAGATGATTCATGTACAACTCTTCTGTTGTTTTGTACAGGCTGAATCTTCAGTCAATGCTGGTCCTGCTGTTTACATTTCTCCATCAGGGCCAAATCCCATAATGGTTCAGGTGTGGTGGCAGCTTGCATTATTCTTTAAATCACATGTAGTATGGTTTTTTAATATTTTGAGTTTCTGTCCTCTGTTGCAGCCTTTTCCTCTTCAAACATACTCTCTGTTTGGTGGTTCTACATCCGGCCCTCCTAATCCAATAGGAGGCTTCAGTCCTTTTGGAATTGGCCACACAACAAGGAATGTAAATATACACATACATACTGGTATGAACTACTATTTTTTTAGTATGCATGCATTTGTTCATAATTTTTTTTGGGTAGGTGGGTTTAAGCTAAGAGGATTTACCGCTCATCCTTCTGTTTGAACTTTTTTGGCATTATTTTGTGTAGTTGGTGCTAGACCAACCAATTTAGGTGGAACTGAAGGTGATCAAGCCAGTGGGACTGGTAGTGGTGATTCTAGTCAATCCAGAGCTCCACCAAGAACTAATGCTGGAGCTGCTGATCCATCAAGAGCTCACATGCCCTTTTCTGGTGCTTCACAAGCTGGTACAATTTCCATGCTTTGAGATGGTGTTTGTTTCATTTTTGTTAAATGTTGTGGATTTGGGGAAGTATGCAAGAGACCCTAACCGTTGAAAATGCTTAAGGAGTATAATACTGGCATTATATATATATATATATATATATATATATATATATAAATATATATGAAATTAATTAAGCTTAGGCTCTGTTTTTTCCTCACGAAAATATTTAAGAAAATAAGTTCCTCAGGAAGATTTTCTTCTGTTTTGCACTGGAATTTTTTTTCTTACGGAAAAAGTTTTCACTGATTCTCTGAATCATTGTGGAAAATTAGTGCAAGTTTTGCCAGAAACATCTATACTGTACATAAAACATTTCCCACCACGAGCTTTTTCCTTCAAGCACATGGAAATTGCCTATAACAATGTTGTATTTCTATTCTCAAATCCAATGCTGTACTCTAAAACTTTGTGATTGGTACATCGGTGAATTATCTGTTCTTTTTTATGCTTTTTAATACAAAATGATTATAAATAAACAATAGCTGCATTATAATGCTCTCTTTAATGAATTGCTCTAATATATTCAAGGTCAACCTGAAAGCACAACCGTTCTGGACCAATCTATGTGTTCAGATGCTGAAACTGGAACTAGGAAGTCTAGCGAACATCTGGTCTGTGATTTCTAATACTCCATAGCAGTTTCTTTGTCATTTGTGTTACTACTCTCTCCGTCCCAATTTAAGTTGTTTACTATTCACAGGGTCAAACTTTAATTATGTTTTTGACCAATTTTCGCAACCATTTGAGAATATAATATAGTCTTGTCACATCTTGTATTGTAAAACTTTTGACGTAGCGTAGAAATGTATAAATTATTATTTTTTGATTATTTACCAATTTTCAAATAAATTGAGTTGAAATTTACTTCAGCCGTACACAACAATAGGTGACTCTTTTTGGGACGGAGGGAGTATAATATTAGAAGTATTGATTTAAGACATTTTCCGGATACACGATGATTTCAGCAAATGTCAAATGAGCCGAATGAGAGTGCTGCAGGAGGTTCTCAGGGAATGAATCACTCTGGTAGCTCATCTACTGCTCCTATTGGACTGGGGATAGGGGATTTGCAGCCTAAGGTTAGCAAGTACAGTTCTATCATGTTTATGCTATGTAGTGCTGCTAGGTATAGCTATACTTGCTCCATCCCCAAATAGAAGTCCCAGGTTGACTTCATGGAGTTTAAGAAAGTTGTTCAAAAGTGAAGTGTGTGGATATAATTTTTTTAGAGGAGAGAGAAATGTTGTAAGGCACTTATTCTCTTCCTTTGATGAAAAGAAAAGAGGTGGGAACTGGGAAGTTTGTTTTCGGAGGGGCGAAAAAGGAAAGTGAGAATTTTATTTGGGGGAGGGAGTGTATTTTGTTTGTTTAGGTCAAGCTTCAAAGGGAACTATATAAAATATCTTATCAATGATCTGTTAGGTTCATAATCTAATGGTTATGATCATTGTGACTGCAGTTAATGTGTTTCCATTGGTATAAGTAAAAGTCTGAACATAATGTGTGTCTGTGTAGGAATGGCTTCCATGCCTATTGGGCATGGTTCCTGTCAAGATTTTATTGGTTGTGCATTTCACTTTTTAGAACAATTTGCAACTAATCAAGCCCTTTTTCACTCACATTTTCACACACCCACACCCTCATACACACGTATAAACAAATCTTTGGGCTTCCATAAATAATTTTTTATCATAATACATGTTTTTTTATTGTCACATTCAGTTTTTTTAATCAAATTAGTGGTGCTCAGTTAGGCATTTTAATTTTTTGTTGTGATCCGGTGTAGGTTCTGTTTTGCAGTTCGCGCTCCTACATATGCACTTTATATTTTTAATTTGGAAAATTCACATTCTATTTGGCTGTTATCAATAGGTGATTAAAATGTACTCTTTAGGTGCACACTTCTATGCCATCTGAAATTGGGGCCAATGCTTTTAGTCGAATTTGGTATTTGCACCCCCATGGTTTACCTGTTTACCAGTATTTGTATCTGAGCCAGGGATCTCTTGGAAACAACCTCTTTACTTTATTGTAGGGGTAAGGTCTATGTGCACACACCCTCCCTAGATGCTACTTTTGGGGAATTCTACTAGGATTGCTTTTGTTGGTTTACCAATATTTGAACTCGCCCTCTAGTTGGGGCAAACTCAAATGTTGAGGTAAATCATGGGGTGCGAAAGCTAACGAATGGGGTACAAAGTCTAGTAGCAGTCACTAGTGTTTGGTGCCACTAATTGCAAAGTAAATGAAAATAAAACATGGGATGTGAAGTCCAATATTGGGCATACCTTGGGGGTGGATACTGAATTGCCTTTATTTTAATGCTGCAGTAGTGGTGTTTACTCTTTTTTTCTTCTTTTGTTCACCGGTGGAATCAGAGACGAATTAGGCAATCCAAATCACAGGCAAGAAGTGCTGATATTGCGGCTTCCTCCTCCAGTCAGGATGAACAATTTGTGAGAGATGGACAACAGATTCTGCAATCCCTTGCATCTCTGAATCCAGGCCTGCCCTCCCACCCGGCCAGGGGCACTACATATAATTCCAGTTTTGGAGGGAATGAGCAACCTGCCATTTCAAATGTGATGTCACAAGTGCTTCAGAGCCCGGCTTTAAGCAATTTATTGGGAGGGATCTCTCAACAAACTGCTCTCGGTTCTCCTGATGCCTTAAGGAATATGATGCAGCAAGTAACACAGAGCCCAGGGCTGATGAACACTGTCAACCAAATCGCACAGCAGATTGACCCACAAGATCTTGGAAGCATGATTTCAGGTTTGCGTGTGGGCCAGGGCGGCGGCAGCAGTAGTGTTGATTTTTCCAGTATGCTTCAGCAATTGATGCCACTTGTCTCACAAGCTCTTGGTGGTGCTTCAATCCCAGCAGCTGCCGAACCAGCTCCAAGAACAGAAATCAGGCAGAGTGATATTGGTTTGACCAGAGACGAGACGATGCCCACCGATCAAAGTTATCAGGTCTGTACCTTGCCTTAGAAGTATAGGCCTCGTTTGGATTATATTGGTGGAATCTTCATTATTCTTTTTAACCAATGTCAACATGGATATCAACTCTATCTGTTGATATTTCCATAAGATTAGGGTCTGATTGAAACCTAGAAAATGCTAAGGAGCTAAGATAGAGATGAAAGGAGATATTTAATCAATGATTTAATTTGTATTCCCTCTGTTTTGCATTTAAATTCTCAAGTTGACTTATACAGAGTTTAGGAAAAGATGAAATTGCTTTGTTGAGATCTATACAAGAGGAGAAAAATAGTAAGAACCACACAATCTATTTATTTTCGAGTATAGAATATTTATTCTCGTATTATGTAAAGACTAAGAAATCTAAATACAAGTAAAAAACAATGTAAGTTGTTTTTCTCCAATATTGATTTCCTTGATATTTTTTCATTTTAAAACCAAGCATTTAGCTTGGAAAACCAAATACTTGTAGAATCAAAGCATATAAACTTGCTCTTCTGTTCTATTTTGAACCTTGCATTTGAATCACCACCATTTGAGTGTAGCAGACAGGACTCCAAGACGTGGCTAGAAGGATTGAAAACGGTAATCCCCCCGAAGACATATTTCGCTCCATAGTTGAAAATGCTGTCCAGGCTCATCCCGGCGGAAGCAGCGACGAGAATGAGAATCTCGTGAATGATTTGTGCAGTACAGAAGGCCTTGCGAATGTGAGTATTATTATTGTAATTGTTGTTGTTGTTATTACTCAATCTTTATTACAATAACAACTCAGTTGAATCCCATGAAGAGTAGGGTCTGGAGACGCTATGTGTATGCAGACCTTACACCTACTCTAGGGAGGCTGTTTTCGAGATATTTTAAAGTTTAAGACGCTAAGAGGGTGTTTGGAACCTGTTCAAATTCTCTGGAAGTGATTCTAATGCATCACTTCGATATGATCTAAGTCTGAAGCTTGTATCAAAATGGTGTACTGTTTGCCCTTAAAAGTAATCTATCATGCTCCCTAATATTTAGAGGGTTTTTGGGATTGCATTTGAGAACAACTTTTGAGTTTCTATTTTCATCAAAATACAATTCTGAGCGACAATATACTTTATTCTTTCATCTCAAATCACAAAAACTCAGTCTTGAGACTCCATTTGCATTGCACAAAAAAGCTGCAATGACGCATGCAAACCCTGCAGAATCACTTCTTCCAAACAACCTCTAAATTGAGCATTTGTGGCTTTTTGCAGGAATTTATGGAGGTTCTGCAACAAGATGTTTCCCGGCGTCTTAGGGATGAAGCAAAGCCCCCCAGAAAGCCGTAAGTTAGAATCATTAGATTCTAGCNTTTGAGAACAACTTTTGAGTTTCTATTTTCATCAAAATACAATTCTGAGCGACAATATACTTTATTCTTTCATCTCAAATCACAAAAACTCAGTCTTGAGACTCCATTTGCATTGCACAAAAAAGCTGCAATGACGCATGCAAACCCTGCAGAATCACTTCTTCCAAACAACCTCTAAATTGAGCATTTGTGGCTTTTTGCAGGAATTTATGGAGGTTCTGCAACAAGATGTTTCCCGGCGTCTTAGGGATGAAGCAAAGCCCCCCAGAAAGCCGTAAGTTAGAATCATTAGATTCTAGCATTTGCATCCCCACATGATGCTTCAAGGTAATGGTTTGTGGTACCGACCCCCCCAACACCCCACCCCACCCTACACAAAAAAAACATGCTTCTCATCCCTCTGTATTGAATTCATGGCTGTTCTTGGTTCAACATTGGATATACCTTCGGGTATGATTGTCTAGTAAGAATTTTTTTACAACTTTTGTTGGGTTTGTTTGAAGATTACCATTTCATATATTCGTCTTAAATTTTGCAAACATTGTTTCATACAGAACATTTAAAACGAATAGGGCAAGGTTCTTTTGACACACACCTTGGGTGTCATTTGAGTGCTCCACGGTGCTACTTTAGGACCAAAGTGGTTCCTACTCCCTAACTTCCCTACAAACCCCCAACCCCTGTAAAAGCATTTTGACATTTCTAGGGGATAGGGTGTTGGACCCACTTAAGGGTCAGACAGAGCTAAGAATGGATGCAGTGACTTGCCACTTTTTGGTCAAGTCTCAAACTCTTGACACAAACCATTTCTTTTGCTTCGATTGTTTAGCGATGTTATGGTTTGACCTCCACATTATTGTTGGGAATGAGATTCTACAATTGATATGATCAAAGAGCAATTCTGAAAGGTAACATGTTCATTGACACGGGAAACCTCCGTCCCTTACGTTGGAGAGCATTTTAAGTGATGGTTAAACTCACTTGGGCTACTCTTGCTTGTAATGAATATAACCAGTTTGACCAAATTTACCTTGCTAAATCCAATCTCTAGGCCTCATTTGAGATTACAACCTCATTGTTTGTTAGGAACAATGTTTTAAAGGGCATATTGAATAAATTTTCAATAACGTAGATTTAACTTTGTAATTCTAAAACGTCAATGTTTTACGACATTGTGTAATTTTTAAAACATTTGAAACTAAATGTTGAATTTAATGTTAATCAAAGCCTAAGTTTCAAGGCTTGAAAAGCTTCGCAAATGAATAATTCATCTCATTAGTGTCTTGTTTAAAATGTTGAAAATTATCAATCCCCTAGCTATTGTGGGTGTCGCTAGATAATATATGAGTTTAGGAATTGGATGTTCTTTAAACGCAAGATTTTTTTTTGTTGAGTAAATTTTTTAACAATATGTCAATATGGTTTTTTTGACTTTCAAACCTCGGGTCATATTATGATTTGGGATGCCTATAGTGCTTTATTGGTAAAGCTTCTTTTGCCCTCACTAGATTGCCAACTTGGACTTAGATTGCCAATTTGACAGCTTACATTGGCGATCTGAGGGGGAGGGCTAGTGGGTTTAGGCGGCATCGGAATCACTAGTTTTACTTATAGATTAACGTAAGTTTCTTGGTCATAATATGACCCGGAGTTCCCGGGTCAAAAGAATCTTGCCCATTTTATAAATGGTTTTGTATGTTGGGGGCTTTATAGATTTATTGTTCCAATTGTTTAGAAGTTCCATTATAGATTTTATTAAAGCACGTAAAGATGTTGCTTTCATTGGGGTTAGGATATTTGAAAAAAATCGCCGTGATGTCGTTGGACCAAGGTAATTGGTATTTAGTAATAGAATAACTTAAATTGTGATTTTTATTTTAATTGTGATTTTTATTTTTCAAACACATCAAATGCGTATCTAAGAAAACCTTTTTTAAGAATAATGTTGAACTTGTTATGGGCTCGTTTCGTAAATAAATCAGGGTTTGATATGATATGATTTTTCAAATATGAAACACTTGATGAGTTTGAAATAATGAAATTAAATCTTTGGAGATATTTGAAACGGGAAGGTTCAGGTGACATTAGATCTCAATGTCATGGGATGACTCGGGGGCGCTCCGGTGCCCCATTCGTAAAATTGACGGTTCCTACCCCCCTAACCCCCCTAACCCCCGGTAAACTCCCCCACCCGGCCCGGACTCGAACACACTCCCCCACCCCCTTCAATTGCACCCAACAAGTTGATTTTGACTCCAAAGTATTTGACTCCAAAGTCAAAATCAACTTGTGGGGTGCAATTGAAATGGGTGGAGGTGTGTGTTCGGGTCGGGGCCGGGTGGGGGGGTTTACTGGGGGGTTAGGGGGGTAGGAACCGTCAATTATACAAACGGAGCATCGGAGCGCCCCCGGGTCATCCTATGACATTGAGGTCCAATGTCACTTGAACCTTGGTGTATTTGTAATACACAATACGAAATAATCATTAGTGATGTACGACGAGTGACAATTATTGCAGACAACGGCATGACATTATCTGTGATTAACTAGTGTGCAAATTATGTGTCTTAGCAATTAAAATGTGACACATAATTTACTCATATTAACATGTTCTTGTCATATTCCCAAGGTGAGTTTGTGTTAAATGAGGGACTGAGCCAGTGTGGTGAATTTTGTGTTACATTTTGATGGGTGAGAGAGAACGATGGAAAACGAGTTAGTGATAGAGGATCTGGTGCCCACGATAAAGATACTCTTAAACATTTAGAATGATATCCAATAATTTAAGAGGTCAAATTTCAGGATATTTGAAAATTTTTAAAATTCATATTTGATGTATACATTTTATATAGGATTATGCTACACTTACAATAAATTTGATGCCAAGTATTCCACGAACTTGCAAAAATAATCATTAGTGGAGTATATATTATTTTTGGTATATGTGTAAGGATTCATACGGTGTGACTATATGGGTGCCAACATGCTTTTCATAGACATATACAGATGATTATTGTTTGTGCTATATAAATGATAATCATTTGTGTGTGTTTGTTAGAAACATTAAGGCAATAACAAATATGTGGTGGCATTCTAGGATTATACATATGTGCAAAGCTTAAGCACATTAAAATAGATATATCCTTTTTATAACCACATAAATTATCATGCCCTGAACCCGACTGTGAATTATAAGGTACAACCGCCAATTGGATGTACTTTATTTCTGGTATAGGCGGCAACTTGTTCATTGTTTGTTCACTACTTGGATCCTCACTGTTGGTCTGTGTATTACTTTATTTTAAAATGAATTTTAATTTATTCGTAAATGAATATTATAATTGTATTAAATAAATGTGTAAAAATGAGTAATACATTATTTTAAAATTAATACTATAATATTTCAGAATGAGTATTATTTTATTTTAAAATCTAATAGTTAAAATTAGTAATAGCCGGCCGTACTAGAACACCGAGGGGTTAAAGTTAAACCCCTAATTTGATTTCATTGTTGCTGCACATTTCCATGGCCTCACCGCCGCCGCGTCCCGCCTTCATCGGCGGCCTTCAGAGCACCAAGAAACCTCTAGGCCTATTAGCCAACGCCAAGAAGAGAAAGCACAGCTTCATTCAGTTCTTCGCGATGACCGGAATTCTGCTCCTGAGCGTCCGCTCTCTGGGCCAGAAGTACCGAATCAACGATCTCCAGGGAGACATGGCGGCGCTCAGAGAAGAGGAAGGCGGCCTCAGTAAACGAATGGATCGCATCAAGCAAAGCCTTCTCGCCGAAGCTGCCGCCGATCCGACCGGCCGATTTGCTTCCCGCCTCCGCATCCTCTTCGCCGAAGACAAGTAAGATTAGGTTTTTTTACAATTTCCTAATTTCTATGGCGCAAACTGCATTCCGATGATCCTGAATCACTACCTGTTGATTTCAATTTGGAATTGAGATTTCTTTGAGAATGTAATAAATGCTCTTTAAAAACAACGTTTTCGGTTATCCCTGTTATGCTTCAAATCATAAAATCTTTTAGCTGCCACTCTGGTAGTGCTCTTGAAATGTAATGTAGTACTAAGGTAATATGTAATCCTTAAGCTTCTTCAATCAAATGTTTAAGTGTTTATGCTTGAAGGAATGGTTGGTTTATGTTCATTGAATGCTTTGATTTGATATGGGTGATCTTTATTCTTTTGTGGTTTTATTATAATCTAAGTTGCACTGAGATGGGGTGGGCACTCATTCCGGGGTGATGTTTGGAACAAGGAAACATCAACTTTTTTCAAAAAATTTCAAAGAATTTGGGTGTTTCAATGTTTCTAATTACCCAAATTGGGACATTACGGAAACGGGAAGTGACACTTGTTTGGAGAGTCCACAAGACATGGATTACGATGTAATACTTGCACCTGGTTTGTGCTAATGAAAACTGACTCGGGGGATAGGAGTAGATGAATATGTTCTTGGTGACATAAGTCCTTGTTTGGTCATTCCATATATTGATATGCTATCGTTCAAAACATGAACTATAAAGCCTCTGTTAATTAACAGTGTTCTTAAAATTCTCAACGAGAAACAGGCTTAGCTCCACCTAGGCATTAGGTCTCTCTTAGCTGCCTATGGTTTATCTTAGGCCAGACACTTTTAAGTTGTGCATAGTAGATATTGTGGCTTCATGTCTGTTCTCTCCATGAAAACAAAGTTGTTAGCTTGCATTTGTGGTATATATGCCATAGAAATCTAAAATTCCATATGATCCATCTGTTTTGTATGAGAAGTGTACGCCGTAATCCATGTTTTTCGTAATTCCATAGCTTGCATTAAAGGTCTCGATGTTTTTCGTATCTTGACCCGAATGTCACACATTTTACTCCCGGTGCAACTAGAAGGGGTGATCCTCTCGTGAACGAATCAATTGCAAATTTGCAGGTAGGCCTTTGTGTCTTTCTCGGGACGTCCCTCCCTTTGGTTAAGTTGTAGAATCAATACATTCGAGGATGTTTAATTGGTTGCAAGGGGAGAGGCGATTCACGAACCATGATCCAAAACCTTTTGGTAAGAGTCCTCATAACACTTGTTTGTATCTCTCATACTTATGATAGGGGATATACTCATTTAATTTTCGATGGGTTTTGCACTTTGCACCCATAGGGCACATTCCCTCCTTTTTTCTAGTTGAAACTTATACTATATGTAGAAGAAAAATAGTATGATGTGATAAAATATAGAACCATATAATGAAAATAGGCAAAGACAACCCTCCACTTTGTGGGAAATGAGTCGATAAATCGGTATTGATTTATCACAAACCATCTCGTGTCAATAGTTCGAGATCGGTATCAATACGACGTAAAATTTCATACCAAACTAAAATTATATCTATGAGCTAAATAGAGGAATGCACTCATGTATTGTATCATGTCCATTCCTAGGGGTGTAAACAGATATTAAACGAATTGGATGTGCCATTACTATATTCGTATTTGTTTATTTTTACTCGATATTGAATTCAGATGCGGATCTTGACGGATACTGAAACTCAAAATCGTATCTGCATCCGTCGGATATTGGTCGAATATCAGATATATCTGTATCCGTTTCTAATTTTTAAAGTCAAAATGTTATTCATTCAATTGTAATTTGTTACAGATTAATTTTTTTCTTATTTTTTGTAATTTATAAAATTCTACGTCAACTCCATATAGTAAAAAGATATACACAATACACATACACACACATTTTTGTGTCTACACATATATTTTGCACATAAAAATGTCTTATACTTTGATATGTCAATAGAAAAACAAAATATAAAAATAAAAAGTTAGAAAAACTATGTATAAAGGATTAGATACACGGATAAATCGTTACTTAAATGCATGTCTATATAAACAGATAAGATGTATGATTACCTAATTTGTATTCATTTACCAATCGGATACGGATAAAAACCACTTTTAATGGATGCAGATATTTTCCATATAAATGAATACAGATGCGGATAGTAATCAGATTTTTAGTTATCCATTTACAGCCTTACCTATTTCGACTTTGGACAATTGACGAAGTTAAATAAAAAACAAAATTTAGGGGTTTATTTGTGACAAATGGAAACATTTAGTGAAATTTGCATTAAATAGTATTAAAACATATGTCATTTTTTGATGTAGTATTTAAAATTTTTATTCTCTAAATAATACTTGAATAATGTCTAGTGGCGGGAATAATGTAGTGATGGTGGACATTTAGCTTGAACAATGTCCAGTTCAACATTTGTAGTTAAATTTTATAAAATTCGTTTGCTAAAATTTTATAATATGGAATTGCTTTTAATTTTTCAAATATTTATGAAATAAAAGTTTGAGCAATTTTCTCTTCTTTTTTCGGCGTGTTGTCATAAACTTTGTCAAAGGTATTTTATCCGTGATTAGTTTTGTTAAGAAATTTTACCATGTCATCAAACTACCTAAAATTGTTCAAGATTCTGGCATAGAACAATCCGAAAAAAATTTTGAAGACTTGAATAAACACCCTTTTTTTGAAAGATCATATTTTAAATAACCATAGAAATAAAATTCGTGGGGGAGCTAATCCATTTCCCTACATCTCAACATAATGAGTAGCATGCCAACAAGTGAGCCGCCTCATTTAAAGAGCGAGACACAAAAGTAACTTTAAGGTTTCTGCCACAAAATGCTTGGAGATGCTTACAGTCAGTAATAACAGAATTAAAATAAGACCAATCGAAAATTGAGATTGAGAATGACTCTGCAGCCTCTTTACTATCTGTTTCCAGAATGACTTCACCCAACCTTTGGCTTTTATCCAAGTTAGGGCTTCCTACACTGCCATTCGCCTCTGCCTCTCGAACTCCAAAACTAGCTTCCTTTGCACCGGATGTTCTTAGTTGCAATGAATTGACCATCATGATCCCGCATAATGAATCCCAAGTCTACAAAACCATTCACAAGTCCTACAGAGGCATCCACATCAACTTCGAGGAAATCAAAGGCCAGGACGGTCTCTCCCAGCATAAGGCAACTTCTCTCTGGTTCACTTTTGACTTAAACCAACCCATATCTTTTTGAAATTCGTGACAAACTTTGTAACATGGTCTTCATCATGGCAAAACATCAATTTTTTGTAGTGTCATTCTTGTTGCCTACAAAATGCTCTTGATAAAAAAAAACAAGAGAATTCCCTTTGACTTTTGTAGTCAAAAACAAATAGCCCAACTTTGTCCACAACTTTTTCAAAAAAAAATCATTTGATTTAAAAAGATTTTACTTTTCCCTACGTTTAATATATATACTTTGCCTACACCAACATTTCTCCTGCGTATTTTTTCCGCCATATTCGAATTTTTGACTTTGTCCCTCCCCAACCAATTGCCGTTTCCATTTGCTTTGTTTATTTTTTATTTTTTTGAAAAATCATAGTACCTGACTTATGAGTCTTAATTAAAGAGATGGGAAAAATAAAACAAAAGTGTTTTTTTTTAAATAAATTAAAGACCACTAAAAAGTTTGTCAAGATAGAATCATTTAATTTGTTTTACTATTACATCATATGTCCCAAGTCAAAAGTGACAGTCCAACATTTGTAGTTAAATTTTATGAAATTCGTTTCCTAAAATTTTATAATATGGAATTGCTTTTAATTTTATAAACATGGTAAACCATTTGGTGTAACCCTATCATTCCTGTTTTAATTATTATTTTATAACATACAATGTTACTTATATACAGAGTAGGCAGTTAACACTCAAAAGTAATAATGTTTGACTCATAAAGTCAAAGAACTCATTTGGCATCAATGTTAAAAGTTAGAGTCAACATTTTAAAAAAAGTTATCTAACAACATCGTTTAACTTTAACATTTTCAAAATGCTACCAGCAATTGAAAACGATGTTTCCAAACAAAATCAAAGTACGACAACTGAACTGGATCCCAACGTGTAATTTTTAACTCTTGACTATTTCAAAATGGAGTGCTTCACTTAAATCAATAAAACCTCACTTTTTTATCATAGAATATAATTCACCTTCAAGATCCATATAGGTTTATTTAGATCTCAAAAGAATACCTACGCCTTATGATCTCTATTTAATTTGATGTTTTTATTTTTTTTTCTACCCTACATAAATGTGATTATTGAGATTTATTTTTTAAAATTAAAAAATTTTCATTGAAATTTATTTAAAAATGAGATTATGAAAATTATTGGCTAAAACAGCTAAATTAAATACTCTGTATATAGAGAGAGCTTTTTTTTTCTATTATATATTTTACTTATTAGGCTTCCAAACGTAACTCCAATATCTAGTCTCCATACTTCTTTTTTTCATATTTTTGTCAAAATTCCTATTGAAGAATGTTTTTTCCATCTTAATTTTAGCCAGAGTTTGAAATCTATTGCAACAAATTCAGTAGAATCACAATGAAGCTTGGAAAGAGTGTGTGTACCGACTTTACGTAGACCTAATTCAATTCCGAATCACTTGAGCTAAAACTTCTTACTTGACATTCGCTCGCCAGTTTAATAAAATTTTGAAAAAAAAAACATTGCGATTATAATTTGTTTAGAGTACACATTAGAGTCGCGAGCCACACATTTTTAATTAGGAGAAACAAAAAAGGAAAGTGTACGTCGCTTTTTTCATGTGACGAGAAAAGTACTCCCTCCATTTTTTCAACCGACTATTACACTTTTCATGACACGTCGAGAACAAATGAATGTGGACATGAAGAATGTAAATACTCGTCGGCCAACTTTTGATGTATCTCAAAAGTCATAACAGCGAGTTAAACGGGAGCAGAGGAAGCACATATAGTAAGACTCACTCTCTCTCTCTATATATATATATACACCATTTGGTATTAGCTCATCATCTCTACTAGCTTCATTTAAAGAGTTATATATAAAGAGTTATATATATATTATCTACAATAATATAGTATATATAATATGGTTCCTCGAAGTGTTTTGGTGCTACTTGCAACGGCGGCAATGCTCTTAGACTTTGGTCAAGCGGAGAACAATTACGTCTACTACACATTCAATGTCACATATGGGACCATTTTTCCTCTTGGAAATGATAATGGAGTTCCATCCCAAAGGGTCAATATTTCTTCCAGAAAATCTCATCCCGTCGGCTAAATATGAAAATAGACAAGTAATCGAATTTTTTCTTTTTCTTTTTTTTTTTGGGTTTTGCAGGGAATTTTGATCAACGGGCAATTCCCGGGCCCGGATATCGTGTGCCACACCGATGATAATCTCTTTATCAACGTCTACAACAACTTGGACGAGCCTTTTCTTCTGTCTTGGTGCGTACTCTTTCTGTCCTAGTTGAATCTCTCTCGCTTCTTCGCCTTTTCAACTAATTTCGTAGAGACCAGGCCAAATACGGCTAGGACCGGATCTGAAAAGTCTGGATCGTCAGACCAAATAGGTAAAGCCTAGACTAGATCAGACCGGATCGTTAAAGCTTGGACTGAATCAAACCGAACCGAGTAAGAACCCATTTGTTTTACACTTGTTGACTTTATTTTCTCAAAAAAAAAATTGCAGGAATGGGCTTTTAAATAGGAAGAGTCCATATTCAGATGGGGTGAGTGGGACCACATGTCCAATTCCAATGGGCCAAAATTTCACCTACCGCTTACAGCCCAAAGATCAAATAGGGAGTTTCTTTTACTTTCCATCTTTGAGCTTCCAAAAAGCAGCAGGTGGGTTTGGGGGCATTAGGATACTGGGCCGGCCCAATATCCCTCTCCCATTTACTCCCCCTTGCCCGCAAGATGATTATACTGTCCTCATTGGGGATTGGTACATTTCCAACCACACAGTATGTCATTTCCCACTTTATTTACTTTATTAATTTTATGATCCAATACAATTAAATATAATCATGTTTTCTTTTGTTTTGTTCTGTAACATATTTTTAAATTAAGTCTGAATGATAATAATAATAATAATAATAATGGCTCTGTTCTTTTGACAACAATTCTTATGGTCATAAAATGACAATAGGGCAAACCGTTTAGATGATGATTAAAGGGTAGGAAGTATCAATTTTTGATCGAATCACCAAAGGTGTTGTTGTTACATTATGACGATATTTTTTTATTGTCAAAAGAATCGAGACGGAATAATAATAAATAGTAAATTTTTAAAATGGTCTTCTCTATCAATGTGTTTTTCCAATAGAGATTTATTTTTTATGTAGTTCTTCGTAAATAATGTAACTCAAATGATAATTAATTAGGAGATGTTTTGGTATTTTTTTACCAGCTAAATTTAAAATATGTTCCTAAAATGATCATTTCTAGTTAAATACTTTTCCAAAATGAATTTTTCTAATTAAAAATTTGTATTTGATTTGAATTTTAAAATATATTTTATAGGTTTTAAATATTTCGTGGATTATGTATGTATTGTCAATGTATTGTTTTAATTTTATATTTCCCAAAATTGATCCTTTTTAAAATATATACTTTGAATTTAAATGATAAAGATACAAAAATATATTTTAGTTAATCATCATTTAAGTAACACTATTTGTGAAAAAATAAATCTCAATTATAAAAAGTCATGTATGTAACAGAACTCCTGAATTTGAAAAATACTTCATTATAAAGGACCGTATAAAAATGTACTTAATAATAAATAAATTAAATTAATCTTGATGTATATGAACAGGACTTGAAAAACAAAGTAGATAATGGAAATGCTTTGGGGACTCCGGATGTTGTTCTTATTAATGGGCTCTATGCGGGTCCAAATGATACTCATGCTTGGAATATGACTGTTGAACAAGGTGATAGATGCTACAATAATGCATGTTTCAACTTTCAATTATAGTACTCCGTCTCCGACTATATGTTCACTTTTGATTTTTTCGTTCAAAATTATTAAATTTGATATATAGTTTTTGAATAACTTTTCATATAGTTTTTTGATATGTAAATTTTATTTTTTATTTCTATACCAATATGTAAATAAAATGAATTGAAAAAACTTGATATTTTTGCTCGAGAATACAAGTGTGGCAAATATTTAGCGACGGAGGAAGTATTATATATTGATACAAAAATGGTTTTATTAGATGTATTATATAAAATATTTTCAAAATATTATTTTATCTAATTTTTATACACTATATGTTTTATTTTAATATCGATTAAAAACAATTGACTGAAAAAATCAAAACTGGATGAATACTCAGAGATGGAAGTAGTGGTATATTTTTACAACTTTCTTTGGGTAAATTTCACCAATGGTACCTGAACTTTAGCTGGAATTTCGAAGTGGTACCTAAACTTAAAATCCTTTCATAAAATTTCCTGAACTTACATAATCTTTTCACTAAAAGTCTATTTACCCGTTTCCAGGTTAACTTCCAGTCATTTGGGCCAAATAAGAATTGTATATATTTTAAAATTTTCAATTTGACCCCAAATCTTTTTTTCTTTCCTTCCGCTCCCACTCCTGCACACCGCCACTGTCATCTTCTCCCCGCCCGTCAAGTCGCCGGAAAGTCAACCTGGTCAGATTCCGGCGGGACCAACGCCGTTCTCTTCGTTTTGGGATGAGGATCAAAAATATCTAAATCATTTTGTCTAATTTGGTCTGCAACTTCTCGAATTTGAATTTTTCCACTTGAAGAAACCCTAAAATCCGAAATTGGGAGTTTTTGCAAATCGTCACCAAATCTTGCAATTGAGGGGTCCTTAGGGGTCGCCGAGATGCCAGGAACACTTTGGAGGGAATGCGCGACGTCAATTTTTCCGGAGGTTGCCGGAAAAAGCTCCAACCCGCCTCCAGGAGGCGGTGTTTTCCAGTGGGTTGGAGCGTTTCCCCCCTGGAGGGAGTATTATTTTATCAAATTGGCATTACTAATGTTTTTGTTTGTTTGGTATTTGATGGTAGGGAGAACATACAGGCTAAGAATATCCAACGTGGGGCTACAAAACACGGTGAATTTCCGAGTCCAAAACCACGTGATGAGACTGGTGGAAGTGGAGGGGACCCACACCCAACAGGTGGACCTCCGGTCAATTGATGTCCACGTCGGCCAATCTTACTCCGTCCTCTTCACCGCCGATCAGCCGGCGATGGACTACTATTTCGTCGTCAACACCCCTTTCACCACCAAGAAAGGGCTCGTCACCACCGCAGTCCTCCACTACGCAGACCAATCTGCCCGCCCCGTCTTCCGTGACTTCCGCCGCTCCGGCCACCTCAAGTGGTCAAGGGACCAAGCCACATCCATCAAGTATGTATCCCTTTTCTTTTTTTACTTGTCTCACAAAGTCCTTCATATTTTTATTAAAAAAACTACTTTATCCTACTAATAATTACTCCCTCCGTCCACAAATAAACTTCTCGTTCACTATTAACAAGGTAAAACTTTATTCACTTTGCTGACCTATTTTCGTCACTCATTTGATAAAATAATATAGTCATGTCACCTTTAGTTTTGTAGATCTTTTGATATAGTTTTTTAATATGCAATTTTTATTTTTAATTTTTACACCATTTTTCATGTAAATGATTTATTTGAAAATAACTTCAATCAAACATTGGAATGCGCAACGGAAAGTTTATTTGTGAACGGAGGAAGTATTAACCTATCTATCACATCATATTTTTTTTACTAATAATATACTCCCTCCGTTTCATAAAATACTTCCCCTTTCGTTTTTTTTGAATTCCCTAAAACATTTCCACTTTCTATTAAAAAACTATTTTTACCTTTACTTTTTCATACTCTACATATCACATCATACTTTTTCACTAATAACGAAACTATCACATCTTACTTTTACCCATCACATCAAAGACCAAATTGGAATGTCAACTAAAATTACATTTTTCTTATGTTTGCCCAAAGTCAAAAGTATAAGGATTTAAAGGAATGGAAGGAGTATAAAGAAAGAAGTTACATTACTTCCAAACAAACATAAAATTCCAATTAGAGCACTGGAAATGGTCGTGAAACCTCAAGCCTTCAAACTTTTCTTTCTGCCACATCAGCTTTAACTTACACCAAAAATTCACTCGAAATGGGTTTGAAGTTCCCGAGCTTCAAACTGGGGCTTCAAACCTCTATTTTTTTACATATTTGAATACACATTTTCTAAAATTTAATAAATAAACTATCGTTATTTAATTGAATTTAAACGGAAATAACTCATAAAATAAAAAAATTACATTCAATAAAAAATTACATTGATATAATAAGATTTGAATAAAATGATGATCTCCTTTTTCGAATATTTTGTAAAGATAATTAAAAGAAATATAATATATTTTAGAGGAATTACAAAGATAATGAGAATAGGTTGTGTGTGTTTGTCGTGTTAAAAATAAGTGTATTTATGATACCGAAAATAATTTTTTTTTTAATTAATGCCCAACGGTCCAAATTATGGCCGTTGGGAAAGGGAGAACCATTGGGAGAGGGAGAAGCGCTGCATCAAAGGTTTAACACAAACTTTTTAGGGAGAAAGACCAAACTAGGACTAAAATATTGAAAATATACCAAAATAGGACTTCCATGTTTTTTTTTCCGAAATAGGACTTACATTACCAAACATGGCCATATACATTACCAAAAAAGTATAGTAATGCGCACATGTACATTGCCACATTACCACAGTGCAAAGTGCTATTTCGGGGAAAAAAACATGAAAGTCATATTTTGGTATTTTTCTTTATGTTTAAGTCCTATTTAAGGTGATTTCTACAAAAAAAAAGAAAAAGTCACATACAATCAATGGTTATTTGAAGGATTGAAAATATGTTCAATCAAATCCGGCATGAATATCTGGACTTCAAATTTGTGGGGATTTCTTCTTTGATTTCTTCATGATAGGTAGGTGCATGCCCTCCCTCCACATTAGTGACTATAACCCCTTGATTCACTTTCAGGACCAATCTAACCGCTTGCGGGGCGAGGCTCTCGGAACAAGGTTCCTACAATTACGGCAAGAAAAACATCAGCCGGACGATTACCCTCGCCAACTCTGTGGTCCCCACCGGCGGCAAACTAAGGTTCGCGCGTCAGCTTCGTTGACCCGGAGACTCCGCTCCTCCTCGCCGACCACTTCCGCATCCCCGGCGTCTACGCGCCGGGAAGCATGCCGGCCGCACCTCCCACGACCACCGCCGGATACGGGGAATTCCGGACCGAAACCGCCGTCATGGGGGCGAGTTTCAGGGAATTCGTCGAGATTGTGCTCCAGAACAACGAGAAAACTCTTCAGACATTTCACATTAACGGACACAATTTCTTTGTTGTCGGGTACGCACCACATTTTTTTAACCTCTTTTTTACTTTATTAGAAATTCCATTTAATGCATTTTTTACATTTTTCATATAATTAAAATAATACGGAGTAATAACTTTTAATTGTGTGAAATTGAATTGTTTGAATGTTTGAGAAAAAAGATCATTAGTTCTTTGTCGTTTCTTATTGTCATTCTAAAAAACTTGTTATTAGCTACCACTCCCGTATGGGAAAACCTGTTCCCATTTTGACCAAAGTTCAAATTTAGAAAGTGTTAAATTCTAATTGACTTCTATTTTTTTTTATGTGATAAGTAAAAAAATAAGATCTGATAGATACGGAGTAGATTATTAGAAAAAATATGATATGATAGATAAGGTAAGAAAAAAATAGAGGTTAGAGTGGGTTTCTAATAAAAAGTAGGAACGTTTTGGTGGAAGAGAAAAAAATGAACAAGGAAGTGTTTTGGTGAACGAAGAGAATATTAACTTTAGTATGTGTAACTGCTGTCATTTTTTTAAAAAAAAATTATAGTTAATAATAATGTCATATAATTGTATTTTTGAAATATTTGCACATTAGAGATAAAATTTATAAATTTTTTCATTTCTTAATGTGTACGTTTGTAAAAGAATCTAACAACGCTGCCCCAGACGCTCGTAATGGGGTTTGTGGGTTCTTAATTACTCTGTCATTATTAACATCGTTCCTAACGTAGTACTTTATAAATCATACTCCCTCCGTTCCACAAAATTCTTCCTATTTCGTTTTTTTTGCTTTCCCTAAAACACTTTCACTTTCTATTAAAAAACCACTTTTACCCCTACTTTTTCATACCCTACTTATTACACCTTACTTTTTCACTAATAATCAAACTATCACATCTTACTTTTTCCCATCACATCAGGAACAAAATTGGAAAGACAACCAAAATTACACTTTTCTTATTTTTCCCAAAGTCAAAACCGGAAGGGTTTTGTGGAACGGATGAAGTGTATATATAGTTGAGAATTATTTTTCGAGATAGTCTCCTGACGAAAATTTCTTTATATGACCTAAATTCAAAAATAATCTTTTAGATCGAATGCACTCACTGCTTGTTAGAAAGGTCCATTTTAAAAGCTTGCTTTAAATTTAAATGGTAGAAAATGCCTTCCAATTAATGGTACGTCATGTAACAAAATTTTTGTTGGAGGACTGTTGCAGGAATAAATCTTAATTATAATGTACGTAGTACTACGTAAGTAATTACTGTTTTTTTTTAGGATTGATTTGAGAAAAATATTTTATTGAAAAGGACTTGTTTGAAAATAATTATTTGTTGAGGACTGATTTAGAAAAAAACACTTTATAAAAAAGCATCATTTTATTAAGAATTCTCTCTTTAAACATTGTTGTTACTTGTTAGATAATGGGTAGGGAGTAATATTTTTAAAATAATAAAATTAAATGCCCTATGTATGTGTGCAGGATGGGTTGGGGTGGATGGAATTGTGCCAATAGGACGGCTTATAATCTTAAAGATGCCGTTGCACGTGTCACCACTCAGGTAATTTATATTATGAAATTTGATCTCTTTATTATTATTAATATTATCATTATTATTATTATTATTAATTAATGCAGGTGTATCCGAAGTCATGGACAGCCATTTATGTGGCTCTGGACAGCGTGGGGATATGGAATGTGAGATCTGAGCATTGGGAAAGAAAGTACTTGGGACAACAGTTTTATCTGAAGGTTGCTTCAAATTCCTCTGAGATATATGATAAAATCCCAAAGAATACCCTCCTCTGCGGCAAGGCCGCCGCCGCCGCCGGTGCCTCAACACCGCCGCCATCCGCCTGAGCATGCATGCATGCATGGCGTGTACGTCGTCTCTCGCTCACTCTCACCTGCACGTACAATATGTACTGTCAACGTTTATGTTTCTATACATATGCTTACAATTAAAAAAAAAACGAAATAATCTTTTCTTGAAGTAGTTTATTATATATACTCCGTATATGTGTGTACAATGCAATTATAATTAAACTTGCTTGAGTTCGATCGTTTTTATTGGTTGAGTTACTATATTATGGAGTATATATTTGATTAATTATAATTATATTTTTTGAGCCAATAATAAATGGACTGCAAACATAGGTTGTAGATCTTGTGTTACGTTGTTTCATACATTTATTATAGTGCTGCTAAAAATGTGATATTCATCATATCTAGCTTTAGTAATTCTTCGTTCAATATAAAATTTATGCTTTTATATATACGGAAAATAAATTACTTTATTAATGAAATATATTAGCTAGCATATGTTTTAATTTTTCTAATTATAGTCTTATCTATTACTCCTTCCGTCCCACACAACTAGAACTGTTTTGTGGAACATAGAGAGTACGTAGTTTAATGATCCCTACCTTTATTCGTCGAGCTTGACTTTTCTGGGTTAAATTTTTATAGATTTTGGGTGTCAATTAAATAAAAATTACTCGTAATGTACATTAGTATGAAAATAATTTCATTAGATATATCTTAATTGAGAACTTTCAAAATTTGATTTTATGGCATTAATATACAATATAAATTATGAATAATTGATTATTATATTTAAAAAATATAATTAATTACTCCCTCCGTCTCTGAAAACCTTTCTCTTTTCTTTTTTCATCCGTCCCAAAAAACACTTCTTATTTATATTAAAAAGTCACTTTTGCCCCTTACTTTTTCATACTCTACTTATCACATCATACCTTTTTACTAATAATCTATCCATCAAATCCTACTTTTACCCATCACATCAAATGATATTTTTGGAAATTCAATACCAAAATACACTCCCCTTAAATCTCTTCAAAAAACAAAACATCTCATGTTTTACGGGACGGAGGGAGTATTATATTATTATAAAAAATAATTGGTATATAAGCACTTTAGTTGAACTAATTAATCGATTAGATTTAATCTTCTATTGTGGTTCAATCCAAGTGCCTCATGACTCAACCCAGTTATCTCTATCAGAAGTGATCAGAAATGATCTTCCATTGCATTTGATTTTTATTGGTCAAAGTTTATAAACTTTGATTTCGATATATGAAAAAATGTTTACATTGTGTTTCGATATAAATACAATATTAATAGTTTTCTTATAAAACATAATTTTGAAATATTAAATTTTCATGCAATATATCTATATAAAAATGTAGATATTAATGATCAAAGTATTACATTAAAAATTTTGACAACTCAAATGAGAAGATCGATATCATTTCTGAACGAAGAGGGTAGATAAAAACCCAAATACGGATATGGTGTTATAACAATAGTTTCCTTAATAAACATAATTTTGGAACATTAAATTTTCATGAAATATATCTATATATATACATGTATATATTAGTGGTTAAAGTATTACATTGAAAATTTTGACAAATCAAATGAGAAGCTCGGTATCATTTCCGAACAAAAACAATATATATAAAACCCCAAATATGGATATGGTGTTGGGCACAGTTCAACACGCACTCTCATCAGGCAAAAATGTCATAACTTTACTTTTATACTAAGTTTGATGATAAATTTTGAGAAAATATATATTTAGATATTATAAAAAATTATTAAAATTAGATTCGTTATATATAAGATGTTATTTCGATATATCAATTTTTTATTTCTTTAAAGTTATACTTGTATTATACTCCTTACGTCGCAAATTAAAAACTCTTCTACTTTCTTTTTTCTTGTCCTACAGAATTCTTTGCATTTCTATTAAAAAATACTTTTAGTCTACTAACTTTTGACCTACATATCACATCATACATTTTTACCAATAATCTACTCATTACATCCTACTTTAACACATTACATCAAGGATATTTCTAAAAAATGAACATAAAAATATCTCTCTCTTAAATTTTCTAAAAGTCGAAATAAGAACATCTTTGTATATGGTTAGGGTTAACATAAAAGTCAAAGTAAGATAAATTTGTTTGTTACGGAGGGAGTAGGTACTATCTTTATTGAGTTTATAAAGAATGCATGTACATTATTATTTTTTACCTCTTTTAAATCTATATATATATATATATATATATATATATATATATATATATATATCTTTTAAGATTGCAAAACAAATTCTTATAAAACTTTGTGTCTAGTGAAAATTGACTTTTAATTAATTTAGGAGAAAGAAAATGGGGAGTAATTATTAATGACAATTATGTACTCTCATAAAGATTTGCCCTCCTAAATCTTAGGGTTTGTCCCGTCTCTTTTCGCCCTAAAGCCAGCCTTTTGTGTCTGGCCCTTCCCATAAATGTTCATTCTTTTTGACTTGTGAGATATCTTTATTTTTTTTTCTTAAAAAAAAGAAATCTTTTGGAGGTTGCATTTTTAGCACCACATTCTCATAAATACATGTACATAATTAATGAATAATAATACAAGTAATAATATGTGTGTGTATGAGAAGGATGATATCGATATAGTATCAAAGGTGATGTTAAACTAGCATTTTCCCAAAAATAATTCATACTCCCTTTCTTTGAAATTTTTCTCCTCATTTTTTCACGAAATTATAAAAAATAATGAATTTTATCAATTGTTGCGATTTAAATCCCCGAGGAGAGAAAATTGATCGGAGTCGTAACACAATTTCTTTCACTAAAAAGGAGTGTGAACTTATTTTGGACGTTCTAAAAATAAAAGCTGAAAATTGTTTTCGTGGTTTGACTTCATGAGTTATAAGAAAAATACTTCCTACGTAATTGAAATTTGTTTAGATGCGAAAAAACGTGTGGGCCCCATACTCTATTCCTTTATAGGAAAAAAATAAGCATTTTTTCTTTAACATAAATGTTGATAATACAAATTAATTACTTACGGAGTATTAAAATAAATTGCGACAAAAAGATCGATTACCACATATGCAATTTTTAAGCGTCATATGTTAAATATTACGGAGAACTCTGTATTTATTATCTCTGGCTTAATATGTTTTTCCAGTTTATTTTTTGAATCAAACAGGATGAACATTAGATTTCAATTAATAAAAAATTTAATGTATATTAGCATAAAAAAATTCATTAGATTTACTTCATTGTGAATTTATTTCAATGTATTACTATGCATTATAAATTTTGTGTTATTTATGATTAAAATTTGTCTAATTTGAATCACAATATACTAGGGCGGAGGGAGTATCTTACAATCGAAACCGTAAAACATCCAAATTTCAAGTATTTTCTTTTTAGTTTTCACACTTGAAATTTGTAAAATCAAAGTGTTGAGATGGAAGAAATATTGATATTCCTAAAATACCCTTCTTTGAAACATTCCAACATTCCCTAGCTATAATAACATTCCTCATCTACACCCAACATTCCCAAGAGCTAGTTTATGATTAATCACCACTTGATCATTCCTAGCTAAGTGTCGTTGACTTTATTGACCGGCCGCCGCCGGAGTCCGACGATCGACCACAAAATGCCGCCACCGCGAAGTGCACCGCCGCCAGTTTCGTTACCATTATTAGTTGCGGCGGCGGCCACGGCGGCGCTCTTCTTTGGTTTTTTCGTTCAAGCAGAAGATGGTTACGATGTGCACACTTGGAGTGTTACATATGGAGACATTTCCCCTCTCGGTGTTCCCCAACAGGTTTTCATATATATATATATATATATATATATATATATATATATATATATATATATATATATATATATATATATATATATATATATATATATATATATATATATATATATATATATATATATATATATATATATATATATATATATATATATATATATATATATATATATGAATATAATAATGTGTTTCTTATTTTCTTTTAAATGTCTATATATACATATTTCTTTTAAAAAAAATAAATCACTTTCTTGTTTAAGAAAAAAATAAATAAAAGATAGAAGTTTAAAAAATGTCACTAATGTGGTCGTCATATAATTCATTGGTGATTTTATTATTAGTATTATTCTTAATTTCTCAAAGATTATATTATTGCAAGCTGAGACAATTTTTATTTACTCCGTATTTAGAATTAATTAACTCATCACATTATTATTAGTTAACTATTGATGAGTTTTTGTTTTCGCTTTAATTTTAATGGGTGTTATTATTTTTATTTTTTATAGGGAATTTTGATCAATGGACTATTCCCAGGTCCGGAAATTCGAAATGTCACCAATACAAATGTGATCATCAACGTGTATAACAATTTAGATGAGGGGTTTCTTTTATCTTGGCACGTACTACCTTCGTCCCACTCTCTTTGTCTACTTTTGACTTTTGGAACTGTTTATCTAAGCACTTTGACTCATCAAATTCTCTCAATGTGTAAGCCTAAATATAGTCATGTGTGATCTTGTTTCATTTGTCTTAACATATAGATTATTAATATATAATTTCTATAATTTTTTAATATACAAATTACAAGATAAAATGGATTAAAGAAGTGCATTGGATGGTGTGCCAAAAGGTAAGTGGAAAAAGACAGTGGGACGGAGGGAGTATTTTATTATTATTATTATTATTATTATTATTATTATTATTATTATTATTATTATTATTATTATTATTATTACTCCCTCCGTCCCAAAAAGTTTTTCCTGTTTCATTTTTTGCGCATCCCATAAAACATTTCTACTGGCATTTAAAATGCCTAAAATTTACAATATTTCTTCTTTATTGTGGGTAGAAGTTATTTTGAAAGCTTTTTTGGCATTCAAGGCAGGATAAAAGTGTTTTATGGGATGCGCAAAAAATGAAACAGGAAAGACTTTTTGGAACGGAGGGAGTATTATTATTATTATTATCATCATCATCATCATCATCATCATCATCATCATCATCATCATCATCATCATCATCATCATCATCATCATCATCATCATCATCATCATTGCTCCAAAAATGTTAGCTTTTATATTCTAAATTGAATCTATTCATATTAAATTCAATATTCCCTCCGTCCAGAAATAAAATTTTCGTTGCGCGTTATGATGTTTGACCGAAGTTATTTTCAAATCATTTTATATGAAAATTGGTTTAAAATTTAAAAATAAAAATTACATATTAAAAAACTATATCAAAAGATCTACTCCCTCCGTCCTTAAATAAACTTTCCTTTTTGACTTTTTGAGAATTTAAGAGAGGAATATTTTTGTGTTGACTTTCCAAAAATATCCTTGATATGATGTGTAAAAGTAAGATGTTATATGTAGATTATTAGTAAAAATGTATGATGTGATAGGTAGAGTATGAAAAAGTAAGGGGTAAAAGGGGGTTTTTAAGGGAAAAGAGAAGTTTGTTTGGGGGCAAAGAAAAAAACGAAAGAGCAAGTTTATTTAGGGACGGAGGGAGTACAAAACTAGAGGTGACATAACTATATTATTTTATCAAATAGGTGACGAAAATAGGCCAACAAAGTAAATAATATTTCTGTAAATAGTGAATGATAAATTTATTTGTGGACAGAGGGAGTATATTTTTTCTATTCCCTCCGTTCCACAAAACCCTTCCGGTTTTGACTTTGGAGAAAAATAAGGAAAGTGTAATTTTGGTTGACTTTCCAATTTTGCCCTTGATGTGATGGGAAAAAAGTAAGATATGATAGTTTGGTTATTAGTAAAAGAAGTATGATGTGATAGGTAGGGTATGAAAAAGTAGGGGTAAAAGTGGTTTTTTAATAAAAAGTGGAAGTGTTTTGTGGAAAGTAAAAAAACGAAAGAGGAAGAGTTTTGTGGAACGGAGAGAGTATATTTTATGGTCAAAGTTAGAAAATTCTGACAAAGAAAAAGCAAAGGTGTATTATTGTTGCTGTTGTTGTTGTTGTTGCTCTTGTTATTTCTGTTATATTATTATTTTACCATTATTTTAAAATTTATTTCTAAAAACGTGATGCGAGGTGGGTCTAGAGGAAGTTTTCCGAGAATTATAGTGTAGGAATCATTAATTTGTGAATATAAAAGTATTAATCGAAACTTTTTTTTGGGAATTTTGTGTTTCAAATAATATCACATTTTCGCGCTCTTCCAAAAATACTCTCACTTTTCATTGTCACGGAAAATAATCTCACTTTCTCGAGCAATCAACTAAATTATTTTTTCGATAGTTCAATATTGTATTTCCCGTAGAAGAGATTATAAAATTTGTAAATTGTTATATTTTTTTTAAAAAAATCGAGACAAATCTCTAATAGAGCGTATTGTTATATGTTTTAGAACATAAATTTTTTGGAGAATATTAATGAAAACTAATTACTGTAATTAGGCATGGATATGGCATTATATATAGAGCCCGGTTCTATGGCCACTGGATTCCAGTGGCCACGGAAGCCACTGTCCCCCTACGAAGCCTCGTTCATAAAATTGATGATTCCTACCCTCCATAATCCCCCCGTTAAACCCCCCGCCAAGTCCCGGCCCAAACTAATTAACCCACCTACGTCAATTGCACCTCGTAAGTATAAAGTCAAAACTTTTGACTTTAAACTCAATTATACTTACGAGGTGCAATTGACGTAGGTGGAGTAATTAGTTTGGGTCGGGACTTGGCAGGGGGTTTAACGGGGGGTTATGGGGGGTAGGAATCATTAATTTTATGAACAGAGCTTCGTAGGGGGCATTGGCTTCCGTGTCCACTGGAACCGGGTTCTTATATACTCCCTCCGTTCTCAAAAACACTTCTTCTTTCATTTTTTCCACTTCTAACAAAACACTTCCCTTTTCTATTAAAAAACCACTTTTTACCCTTACTTTTTCATACCCTACCTATCACATCATACTTTTTCTCTAATAATCTATCCATCACATCTTACTTTTACCCATCACATCAGGGGCAAAATTGGAAATCAACTATAATTTAACACTTCCTTATTTTTGTCCCAAATCCAAATGGGAAGTGTTTTTCCAAACGGAGGGAGTATATATTTATGTGTGTGGCATATATGCAGGAATGGAGTGATGAACAGGGGGAACCCATACCAAGATGGGATGAGTGGGACCAATTGCCCAATCCCACCGGGGCAAAACTTCACATACAAGCTACAGCTCAAGGACCAAATCGGAACCTTCTTCTACTTCCCGTCGCTGGCTTTCCACAAGGCCGCCGGCGGCTTCGGACCCATTGCCATTTTGAACCGCTCCGTCATCCCTCTCCCCTTCCCCCCGCCGGCCGATGAATTCACTTTCCTCATCGGAGACTGGTACAACGCCACTCATTCGGTACGTAGGGACACCACTGTCAACTCTTTTTCGTTGTTATATTTTTTATTAATAATTTCATAAAATAAAATATTTTTGTCACTTTGTTTTATAGAGTTTTTTAAGTATTCTTTTGAATTGTCTAATTTATACTTTTTATTTCTATACTAATTTGTAAATAAAATGATTTTAAAAACGATGCGATTTTGCAGATTGTTTGAAGTGTGGTATCTAATATGGGACGGAGGAAGTATTTCATAATTCATACTCAACTAAAATGGAAAATAACCCTGTTCTCTTCAACCAATCTGATTGATTTTGCTTTGATTTTAATAAATTCTGATTCAGTTTGGTCTGATCTGATCTAATTATAATTACATTCAAGACTATTTTGTACTCCCTTCGTCCTAAAACTATTTTCCTAGTTACTATTTACACGGTCAAACTTGAACTACTTTCTTTGCCTATTTTCGATAGTTATTTGATAAAATAATAGTCTTGTCACCTCTTATTTTGTAGAACTTTTGATTTAATTTTTAAATAAATAAATTTATTTTTTAATTTTATACCTACAATCAAATAATTTGAATTCAAAATAAAGTCACTCAAACCTCATAAACACAAACGGGAAGAAAGTTTTAGGACGGAGAGAGTATCTTATTTGAATAAAAATTGGTAATACTTTCTTGTTTCATACACTCATTATTCACCATTCATTTTTCTTTGACCCACAAAGTTGTTTCTTTTTCTATTAAAAATTCATTTTTATCTTTACTAATTTTTACCATACATATCACATTATACTTTTTTACTAATAAGTAATAAGTTACCTATCACATTCTACTATTAGGTATTACATCAAATGCATTTTTGGAAAGTCAACACAATTTTTTTTATTTTTCTCAAAAGTCAAAATGTGAAGAACTTTAAGGGATGAAGGAAGGAAGTAATAAGAATAAATTTCTGCCCCCACAGCTCCGCTCCCTCTTCTCTGATTGACTGCATTGATGACTGTAGCCAATAGGCGAAAGGATGGGAAGAGACTAAAGGAGATGTTAAGAGATAGAAATTATCAACTTCTCAAACGAAAAACCATATGAGTTGCGTTCGAGATTATTTTACGACACTGGCAATCAATTCAATGTCACATCAACCGTCCCTTTTTTACCAATTCGCTCCCCAGACTGATCACCATGTATGTATGTTTTCTGCACAGGCATTGAAAGGAATTCTTGATGAGGGGGGAAATGTTGATGGTGGCCAGAACAAGAGTTTGCTGCCTCCTCCTGATGCAATCCTTATCAATGGGAATGGCCCTAAGGGACTTAACAATGATAGTGGTTGGAATTTCACCCTTGAAGCAGGTTAACTAATTAGAGAATGGTTATTTTAATTATTTGTGTCCACTATATTCCTTTCATCTCAGTGTGTGTTTCTATGATTTCTGTCAGTGCTTTTTGATTTATTACTTATAAGTACCTATACATAGTTTTTGACTTACAAGCTGCTTTTAAGTTAAAAACTGTTTTGTGTAGATAAAATGACTTAAATAATATTTCCTCCGTTCCTTAAAACAGTTACTCTTTCATTTTTTGTTTTCCCTAAATTAAAACATTTCCTTTTTGGAAAAAAATGACTCATATATCTTAATTAAGTTCTTGTAATATACTTCATTCAATTTGCATTGATATAATAAGTCATTTAAATAATTTGTCTCTTTTTGTTCTTCGATGATAAGCATATAATTAGAAGGTCAAATTATGAAAATAAATCCCTCCCAAGTCAAAATAGGAACTGTACTGTTTTAACGAACTGATGGAGTATATAAGTCATTTGAGGATATTCATAATAGGTGAGAGATAGTTTTCTGAGTAATCTGGTCAAAATGGAGAATTGAAAAAAACTGACTTAAAAATAAGTAGGTAATACCTACTTATTTTTTTATTTATAAGTAAGCTTATAACACAGAGAAACACGTCGTCTGCTGACTTATACGTTAAAAACAACTTATAAGCACAGAAAACACTCACTTATACTTCCTCCGTCCCAAAAATGATTATAACATTTTCCCCCTAATCCCTCGATAGCTTTATTTTATTTGTGTATTTTAATTGATTAATTATAAAATAAAAAATTCGTGTCATCTTTCATTTTATAAAATGTTACGCAGTTTTTTACAGAGTAATACGGAAATTTTGTTTTTTTATTTCTGTACCAATTTTTTAGTAAACTGATTTAAAAAAAGTATGAGATTTTACGTACTAAGAAGTAATCTAAATTTGGGAAAGAGGGAGCATTAATTTACACCATCACTACGGAGTACCAATGCATACACTTTAAAACAACATTATGCAGTATAAATAATACGCGTAGTTGAGGACCGGTTCCCATAACCTTGGGTACGGTTTCAGTGTAGTGGGATAACATTTGTCCCACTTTGAAGTAATGAAGTCTCTGATTAGTAAAATTGATGATTCGTATCACTTAACTCCCGATAAATCCCTCACATTGGCCCGACTCGGACCCAACCCCTACCGTCTTCAATCAATTGCATCTCCTAAAATTTAGTTGACTCTGGAGCCAAATAACATCGGTTCTTACAGGAAAAACGTACCGATTGAGAATATCTAACGTGGGACTGGAGAGTTCCCTGAATTTCCGGATCCAAGGCCACGCCATGACATTGGTCGAGGTAGAGGGGACATACACACAACAGAAAGTCCTAAGCTCTATCGACGTTCATGTCGGACAGTCCTATTCCGTTCTCGTGACGGCCGACCAGACTCCCAAGGCTTACTACGTCGTCGTTTCGAGCCGCTTCGCCCGGAGCAACCTAACTGCCACCGCGACACTTCGCTATAACGGCACCGACCTGTCAGCGGCTCCCGTTGGGCCCATCCCCGAAGCACCCCCCGCTCTTGACATTAATTCGGCTATGGCATCTTCCTTGAACGATATAAGGTAAACACATTTTTGACTATATATACATAGACATGTTCTATTCTTCTTATTTTATTTGTATTGGAGTAAATTCTCAAAAAGGTACTCCCTCCGTCTTTTGAAATGGTTCTTGTTTTGACTTTGAGGCAAAATGAGGAAAGTGTAATTTTAGTTGACTTTCCAATTTTGCTCCTGGTGTGATCAGTAAAACTAAGATTTGATAGTTTAGTTATTAGTGAAAAAGTATGATGGGATAGGTAGAGTATGAAAAAGTAAGGGTAAAAGTGATTTTTTAATAGAAAAAGAAAGTGTTTTAAGGAAAACAAAAAAAATGAAAGAAAAAGGGTTTTAAGAAACGGAGGAAGTACTTTATAACTATGTGTTTTTTTTAAAAAATTAGTTCTCAAAATTAACATAATGCGCAGTTCAGTCCTCGACGACTAACGGCCGTTAAAATAGTGTTAAAATGATGTTAAACTTTAAATTAGTTTTCCAAAATGGCACTTTCTAACTCGGTGTTTTTCTCAAATGGGCCCATTTTCGAAATAAAAATACATTAGTTATAGCAAAATATTTTAAATTCTATAGGATGACAATACAATACTTAAAACTATAAATATAATTTTATAAATTTAAAAGTAAATCTTTTCGATTATTTATAATTATTTAGAAAAATAACATGTAAATAAAATGTTTAATAATCAATAAAGAAATCACCCTAAATAGGACTAAATTAACATATAAAGGAAATTACGGTGTTATAATTCATAGTGTTTATTTTTAATTGTGTCATTTTTAATTTGATTTATTTACAAATTAGTGTCTCACTAAATAAAGCAAAAGAAATTTACGCAGCATATGTTTAAGAAAATGGACCAATAGTTTTGCCAAAGTTTCGTCTCTCTATATAATTTAAGAAAGTTGTTCAAATTGTGACGAGTTACTCCATTTTGGGATACATATGAGTAGTTTTAAAAAATGCTAAATAATGTATTCCAATTTTGTCCCCACATATAACTCATCTTCTTACGAATATTCACACACATGTGACACTATTCCTTTCTATGAATGTTTATAGGAAAAATATACTAAAAAATGGGGTACGTTAAATTGGGATCCCTATGCATAACTTTATTTTTTTGCCCATATTATTTATTTAAATATGATTTCGAGTAAATATTAATATTCTTATTATTATTACTTGTAATTATTATTAACATTGTTGTTGACTTGGAAGGGTGGCCCGGAGGGTGTGCAAAGTGGCCAACCGCACAGGGCACCTAAAAATTTAGGGTCTCATATTTTAAAATTCAGCATTAATTTTAAAGTAAAAATATTTTAAAAAATAAAATAGGACCAAAAATGTAAATTTTAGACTGGGTCGATTTTATTTTTTCATTTTTTGGACCCGTCCTTTTGACTTGTTATCGTGATTTGTGAATAATGTTATTATAACTATAAATTATAAAAGGACCAATCTAACCGCGAGTGGAGCACGACCAAACGCACAAGGCACATTTCATTACGGTACGATTAACGTGACAAGGGCTATAACTCTGGCCAACTCCGCCGGTCCGGTGGCCGGAAAGCTGAGATACGCCGTCAACGGCGGGTCTTATGTGGGGCCAACTGACGGCACTCCGCTCCAGCTTGCCGACGACTTTGGCATCCCGAACGTCTACGTGCCCGGAAACATGCCGAACGATTCGTCCATTGCGGGTCCCGTTCGCACCGACACCTTCGTCATGAATGCGGACTACAGGGATTTCTTCGAAGTCGTGTTTCAGAACGACGAGGATACGATGCAGACGTGGCACTTCAACGGAATCACGTTTTTTGTCGTGGGGTATGTGTGCTCTCTCGCTCTCAACATATTTGTTTTTTTATTACTCCGTACATAGTCTCCAGTTCTAAGATATATTATATTTTTTATTCTCTATATTTAAAAACGATTCCATAATCACTCATTTGACGTAAATATTACTCCCTCCGTCCCATAAAACCTTTCTCCTTTCTTTTTTCATCCGTCCCATAAAACACTTCTCATTTCTATTAAAAAGTCACTTTTACTCCTTACTTTTTCATACCCTATCTATCACAACATACATTTTTACTAATAATCTACTCATCAAATCTTACTTTTACCTATTACATCAAAGGACATTTTTGGAAATTTAATACCAAAATACACTCTATTAAATCTCTTCAAAAAGCAAAACATCCCATGTTTCATGGGACGGAGGGAGTATTATTTTTCATTATGAAATAATTCTCAAACATCGAGGATCACAAAAATAACATATTGGAGTAAAATGTTTGATTTACATGTATATATATAATGCATGTTTGCCACATCCATATATGCATGTAGAATGGGGGCCAACAAATGGACAAACGCCAGCAGGAATTCATACAATCTTAACGATGCAATTTCGCGATCTACGACTCAAGTAAGATACACATACTATGCTTTAATTTTATTAGGAGTATTTCGAATGGTGAGGCGGAAACGGAATAACGCACGTTGACGTGACGTATTTTAACCAATAAAAAATAGTTCATTGCGTGCATTTAATATGTTACTTTCGTCAATCCCGAGCAGGTATATCCGAATTCGTGGACAGCAGTACTTGTGTATCTGTCGAATGGAGGGATGTGGAATGTGAGATCCGAGGTTTGGGCAAGGCAATACCTCGGACAACAATTCTACTTGAGAGTTTTCATGACTTACCCATTTCCCAAGGAAAAACGCCCCGTTCCCGATAACGTCATCCGATGCGGGAGAGCTATTAATCGTTTCACGCCTCCGCCTCCGCTAACCCCACCCGCTCGATCCCCCGCACCCACTCCGATCCGTCCCCGGCCACTACCTTAATTGTGCCCTAATTGTACGTTGTGATTGTTATTGTAATGTATGTCACATATATATGTGGCATAAGTGGAACAAAAATGTTTATTTTGAGTCGCATTAATATTTTCAAGTGTATGTACTCGAGCTTATACAAAGAATATGAGATGTTTTCTTGAAATCTAATTTTGTTTTAAGGCCGATGGTGTCTCGCAATAAGTTTGGTTTTGTGCCATTATTTTATTTTCTCTCCTCGATAATTTTTGTTTATTTAAGTGTTTTTATTGATTATTTGATAAAATTAAATATTCTTGTCACCTCTTTAAAATCAATAACTCCCATGTTTTTACGACCGGAGGAAGTAAATTTTTTGGTGGTGTTTTTAACATATAATTTGTAGTAATTCTTATTTATGTATCAATTTGTAAATAAAATGATTTCAAAAATCATAGGACTTTACTTCGTAATTCCCATTTTGTAATCAAAATAGGGACGAAGGGAGTACTATTTAGATGCGATCAATATTATACCTCTTCGGTCCTAAAAACCTTGCCTGTTTTGACTTTGATCACAAAGTAAACATAATCTAAATTAATAAATGATATAAAAATTTGATATATCAAAATTATATCCTAAACATTAATCCAACTATATTGAATTTATATTCTAATTATGCATACTTTTCTCCCATTTATAGTCAAAATGAGGGAGTATATATTAATGAGACGGAGGGGATGCTAATACATTTTGTGTCTTTGGAAGTGAACTACTCCCTTCGTTCTATAAAAGTGTTCATATTTTGACTTTGTGTGAAAATAAGGAAGTGTTAAATTGTACTCTCTCCGTCACACTGTCTTTGTCCACTTACCTTTTGGCACACCATCCAATGCATTTCTTTAATCCATTTTATCTTGTAATTTGTATATTAAAAAATTATAGAAATTATATATTAATAATCTATATGTTAAGACAAATCAAACAAGATCACACATGACTATATTTAGGCTTACACATTGAGAGAATTTGATGAGTCAAAGTGCTTAGATGAACAATTCCAAAAGTCAAAAGTGGACAAAGACAGTGGGACGTAGGTAGTAGTTGATTTCCAATTTTGTCCTTGATGTGATGGGTAAAAGTAAGATGTGATGGATTGAGTATTAGAGAAAAAATATGATGTGATAGATAGGGTATGAAAAAGTAAGGGTAAAAATGATTTTTAATAGAAAGTGGAAGTGATTTGTTGGAAATAAAAAAATGAAAAAGGAAGAGTTTTTGAGAACGGATGGAGTACAATTTAACACTTTCTTAATTTGACATTTGATCAAAACGAGAAGGATTTTTCCAAACGAATGGAGTATGTAATTTCAAGAGTAATTGGTTTGGTTGGAGGTATATCATCTCTTCTTTTTCTTAAAAAGAGTACTAAATCACAATCTTTTTATCTCTGGTATATCACTTTGAATTATACATATTTATTTTCTTTTAAATTAGATGTCAATTCAAAGTAGAAGTTTTAGATTCAAGGTTGCATGTATCTAATTAGAATAAACTTGAGTGTACCTCAAAATGAGGCACCTCATTTACATTTGAGATATTCGTAGACATACAAACTTTCTATATCTGTATGTATTTGTGGGAATAACAAAAATGCTAAGGGTACACTAAATAATATACCATATCTGTACCCCGTTCCATCTCCACCATGCCAAGCAAGAGAGAAAAAATTATGGCGTACAAATGAGATAAACCAAATTAAAGTATGAGAAATTTACCTAAATAGGACTAAAATATAATGACCTTTTCAATATAGGATCATATGTTTTTATTTTCCAATGTAGGATCTTTGGTCATTATCAAGTAGTCATTATTCAACTAAATGTCAATCATTACTGGATATTATTCCTCTCATTAGATCATTATTAAATCTTATTTAGAGAATAGAAAAGTTTAAGTCCTAATTATATTTTAGTCCAAATTTCACTTAAACTATACGATTTGGTGTCTTCTAACTAATTTTGGAGTACAACTTAACCACCTAATTATGGTACACTGCAAAAACCTTTTTAGTACTCTGAAAATTTCCACCTGCTCAAAAGATAAGACAATATTTCAGTACTCTGTTGTTGTACTGCGCTTTTATAAGATTTCAACAGCCATTGATAAATCTTAGCTCCCCTGAAACTCATCTTCTCTTTCAATGGAGACCGCCGGCAGCTCCGATTTCGATCCCCAGCGGATTGTTTCCCACGAGTTTCCCGAGGTACACATCCCATCATCATCATCATCATCTTCTTCTTCTTCTTCTCATCCATGGATTTCACTCTTGGTTCTTACTGATCTTACTCGAATTCTGTTTCTTTTTTTTGTTTTTCATTCTCAGACGGAATACACTTACACAGAGAGGTCAACTCTGTCCGTTTGTTTATTTTTGTGTTTTAATCAATAGTTCGATTAGATTTTCGTTGAAATGGAAGTGTTTCTGTCTGTGGCGATTTAGAGATGTTGCCTTGTACGCGCTGGGTGTTGGAGCGTGTGGGAAGGATGCTGTGGATGATAAAGAGCTGAAATTCGTTTATCACTGCTACGGCCAGCACTGTATCCAGGTTGATCACAACCTGTTCGATGAAATTACTTTTAGTAAGAAGATAGTGAAATGATTCATTTGGTATAATGAATCATATAATTTTCTTTAATAGAAGTTAGGGAGTATAAGTTTATTCAAGCATGAAACATTTCTATATTAAATGCGGATTAAATGTTAACAAATCGTTTTGTACTTTGCACGCTAGTTCACGGGTTAAAGGACTGAATGCTTTCAATCTTGAACTTGGTTTGTTTATTTCGACGAGATTCGTGAAGAGACCTTGAATGAGGTTTTATTGAACTGAGAGCGGAATGGTTGACAGCAATCTCGGTTCATTTAGAACTTTACAATTAACGGGACAATGTGTGGTTAGTGTTTGAAGGAAGAATGAATGCATTTGAAAGTACTTATTCTTTCTATTTTGTTTCTTTTCCATTTATGGCTGCAGGTGTTACCGACTTTTGCTGCTCTATTTTCTATTGGATACAGTGAGACAATAGCAGAGATACCAGGCTTACGGTATGTCCAATTCTGAAGCAAGGGGATGTGTTGCCTGTACTTCTGTTATACGAAACAAGCCTACTTGACTGGGCTAAATAAGGTTCAAGCTTGAGCTTGAAATGAATTGAGTTGAGCTTGATTCCGAGCTAGAGACCTTAACGAGCTGCGCTTTATTCGGATGCAGAATATGTTCCCGTTGAGCTTGAACTTACAGTATTCGTGCTTGGCTTGAATAACATTAGTTATACTCTTTCCATCCCAATTTTAAGTTCTTATTGCAGTTTACGGTGCTTGGTTAAAGTTCTTTTCAATTCAATTTATTTGAAAGTTGGTGTGGAATTTAAAGAAAAAATTTATATATTCAAAAACTACATCAAAAGTTATACAAAACAAGAGGTTGCTTGATTAATGAGTATCTTATTTTATCAAATGATCAATGAAAACATGCAAGGAAAGATGATAAAGTTTGACCGTGTGAATAGTTACCAAAAAACTAAGAACCTAAATTTGGGAAGGAGGAAGGCTGTGTTTCTAAGCGCACTCCTTTTGTGAAATTGTAGTATTGTTTTTCTAGCTGATGCTACTTGGATGGGTTTCCCCCTTTTTCTAGATATGATCCACGTCTTCTATTGCATGGACAACAATATATTGAAATCTACCGGCCGCTTCCTTCAAGTGGTTCAGTAAGATCCTGAACTTAGGGATTGATATATAAAATGTTCGCTTGCATAAGTATGTTTTGTGTTTAATTTCGTGTTCCACATATCAATAATGACACTAAGCATTTTCTCCTGACCTTTTGGATGCTAAACATTATAACTACAGGTGTGAAGAATATATTGTTCCCTCTATTATTAGGGATTTACAGATTTATCATAACATATACCGTATCTCAATCATTGAAAATGTTGGCTAGCCAAATTTTGGGGCATAACTGGGAACAAAGGGAATTTTACAATTTTTGGTTCCAACTTCCAACAACTATTAGGTCATTCCCACTTTTGGTCACCAACTTTCGTTTTCCACACCTTTGGTGCACAACTACTGATTTCTTACTTTTAGTCCTTTTCAGTTACTTATTCAGCAAAAATCAACCATACATTGTCATGTTGTACGTAAACTAAAATTATAGCTGGATAAATTGTCAGGAAGACCCAAATAGAATGAAGTCCATAGTAGTGTATTTGAAGTGGGAAAGGTTTAGGTCAGGGGCAATAAAAAACGACCTAATAGTCATGGGACTAAAGCTGGAATCTTTTTTATAATCAATAAGTCCTCCAAAGGGCAAAGACCAATAACTCTATATACGACATGTGTGTCTGTGTGTGTATAGATATAATAACATGGAGAGTTTTGTTTGGTATTAGTGAAAAATATTACATTTCAAAGTCATATAACATCCATGCATCCAGTTTCTTATTTCAAAATAGAAATTGTAACCATTTTCTGTAATGTCTTTTATCTTATTGATGCAGGTGATAAATAGAGCAAGTATTGCTGGATTGCATGATAAAGGTCTGGTTTAAAAATAGACGTCAATCTATGAAATTAAGAGCCCCTTTGTAAAGCTTGAAATGACTAATTGGCTTAATGTGCTTAAGCTGTAGGTTTGTCACTAGGCCGTAATGCTTGATTTATCAAAAATATATATTCTGAAAAAACCGGACCCTACTCTTGTGGGATTTAACTGGGTTGTTGTTGTTGTATATATTTTGAAAAAAATATAAACAAAATAGTACTTATTACAAGTATAAAAATAAAGGTTGACGTGCCATTTTCATAAATTTCATTCATGATAGCCTAAAAAGTAACATTTTCCTTACTTTCACTATCAATTTAGCCAGCATAATGCAGTTCATTGAAAAAACAGGTTGTTAAGCTGACAACATATCCTAACAAACCAGCTCTAAATCTTCAAGTAGGATGGACCTGGGAAATCTCAGCAACAGTGAAATTCAGATTTAATTCTTTAGTTGAGATGCATTTAAAAATTAATGAGTCTGAGTCCATCTTCCATCTTCTTTGACAGGTAAAGCGACTATTTTAGAGGTTGAAATTAAAACCTTTGAGAAGAGCTCAAACGAGCTCCTATGTATGAACAGGTATACTTTGTCTTCTAAATCAACTTGTGTGCGCCTCTGTTGTTATGCAGTTGCTACTTGATCACATTGCAGGATGTCTGTTTTCTTGAGGGGCGCGGGTGGCTTCTCAAAGTCTTCCAATCTTTACTCATATTCCAAATATCCAGCAAACCAAACAGTTCCAAAAATTCCCAATCGCCAACCATTTTTGGTTTTAGAGGAATTTTCGCAACCATCACAGGCATGTAAAATGTATCAACTTTTGGACTTTTCATTTTTTAAATCTTTTATCATATTTTGGCTTCATAATCAATGTTCTAAAAACCTGCCTAGGCAGGCTGAGGTGGTCTCAAACTTTTTCAAATATTTTTTATGTGGCTGAATGGCGCTATGTTATCCACAGTTATCAATGTTTAAACAATAAGTCAATATACACTAAATGTAATGTGTTTTTCCATGGTGTTGACTGTTGAGTTTTAGTCTTGTAACTCTTTTGATCTAGGATATTTTGGACATTGATCTCATTTTAATTATATAGTCATCATTCTTCCATAAATAAGCATTTACATCAAAAAATGGTAGATACTTGAATATTATTTTATTTAAAAGAACATCTAAGCAACCATATAGTAAAACAAATCATGTTTGTTTTGCATATCCTGGCCATCTTCTATTGCCTGCTTGTCACCTTTCGCCTTCTTTAGCACTGTGCATAATGCATCTCTTTCATGGAATCATATGATTGTTTTATCTAGTCTTACTGATTAAACGTGACGTGAATTTTTTACCCTGATGTAGGCATTATTGTATAGGCTCTCTGGTGATTACAATCCCTTGCATTCAGATCCGGGTGTTGCAGAAGTGGCAGGGTATTGTGGTTATTATAGACTTTTAGTTTTATTCTGCAAATGCCTATTCTACTATTCTAGTGACAAGGTTATGAGATATTTAACTAGTGTCCCTATGCAACCCTCTAGTTAGTCCCCAGCTCTAAATCATGTGGGACAACAATTCTTCTAGCAAAAATTTACTTTATTTGAATGATTGTTCTTATAGAGCTCTTTTGGTTACGTATCGAACTCGTAAAATGGTAAGTGAAGGAAAAAGAGTTGAGGAAATGTTTTGTATTACCTTGAGATAACATGAGGAAAAGTTCTGCTTTGATTAAAACTTTTTATAATTTCACATTCATTTAAATTTCTTAGTCTTTACTCTTTAATATTGTAGAAATCAATAAATAAAAATAGTTTGAACAAATTTCTGAATTTGATCTTTTGAGTTTGAACCAGTTTTCGTTTTCCCTTCAAATATCCTTTCTTCCTAGTGTCCTCTTAATTTCCTCACCTTATTTCTTTTCTCTAATATTTTCCAGGTTTTCTCGCCCTATATTGCATGGGCTATGCACACTCGGATTCGCAGTCAGGGCTATCATTAAATGCATCTGCAGAGGAGACCCAAACATGATAAAGAGCATTTCTGGCAGATTTTTGTTGCATGTGTACCCTGGTGAAACCGTAGTAACAGAAATGTGGCTTGAAGGTTTGAGGTTAGTTTTATTCATGAAAGACTGACGAATGCTGTTTATTCATTCTTTTAAGTCCCTCTCAACATTTAATGCCACACTGGACTATGCCGAAGTGACTATACACACATCAAAATGAATACGACGAAGCGTTGGACTATTCATTGTAACAACGCTTTACAGTAACTCTAACGAGCAACTCAATCTCCATTAAAATCAAAATTAGCACACAAATCTCAAGATTCGTGTGATCCAGCAAGCCATCATTTTGAAGGAAATGTTAAGAACAAATCTCACATGTAAAAATATACACATGAATAAATATACATACATAAGCCTAACCATATGAATTGGAAACGGCCTCTCTACTTTCGAGTAGGGGTAAGGTATGTGTATTGCGTACCCACGCCCTTCTCAGACCCTGCTTTCTGTGGGATTGTACTGGGTTTGTTGTTGTAAGCCTAACAAACAATATGAAGCATCTTTTATTTCTCATAACATTTTGACCTTTTAGAATGGAACCACAAGAAATCTTAATAGGTGACGCCTAGATCAATGATGGACACCAGTTTTTTGCTACATAGCATTACTTGACATACAAGGTCCATACGATGTATATCGAATCTTTACTGTTTCTGCTACTGGAGCTGAATTTTTATGCCTACAACCACCCACAGTTTGAGGACTCAATTGGAACCAAAAATGCAGGGTCATATATCAGGCGAAGGTGAAAGAGCGCAATAGGGCGGTGCTTTCTGGTTTTGTAGATCTTCACCACTTAAACTCCTCATCTCTCTGAGTCAAAGGCCATGTTCTTTTCTCCATGAAACGTATAATGCCTTATGGGAGGGTTTGTTCTCATTACACGGCACACCGAACAGTTTCCCTCTACACACACGCACACACACACACACCTCCATTTAGGTAGCTATTCTCAATGTTTGTTCCATCATAGTTTGTTTATTATCCTTAAAGTTTGGATTTGAATAATCCTCCACCGTTTTTTAGGCAGATGCAATGTTCTTTACAATGCACAAACCCCACATGTGGTACCTTATTAAGTTGTCATTGTTGTTGTATTTGGAATTGAATAAGATTGTCATTGTTGGAATTGAGTAATAGTAGTGTGTTGATATTGTTGCTCCCCGTGGTTATTATATATGGCCACCAATGTAGGGTATTTTTGTCCACCCCAACGTTGACCTCTTGCCACTTGATTTTGACTAGTCTTAATAAAATCAGAAGTAAATTGTTCAAAAGCCTCTCATTTTTGTGAATTGTGCAAGTTTCAATCTACTAGCTTTTCTTCATGGCTTTATTTTGAAGTGCAGAACCCACTCGCGAAACACAGATCCCAACATTATTAGCGTGTCTAATTCCAGCATTGAATAGATCAGTGGATAATAAATTTTGCCCCGCAAATATATCTTATTTTGTATTGTATATTGCCTAATACTATTAAATAAAATTATGAAAATTCTCTAAAATAATCCATTTTTTTTACTACTATACATTATTCTTTCCGTCTTAATTTATATTGCATGTTTTGGTTTATGATGTTTATCTAAAATTATTTTTAAATCTTTTTATATAAAAAATCATGTAGAATTAAAAAAATAAAAACACTACATCAAAAGATTTACAAGATTAGTGGTGACATAGTTATTTTATTTTATCAAATGACTTACAAGGGAGTAGCATTTTTATTTAATTGAAGTTCAAAATACGTTCTGTTTGACTCAAAAAATTATTCTAAATTGCATAAATAAATTAGGACATAGGTAGTATCACAGTTTCTACTTATTGAGTTATTGAATGATCATTAATGCCACACCATTTACTTCTTTAGTATCAAGATGGTATATGTTGTGGCATTATTTTTTTCTTTCATAAAAAAATAATGCCACAACATATATCATCTTGATACAAAAGAATATTTTTCTCATACTTAAAGAAAAAGTCAATAAAATATTTGGTATATCTAGGCTTCAAGCCTCAATAAAAGGTTTGGTGAAATTCAGCTACCTTTGGGAATGAAAACCAAGGGGAATATTGTGTTTACAACTTAAGTCATGATTATATTATACTCCTTCCGTCTCAATTTAAATCATTCGTTTTGATTTACAATGCTTAATTGAAGTTACTTTTAATATATAATTTATTTAAGATTTTAGATAAAATTTACAATGCTTAACCATGTCAATATTAAATATATACTACCTCCGTCCCAGAGTATTTGTCCACTTTCATCTTTACACATCATCCAATACACTTCTTTAATCGATTTTATCTTGTAATTTGTATATTAAAAAATTATAGAAATTATATATTAATAATTTATATGTTAAGACAAATCAAACAAGATCACACATGACTATATTTAGGCTTACACATTGAGAAAATTTGATGAGTCAAAGTGCTTAGATGAACAGTTTCAAAAGTTAAAAGTGGACGAATACTCCGGGACCGAGGAGTATAACTTTATTTATGACGGATGGTGTACACATTAATCTAATTTAAATCATTGTGGTGTCTAAAGTAAATGATCATATTCACAATCAAGTGGTTGATTCGTCCTGGAATTCATTGTCATATGTCTTTAACATAGTAAAGACATATTGTATTATTTGTATCTCAAAATAGTCTTTTGTATTAAAGTATTTTTCCAAATCAGTCCTACATAAGTTTGAAAATAAAATATCGGTGAATTAACAAAAAATTGTATTATACCAACATAAAATGTTAGTACATGGATAGAAAATGGGATACAAATAATTGGAATAGTTTTATCCAAAAAAATACTGAGTATTAGTTAAGGAAGTATCAAAATATAGGGAGCTTCAAACATTTTTCCTTTGTGGTTCAGGGCCGACGTATCTGGTAGCGAGTGTGCGGAAAGGGATCGGAGATGGGAGGAGGACATGGACACGGCGGCGTTACCTATAAAGGGGTCACCATCCACCAGCCCAAGCGGTGGCATACCGTCACCGGGAAGGGATTGTGTGCCGTCATGTGGTAAGTCTTCTTCACCTTCCCCATTCATCCCCTTCCTCCACCAATCGACCCTCTGGAATCTCGATTTACCGATTCGCATTTCCTCTTTCGATTAATTCATCGTTCTACCATCCTTTAGGCCTCGCTCAATTTGAATTTTGGATCGCAACTACTCGGACGAAAATGTACTCAATTTAAAGTGAGGTGATAGAGAGATTCTAGGGTTTAGAAACCCAAACTAGCCCATTACACTCGGGGCACCGTATTTTTCCTGATTTCTCTTCTTTAAAAAAAATTGCTTGAGATTTAAATGAAATTGTGTTGTTCATATTTATTCTGAAATGGAGATTTGAAGGAAAAATGAAGATTAATCAGGGACAACCAAAAAGGAGGAGAGAAAGAGGATCTGAAGTTCAAGCTTTTCACTTAAATATTTAATCTTTACTTTGTGTTTTTGTGCTTGCTAGCTTGTGAGAAAGAGCAGTTTCTTCTTGATTCTTATTAATGTTGCATGCTAACTGTGAAGTGATAGTAATGTATTTTCACATGTCTAATAGTCTCCTCATCTAACCAAACCAAACATATCAAGAACTCGGTCTGTCCCGTATTTAAGATTCCACTTTCACTTGCATGCAGCTTAAGGAAAGATGAAATTAGGTGGTTGAAATGTATGTAGAGGAGAGAGAAATGATATGAACTAAAGAATCGATTCCTCAAAAGGAATCAGAACTTTATGGTGGGATGTCCAAAACAAACTGAGAACATAAATATAAAATATGGGATGAAGGGAGTGGGGTGGGTGCAGGGTGGGGGGATGTATGCAGACCTTACCCATACTCCAAGGAGAGTAAAAAGATGTGTCTTGTCATTGTAATTATCATTCTTCATTTTGTAGTTTTCACCGTCATCATTTTAAGTAGATTACACTATGACTAAGAGACTCATTTGTTATTTCAGGTTTTGGGTTCTGTACAGAGCTAAGCAGGATGGACCTGTAGTTTTGGTGAGCTTTCATTACTTGGTTTTTTCGCAATTATGCTTCTCTTTGATTGTTCTTATATTGAGCCAGTACATGATATTGTTTTACTTAGGGGTGGAGGCATCCTTGGGAAGGTCATGGCGATCATGGACATGATCAGCATTAGGTAATTTCTTTCACCATCTATGATCTTTTTTCTTGAAATTCCACCCCCTGCTAATTGGTGCTTTAAGAATGTTTTTATATGAAGTTTAATAATAACATTTTTTCGTAGTCCATACACAAATATTAATAGCAATCTAATGTGATGAAGAAACATTACTACATATAGTATTTGCTTAATGTTTATAAACTTGTGCATATTGGTGTAATTTAATGTTTTAAATCATGTAGCTCCAGTTATCTCTCTTATGTTTCATTCAGTTGAAATTTAGTGATGAGGTTGGAATTAGGAATAAGGAATGAGTTTGAGAAATTACGACACCGGGTATGGTCAAATATAGATCATTATATTGAAATTGAATGTTTATTTTATATTTGGGAATAAAATTAGGGTTAGTTTCTTCAGTTGTAGTTCTTACAGAAAAAATAAACTAAAAACCCTCTAAAATCCCATGGAAGTAGGGTGTGTGCAGGCCTTACCCCTACTTGATAGTAGAGAGGTTGTTTTCAGGAGACCCTGCCTTGAGCATAGACGTTCGGACAAAGAAAACACATTTGCATGAACTAAGCAAGAGCACAGATAGAACGCACGCATACCAACACTAACAACTCCAGTTGTCATCCTTGCTGGGGAATAAAATCCCCTGAAACTCCTGTTGGCGATGTAGCATCCCTTGATTTGTCATGGTGTAACCACCGTAGAACCAATAAAGTTGAGAATGACTTTGATACCCGGGGATGAAATGAGTTTGGGGTAAATGTTTTGTAACCAAACACGATGTATGGATTTGGCATTACCAAATTCATGTCTGATACTCATTCCTTAGTGAACTCAAAGTGTCCCTTAATGGATGTCTCTGTTTCAGATTTTGAGAATTCAAATTAGAGTGTGCATGGTTTGGAGAATTTATTGAATCGTGAGTGTGTAGTGTTTGGCACATATTATTGCCTGCCTCACTTGACTAGGCACAAAATTTTAAAAAAAGAAAAATATATGGTTGAAATTTATTTAGAAGATTGGAAACTAATACGAATTACATATCGCTTTACTTTGAGTCGAGAGTCTCTTGAAAATAGTCTCCCTACTTCTGAGTAGGGGTAATGTCTGCAACTATGTTATGCATACACACAATTTTGTGGGATTTCACTGGCTTTGTTGTTGGAAAGTTGTGGGCTTTCGCTTGTTTCTTCATCACTATGGAATTATGAGATTTCAATCCAAAACTAATAGGAAATGGAAAGAGTAATTCATATTTTTACACTCTGTATATAACTTCCTCATTAAAATGCCTGTGTAACATTCACATGGTCTAATTTCTTGCAATTTACCTTTTTTTCAGCACTCATTTGATAAAATAATAGTCATTTCGCCTATTGTTTCGTAAAATGTTTTATGTAATTTTTAAATATATAAATATCTGTTTTTAATTCTCCCATAACTCGCAAATAAATTAAATTGAGATTACTTCACTCAACATCGTAAACGGGAGAGTAGTCTTTTTTAGATTGTGTTCGGTGTGAGACTAAATCCTTAACCCTCCTTGAAGTGCAACATGGGTCTTTTTGCCTGCAGTTGTCACTTGTTCGGATAGACCTGAACGTTTATTAAAACTCCGAATCTTGACTCCAATAGCATGTAGGATTATAAGATTCTAACCCAACACGAAGTGGCAATGGAAGAAGTAACTCACGTTCAATTATGCTCCGTATTATCTTTTTTTAGGCTGAGCGATTGGCGGAGAACGGTATCTTCAACAACTACCATGAAGTTTTTATTGTCTTCCTTTTTTTGCAGGTCCAATGTCGAGTTCGAGGCATGGTCGCTCTGTAAACTCTCACCTTGGTGAGCTTTTGTTGTATGTGTGGGTTGATGAATTTGCCCTTGTATCATCAGTTCTTTGGTCTTTACAATTCAATAAGTGGGCAAAAAGGATATATTGTTGTTAATTGTTATCAACCAGACCATTCAAAAACCAGATCATTGTGCACTTAATTTTGCTTAATCTTTTTGGGTGCTGATGGAGTGCGTAGTATTAGTCTATGGGGGCAATGTCAAGTCATCCTTAGTTGATATATAAATATATATAACCCAATCACTTTGGATCTTTTGACGTTGATGTCATAATATGATCCGAGACATCTACCGTGCTCGTTGGTACAATTGTTGGTTCCTATGCCTACAACCTTCTCGAGCCAAATCGGCGACCAAGGCCGAGGGGAAGGGGTGAGGATGTTAGAAGCAAGAACCATCAATTTTACCAACGGATCACTATAGGTGTCCCGTGTCACATTGATAACCAATGTCGGAAGATTCTTGCCTTAATGTAATATACAACAGAGTATGCATAATACTCCCTCCAAATTTTAAATTTCATTTGGACTTTACATGCATATTGGGATAAAGCTTTGTTGTTGTTGTTTCCTTTTTGTCCTTGGGTGTTAGGAGAAAAAGAGAAGTAAAAGTGGACGGTTCTCTTGACATTGGATTGCTTAGCAATGCCATGAGATGACCCAAGGGCCGTATGATGCTTCTTCAATTACTACCCCTATACCATGTACTTTTAAATGTAATTAAAAGAAGAAAAAATTAAATAAAAATGTGTGGTTATAAAACCAGTGGTATACATTTGGGATATATCATTTAGGGGCTGTTTGTTTCAGCCTCTTAATGGTTCAGATGTCTGAATGATTCAGCACTTAATGGTTCAGACTGTTTGTTTCAGTCTCTTAATGGTTCAGATGTCTGAATGGTTAAGAGATTTGCCTCTGAATGGTTAAGTATTATACAGAGTCTGAATGGTTAAGAGCTCTTATCTGAATTGATCAGACATTTGCCTCTGAATAGTTAAACAATATACTAGCTCTTAATGGTTCAGACCTCTTACTGGTTCAGCATTTAATGGTTCAGACCTCTTACTGATTCAGCACTTACCCATCCAGAAGTTACCAAACAGCCCCTTAGTGTATCCCTAACAATTCTGAAGTGTTTAATGTCATCCTCTAATAAAATTGCTTTAATTATAAAAAATAGAAGCTAAGTGATGTACGTGTACACGCACCGGCTAGGCATAAGGTTATAAAACGAACGAATAATTTTGATTCGATTCGTGATTCGTATTCGAAATCAATGATTCGTATTCGAGAAAAAGAATTCGAATTAGAAAATAAATATTTATAAATGCCATTGCTATATACTATCTAAAGTGGATGAAAATTATAAAAATTTGCGACCTTTGACATATATAGAACTCAATTCTACTTTTTCCTTCCCATAATATTTGTCACATCATACAAAATGAGGCAAAATTTTAAGTTTTAACAAATAATATTTTGTTGAAAATTATTTCACAAGAGCTACCCATCGATACCAATATTGTATATATAATTTTGACGTTATGTCTTGTTTATCTTTTTAATTGAAACACCCCGAATTGACCAAACTATGTTTTATTTTAATTTTCGTCAAATAATGGTGGCCTACATGACATTTCTTAACATGAGTACGGAAAATATGTTTGAACGTGATCATATCTTGATTGAGAAGACAAAAGATAAAATTAGAAGACAATATGAATCGGAAGACTAGATTTTTTTGTATAGCTATGTATGTGTTATGAAATTAATGATTGTTCATTTATTCAATTAATCAGGCCTATTTTCTAGAATAGTAGATTAAGACAACCATTTATGAGTATCAATTATGTACAGTACTTCCCATTTGTATTTGTATCCATACCAAGGCTCTCAACTATAAATAGAGGCCTAATCCCTGCATTGTAATCATCATTAAGAATAAGAAGAAGAGTAAAGAGTTAATAGAGAGAAGAAATCAGAAATATATTATATCTATTCTTATAATCTTTGAGTAGTTTTTCTCTCATTTTATAACACGTTATCAGCACGAATTTGCTCAAAATCCCAGAATCCTTGTTCTTCTCAGAAGGTATATTTATTTTATTTTCTTCATGAACAAATTAAAATATTTTCTTAAAAACTATGAGAAGTATGCTCTGTGATTGCCCAAAGTTGGGATCCTTCACATCAGAAACTTATACTTATAAAATTAAAATTAGATAATTAAAAGGAAGAAGTTTTCTCATAATAAAAAAAAATCATTTTTTTATAAACTAAAACAAAGAGTAGATTTAATACGGAGTATTTAAGATTGAAAAAAAAAATTATATTTTTTTTTTAAAAAATAAAGACTACTCTTGAAAAAAAAATATTAAAATCAAGATATGATGAACTTACCTTCCTGCTACTCTTGAATCCTTCTTGTACACATCTTTGATAGAAATAGATAATCTCACTTTATAATATTATTTTTATTCTTTTTCTTGTTATAAGTATTTTTTTTTCGGGATTTTAGAGAATGAACCCAATATTAGAAAGATGCATCTATACGCTAGATAGAGTATGTGAGACTGTGAGAGGAGAGAGTAAAAAGATTTGATGCTCTATTACATATTTGAAACAGAGTATTTAAATAATAAAAAAGAAAAACTTAGTTGTTTTTAACATGGAAGACATACTACATACGGAGTATTTGGCTTTGTTTGTCTTCTTTTATTTGATTGTTTTTAATAATAAATAAATCGTAGAATATACTTTAAGACATTAATAGATTACAAACTAGTGATTTATCTTTTTCTTTTTGTTTTGAATATGTTGTTATTCTTTTAAATGACATGGAGTACAAATCATTACACATTACTTTGTCCTTTTTCTTTTTGATATTGAAATTTGAATACGTATATATACATTTTGATTAACATGGAATTAAAAAAAAAATAATAATCATTCTCGCCACTAAAGAAATATGCGACCCACCCTTCTTCTTATTATATTTAAAATAATAATAATAATAATAATAATAATAATAATTTGAAGCTATATTATTTTTACAAAGTAAAAAAAAAATAAATAATAAGCTAACAAATTTAATTTATCTTGTAGTTTATTCCATGGCCAACATCACCAAAAGAGAATTCGACATTCTTGATTTATCCGGTCAAAGGTACCTGGAATGGAGGGTTAATGCACTTGCTCACCTCAAGGCTAATGGCCTCGAAAATACAATTGCTGATAACAATACATCATCATCTCAGCAAAAGGCAAAAGCCATAATTTTCCTTCGCCACCATCTTCATGAAAGTTTAAAATCTGAATATTTATTGGTGGAAGATCCGAAGGAATTATGGGATAATCTCCAAGAGAGATATGGTCATCAACAAAAGGTCTTACTCCCGAGAGCTCAGTATGAATGGATCAATTTAAGATTCCAGGATTTTAAATCCGTTTGTGACTATAATTCTGCTATTTTTAAAGTCACGTCCACATTAAAATTATGTGGACATAATATCACTGACCATGACATGTTGGAGAAAACTTTTTCCACCATGCATATGTCAAATGTGATATTACAGCAACAATACAGAGAAAGGGGCTTTAAAAAGTATTCTGAGTTAATCTCAGTATTACTTGTTGCTGAGCAGAATAATGAGCTCTTAATGAAAAATCATAACATGAGGCCCACCGGTTGTAGCCCTACAAATTTTGGCCATCCTGATCGTNCTTCATGAAAGTTTAAAATCTGAATATTTATTGGTGGAAGATCCGAAGGAATTATGGGATAATCTCCAAGAGAGATATGGTCATCAACAAAAGGTCTTACTGCCGAGAGCTCAGTATGAATGGATCAATTTAAGATTCCAGGATTTTAAATCCGTTTGTGACTATAATTCTGCTATTTTTAAAGTCACGTCCACATTAAAATTATGTGGACATAATATCACTGACCATGACATGTTGGAGAAAACTTTTTCCACCATGCATATGTCAAATGTGATATTACAGCAACAATACAGAGAAAGGGGCTTTAAAAAGTATTCTGAGTTAATCTCAGTATTACTTATTGCTGAGCAGAATAATGAGCTCTTAATGAAAAATCATAACATGAGGCCCACCGGTTGTAGCCCTACAAATTTTGGCCATCCTGATCGTGGTTCAGCACCAGAATCAAATGTTATCCAAGGTGGTGCTCGCAGACACTTTAAACGTGGACGCAGAAATAACCGCAACAAAGGGCCGAACAGGGGCTATAAAAATCCAAATGGATCATCCTCCAAAGAAAAGAGAAAATTCAAACCACCACAGGCTAAAACTTATGAAAAGCCAAAACCAAGTGGTGAATGCTACAAATGTGGCATAAAAGGACACTGGGCGAATGAATGTCGAACGGCAAAACATTTGGTTAAATTATACCAGGCTTCCACAAAAGGAAAAAGGAAAAATGTGGAACCTAATTACGCTGATGATATCAATCCAATTTTGCCTAAATTTGACGTGTCCGATTTCTACATAGATGATGCTGAAATTGGTGATGAAGTGACCTTTGGTGGAACTACTACTATTTAAACATTTTCATTTACTCTGTTATGGTGTGTTTACTTTTTAAATAAATGTTGGAAATTTGTATTTTATTTTCATGTGTGCTTGTATTATTATGTCTCTTCTAAAAAAAATAATGATAATAAAATGTATGGTATTTGTGTTAATTATCTTTAACTTATATTTATTTTTATATTTATTTGTATTCAAGATATGGAGATAACTGCTTATGGCTCCAGTGGCAAAGAACAATGTCTAATTGACAGTGCCACAACGCACACCATTTTGAAAAACAAAGAATATTTTTCTCAAATGACATTGATGGAAACTAATGTCAATACAATATCTGGTGTTGCAAAGCTCATTGAAGGGTCTGGAATGGCTTGTATAATCCTTCCCCAAGGAACAAAATTAATTATCAAAGACGCATTATATTCCAGCAAATCTCGAAGAAATTTATTGAGCTTTAAGGATATGCGTCAAAATGGTTATCACATTGAAACCATGACAGAAAATAAAAAGGAATACTTGTGTCTAACGACAACCAAATCTGGCAATAAAATTCTTTGTGAAAAGATGCCAGCGTATTCCTCGGGGCTATATTATACTCACATTAGTCCCGTTGAAGTGAATGTTATCTCTAATAAAAAATTAGATGATCAGAAAACATTCATTTTGTGGCATGACCGTTTGGGTCATCCTGGCAGTGTAATGATGCACAAAATA